TCATAAAAGAGCATAATATTGAAGCTAATGACAAGACGTGGTTGTTTTTTATTAATGTGTATTTGAGTTTATGAGATCACCATACTTGATGGATTAAGATTTTTGAGGCTATTTTGACTTGTATAGATAGAGGTAGCAGAGATATAAGAACGACTTGGCCTTGTATAGATGTCAGGCATTAATTGTCTTGATAATTGATTGAGTAAGAGGAAGCACAGATGAGAGTAGGGCTTGACCTTGTATAGATGTAGAGATGATATATTTGAACAGTCTTGTCATTTTAGGAGCTTGTAGGAAGCACAGATGAGAGTAGGGCTTGACCTTGTATAGATGTAGAGATGGTATATTTGAACAGTCTTGTCATTTTAGGAGTTTGTAGGAGGCACAGAGAACTTGGCTTGATAGCATTTGGAAAGAACAGCTTGCTTTAGATGAGATAGAACATGAGATGGCAGAGGTAACTAGATAAAGATGAGATGAGTACACAAGTACTGTGGCATGAGTGCGTAACAAACCATTTGGGCAAAGAAAATTGACCATCAATAAAAGGAACCAACACTATATAAACAGGTACCAAGGTGTAAACTTGCTTCACCCATCACAAGATCATCGACACGCTCAAGCCGCCTCCATCTCCGGATCATAGGGTTAAACCCTACTCTCGTCGGCAATAAAGCTTGTGATCATCCCGTAGCATGACCAATGGATTTGTCCTGCAGTCTACCCGTGATTATGAAGCGGTGATCCTACTCAGTCCCTACAAAGTAGTTTTTCGGCACTATGTAATCAATAGGTTAGTCAACATGGCTCATACGTTCAACAAGATAATAACTTACTCGCACAGTTCACCAAGGTCTGCATGTATCAAAGATAGTGCGGCCTTTTTCTAGCATGGACCAAGAGACGTAGAGAGGACCATGGATTTGTAAGGCATTGTATGTAGCAGTAGTAGAGGCCAATAGACAGTAGAGTATTTGATTTAGATGACCATATGTAGAGAGAGAGAGCCCAAATGTCTTGTAGTGAGTTTGCTTGTATAGAGTATTTTGCTTGTTGTAGAGAGATGAGATGAAGAAGAAGAGGGAAAAGCTGTTGAAACAAATCCCTATTTATATCCTTCTCATGGACTTTCATGTGAGTCTAGTATCCTTGCCACACTCAAATTCGTTTCCTTTTACTTTTCTCCACGATATACTACTTTTAGCGCGTGAAAATAGTACCATTTTGACGTTTGACACTTGCTCTATTTGATCCGCTTCGTCCGAGGCTTTCAACTGTTTTCTGTCTCGAGTTATGTCCATTTTGCTACTTCAAAAAGCCCTTTTTCCACCTTCACATGAAACGAGTTCCCCCATCTCTCCCTAGATGTAATTAACAGACAACTTCTCACGGGCTCAGCCTCATCAGAAAGTAAACAAAAAATGTCATTTGACACTGAAACAAATGCAGCTGGTTGCTTGATTAAGTAATCTTCTTTCTCTACCTCCCCTTAATTTCTCTCTCCAAAATCACACAGTTCCCAATCAATCTCTTCTGTTGTTTGTATTCGCCATAAACTCTCCATCTAATTGGGCAATACAGGATGATAAGGTTGGCTTACTTGTTGCTTACATCATCTTGGAGCCAGTGCAATTGATTCTGGATCAAGAGACAAGTGTACACCTCGGAAAGTAAGAGTATCATATGAATATTACTGCGGCTATCTCCATGGAATGGAACATAATGGATTGTTTTCGAACCAGTGCAAGTCATCTTGTTTCCAGCTATCATGGTTGCTGTCAATAATGTCAATCAAGTGTTTGCGCTACTAGATATCATCAATATGCCCACATTTACATAGTGAGTTGGTCATTCTCGTGTATTATTCCTGCAACCTGTTTTTAGTTCTTATGCCAAGAGCATGCATCCCATAAAGAGTCAACACATTTCATATCTTTTTTTTTTAGGAATCGTCCTCTTTTAGAAGGTACTCGGATCATGCAAGATCAAAATAATTCATTTGCTAAGCAAAAATGAGCTTTAAAAAAATCACATGTAAAGTAAATAAAAGGACATGAATTGAAGAGAGATAAGCAAGTAAATGGCCAATTTGTGGTCAAAGGGAGGATATTTTATTAGAAGGTATGTACATCATTCGAAAGCAAATCGCTTGAGGAATCCAATGGTACTATTTTCAAGGTTCTAAGTAAAGTACACATCGCGAAATTCATCAAATAAGGCCGTGGGATTTCCAAAAGAAGGAGGTTTCTGAATTAAACTTCACCTGCAATATCATTTTTGTCTGTGTGCTATTCTGTTGCTTTGGATCATGTCACGCTTCTCCTATGTCACCAGCCTGTCCTTTTTGGGTCTCACATTGCGTACGCTATCTATTTGGGAAGGAGCCTCACTTTCTCTATAATCGTTTCTGTGGGTATCATTGCCGTTATATTAAAGGGCTTTGAGCAATCAAGGAGAGTCTTCTAGCCAGCCAAAAAGGATTACAATCCCGCTCGACTTTCTGTCATGATTCGTTGATTTTTGATCCTTTTGCAACTCGATCGACTTATTTTACGAGATTCGACTATGAAAGTAGTTGTGATCATCCTTTACAGCCTTAAGATATCTAGAAGAACTTTTCAATGCGCATCCAACTGTGTTGGGTATAATAGATATTTTGATTGAACTTGTTGAGCAATTTATGAAATTATGAAATGACGTTTTTGGCGAAAATGTCGAGATTCTATATATCAAGGTCTCACCAACATAGTTTCAGAAGTTGCCCTGAATCGAGAATTAATATCATCACAACATAATAAATGTTCAGTCCTTAGACACTTTACAACCCTAATATGGAACCTGAGTTTCAAGGCATCTGTCAGGCCTGGCTCATATGAGAATAATGATTTTACAATCAATCAACAAAAACCACTGTTAGTTCTACCCTCTTTCCTCTGCTCAATGCTGTCAATGTTTTATTTGAACGACGTCTCCGAGCCTCAGAGATTTCACTACTTACTGCAGACATCTTACGCAGCCCATGAATCGTCAATGTCCAGACTAACGTTATCAAATATAGAATGCAAGACGATGCCATTATGAACGATATAGAATGCTATAAAATATCATTATAAACGATAGCTTTATGGCCTGCCACCTACTTTTCATACGCTTCAAGAGCATTTAATACTTTATTGCAGTATGAAAAGGGCGTTGAGTTTGACAGCTGGCCCCACAAGCCAAAATTAATTCAAATCCAAAATCATAGTTTGTTCCAGATTGGACAAATCTTGATGATGTTGGATTCGATTAAGCTATTTTTGCAGATTCGACTAAGTAAAATATGATGATCACCCCATGCTTCCCTAAGCTGCTGCCCCTGTTGGTAGGGCGAAGTGGTAGAACTCCCGTATGCCAACGGAAGGATCCCCGGTTCAAATCCTGGTGAACGCAAGTTGTTTGATTTTTTGACGTAGTACTGATGTCCTCGTTTGGTGTTTTGTACTCTTATCCATGATCTATATTTTGACAATTTCCGCAAGACTGTACTGGCTCTAGGAGTCGCACCTTATTAGTAGTAGATTTCTTTCCCAACTTAATTCAAAAATATCTTATTCCCCTTCATTGCAGACATTGGGCCACCAACAGTCTTTTCTATCCCTCAGTATGACATTTAAAGGACTTTAAATAAAACCTGGAGCTCGTCTCCCCTGCAAAAAAAAATGCTTCCTTAAGCTTTCCTGGAGTACTTTTCAAGGTGCATCCAATGGTACTAAGTAAAATAGATGATTTGAATAAACTTATCAAATGATTTATGAAAATATGAAAAGAGGTTTCGGGCCAAAATGTCGAAATTTTACATATCAAAGTCCCACAAAGATGATTTCAGAGGTTGCTTTGGATCGATAGAAACATTTTGATTCAAGATATACCATAGTAAAAGTCTTCGTTATCAAGGTAAAAAACGCGATCGTTTGATTTTCGTCAAAAACCATGAGGTACCCCTCATGCTTTTTAGTCGGTTTTTGGCCATGTTTTTTTTGACCCAAAAAGTTGAGCAAAGGTGTCAGAAAGTTACTACTACTCAAGTACAATTATTTGGCGTCATTCCGGTGGCTCAGAAAAGTCTCCAAGTCAGGACATGAAGGCTTAAAAGCTGTCAAATTTGGTGATGTATTGCTTTATAGAGTTTATTTACACGGCATAAATCACATCTTTGGTAGCTGTAAATTACTGGAAGGGCAGTTATGTAGCCTGTGCAATTTTTATTTCGAATACGAGGCATATTGATTTTGGTAAAGCTAATTCATGCAAATTTTGATGCACTATGTTGCTGTTAAGCTTATAAACAATGGAAATAAAAAACCGAAATTGCTGCTTGAATACTATGGTTTTGCACCTTCGCTTCGCTACGATAAAATCCTCATTGAGATTAACATTACCAAATGTTAGGTTAGATTCTTGTATATATATGATGTCAAATGCTCTTTTGTTTAGATGATGAGTCAAGTAATATTGGCATCTTTAGAAGAGTATATATCAAATAGTAGCATCTATTCTTAAGCGATCGCTATGTATGTTTGTACCTGAATTACCCAAAAAAAAGCCGCAAACTCTGACATAGGGGTTGTTATAGTGAGGAGGCTCATGTTCCGTCGAGTCTTCTGAATGGTGGTGCCTGAAAGACATTCAGGCGACTCGTATACGCTTTGCAGCGGTAGTTTATGTTTTCAATGATGTAGGTATTTTTCGCTTAACCCTCAACCACTGTACAAATGTGCATGCTTCGTGCATGCAAGCTAGGATTTGGAGAATTCATGGCTTTCGTTGCGCTCTATCTAGATTCACATTTATCGTGGTGATCAAAATAAGATGGCACTGGACTTGTAAGGTTGCTCTTATATAAGCACAATGAAATTGATTGACAATGCTTTGATCAATGATGTTTAATTGTTGTTGATGTGTTTTTTTTTATGACAAAAAAGTTATATGTATAATATTATAAATGACAGCTGTACAATCTAGTTATGACGACGTTTCACCTTTCTTCTGTCGAATTCATGGGATGCCTCGTATTTAGGTAAGCTATCAAAACATTAATACATCTCATTCTGACACTCTTCCATATTTTACTCACTCTGTAGGGTCAGCAGGAAGTGGAATTGTATAAAAATAATCATGTTCCAAGGCTTCCAATGCAGTCAAACGCTTTGTTGGATCCAACGCCAAGAGTCTATCCATCAAATCACCAGCTAGCGCATCGTAATGCCCATATTCCTCTCTGACACGACGAGGTGTCACTTCAAATCTTACTTTATTGGCATCGGGCAACTTGTCCCAGTTGGGCATATTGTCTTGATTTGGCGAGCCACAAAGTTGGAAGATCTTTTTCAGTTGATCAATGTCATCTTGGCCTTGTAAAATAGGTCTTGATTTCAACAGTTCACCAAATACACACCTACACATCAAGCGGTCAATCAGAGTGTATTCTCAATACCCTGGATGGTGCCGACTTACCCTACGCCCCACATATCGATAGCACTGGTATATCTTCTTTCGCCCAAAAATAACTCTGGTGGTCTGTACCATCTCGTCACGACACAATTTGTATATTCCCTATTCTCATCCTCGATGCCACGCGCGAGGCCGAAATCTGCGATTTGCAAGATGCCTTCATTGTTGATGAGCAAGTTGGCAGCTAGAACATATAAGTTTAGTCATCAGGGAAACATTGTGTCGTTTGCTCTTAAACTACCTTTCATATCACGATGAAGAATCCGGTTCTACACAACTGCAGTTTAGTTTTCTAGATGACACACTCAAGAATAGCATCTTACGTGATGAAGATAGGCTGTACCCTCTAGTAACTGCTTGAGATAGGTCTTAATTTGAGGTTGTGTGAGTCTCACTTTAGGATTGTCTAGTAAACCAGCTAAATCGTGATCCATGTAGGGGAAAACCATGTAAATGCCGCCCTTTTCCTTTCTATTCTGATCACCTACAAGGCCCATTCTCCTTTAATTGACTGAAAAAAGGCATCGCATGTGTTGTCTCTATACCTCTCTCGACAGCAATATCGCTCAATGGCACAATGTTTTTGTGACACAGTTGCTTTAGAATCTTGATTTCTCGAATAGCTGTGATAGGAATCTAGATGGCAATAATGCTTAGTCCAATGTTGCTATGGTAGCTTGGTTCTACAGAATGCAAAACCCAATCAATACGTACGCCTTCCTTTTCATTGTGCATAAGGATTCTTTTCAGCGCAACTAGTTGGCTCGTCTGTTTATCTCTAGCCTTATGCACTTCACTGTATATTCTGTCAGTTCATGTGGATGGTGTCCATGATAGACAAGATAGTTACCCAAAAGTACCTTCACCCAGTTTGTCAAGAAACTCGTAGTCTGTAATCTTTGAGCAGCCCTTGAAATGCCGAGTGGCCTTTGTTGTCTGTCTGTTGGGTGAAGCAGCCCAGGCAGGGGATCCCATCGTACTCAAAGGAGAGCCCTCATATCTTCTATGTAGTTTAGCGCGTTGATCGTCCCTTGGCTCTTCATAAGTTCGCTTCATCGGTATTTCTTGATTGAAAAACTAATCTTTGAGCAAATTTAGAACAATCAACTGAAAGAAAAAGATTTGTATACCTGTTGTGATACCATTCATAGCTAACGTAAGCCCGTCACAGCCAAATCATCATGAAATCAGGCAACAATGGGCTCCATTTCTCGGTCTCTTTCTCTCTTCTTCAACTCTAAATGACATCTGATTCTGCTGACAACAAGGACAAGCATGAAGCTGCTAGTTTCTTTTCAAAATGGATGAGCTCGGAGAACAAGGGAGATGGCTGGGATGAAGTGTGTTTGCAATGGTGCAAGCAGAATAGCGCAGCTCGCACGGAGCATGCCGATCCCAACTGCTCTATGCTTTGCTTCAATCGCCCTGTAAATGCAGATGCTATGGATACAAACAGCAAGTGGAATCCCTTGAAAGGATACACTGTATCAGTCATCCATGGAAAGGAGGAATGTACAGATCATACCAATGGTAAGTTTCAGATGCCCATGATTGCTTTTGAATAGGCTTTTTAAACACATACTGCTGCTTAGGTATGTCTGCACCAGATCAAACTACACAACCAGAGTATGTATAGGCAGTGCGGTCATGTGGGTTATCATAGATAGCTAATTGAGTGTGTAGCTCAAGCAAGGACAAGACAAAATACAAGTTTGATTTAGGCGATCTCTGGACGCAGGCTGATGTTACAGGTTTGTCGGTAGAGTCACTCATGACAATTGACCTTAGATACTAATGCGATTGATGTATATACAGCCAAGCAAATCATTAACGACAAGGTAGTGCCGCTTTACAACTCTACGATTGAACAGGCCATTGCTCTGAAAGATAGCCCTGAGGCTGTGCAGCTTCAAGAATACGTGGTATCAAAATCAAGCGATTTGTTGAGCCAAATCTATCCAATGGCTCCTTTCAACTTGGATGGAAAACCGAATGCTACACCCTCTGATAATCCAGCAGATGAAAAAAAGTAATTTATTAGTTGATTAAAGTATTTACATGCGCATATATCTTTTTCTCTCTGTTACAAGCGTTTTTTGATGTGGAACAAGTGGCCCCTTTCTTGCTTGACGAATACAGTGTAGGAAATAGAAGCAGCAACAACAGCACCCAAAGACACAGTAGCTGGAATGAGAAAGTCGTTAGGATCAGGCACGATGGCGGTCAGCACATATTGAGACAGCTCAAATACGTTGCATAGGCTGTGTTGCCAGCCAGAAATGCTGCCAATCTGAGAGTTATCCACCATCTGTTGCATGAGCATCGTTTCTGAAATGTCAAATACCCAGAGACCAATGCGACTGACTGACATGCCACCAAACAACATGATGGGTCCCCAAGAAGATTGACTGCCCCAAGCAGTGAATGACAGCACGACAGGAACCAAAGCAGCACTCTCAAACCACAGCGCCCACACACCGGCGCGAATGATCCCTATTTTAGCAGAGAGGTATGGTAAAATGTAGGTGGAAGCGATGCCAGCAATACCAGCAACAGCTCGCAGTAACCCCAACGTCCAATCTGAGTAGCCCACGATTTTCAAGTAAGAGGTCATGATGCCGCCAAAGGACAACACAGTAAGATACAGCATGCCTGCAGCTAGACTGGCAGGGAAAATCTTGTGGTGAATATACTCTATAAAAGAAACCGAATGCTCTGCTTGATGTTGTTGATCTATGCTTGTCTCTACATTGCTTGGACCACTCATCCCCTCGGACACATCATCCAAGAGAGGTGCCTGTTCGCCTATTCTGCTCTGAATGTAATCTTTATTCTTGGAAGCCAATCGAGGGAATGCTTTGTAGGTATGGAACACCAATTGGTATTCAATGATGACTGACATGACATTCCACACAGCAATGATGATAGCACCCGTAGAGGGGCCAAACGCCATGAGAGAGCCAATCATAACGGGAGCCATTGTCTTGCAAAACAAATCGATACGCTTCATGACAGTGAGCATAACTTCTGTATCGCCGTCTGTCATCACCATGACCCAATCTTTCTCAATAGCAATATTATTGGCTATGAATGCCAGTTTGAGCATGCACCCAAACACGACGATGAAGCTATACAGCAAATAGGGACGGTAGTTGAACTCCAGGATGATGTAGAAAAGAACACAACTAGCCACAATAGCAGACTTTTGTACGAGCATTGTCATGCGAACAAACAAAAGCCTGGAAGAGGAATCAGCCAATCTACCCACCCAATTGCTCCAGACAATAGCCGAGATGGTTGTGCTGAATCCATAGATGGACGCTAATAACAAGGACGTCTTGAATATGTCACCAATGAATAGATAACATGAGAACTCAAAGACTCTATCAGTCCAAGATGTCAGAAAATGAGACACGTATAGTCTGCCCTTCATGATGGGAGAAAATAGTATATGAAGAAACGGACGAGGCTTTTTATTCAGCTACACATTTTATTGAGATTCAAATGCTTATTTTGAGCAGCTGTGATAAGGCACGTTTTAGGCTGGCACGATAGAATGGCTGCTATTGAACAGTGGTGCTACATTATCGGCCTGGTTCATGGCAACTGCTTGGCTTGAGGTGTGCTTGGTGAACGGTCCAGTGAGCGTGATGGCAAGCGTAATGCTGATGGCAAGACCCATGACAATTGTCACGATAATACAGATCATGGCAGCTTCTTTATCGTTTCTGGGCATGTTGAATATCTGCAATACAAAGTTGGGCTAGGAACAGAAGGATACATGTCTTTATATAAGAATGACAGAATAATGAAAGCATTTAGAGATAATGGGTGTAGTTGCCATGCTTGTGTACACAATGAACGAGTATACGCCTAAATCTACAATGACAATCTACATGACTGCAGCGTCATATGAATGGCGCAACGCCTCCAATTCCCCATCAGTCGCTCAGTAGCCAGCCTTGCGTGTATGAAGGGTTATGATGCCATTCATTGATACGTCATGTTACCTTCAAACCTAAGCGAAGCATACACTTCCAATGCTCGAGATGGTGTATTTCAACAAGATTAGTGATACAACTGAACACAACACATACTCATAGCGGCATGAATTCATAACCAAATACTTCACGCGGCTCACAGCACGCGTTTCCCTCCAATTTCGCTGCCCTAATCAAGCAAGTGACTATACAAGCAAGCAACCATAAATATTGGGATTCCCCTTTCCCTTTCCCTTTTTTTTTCGTTTCTTCTTGTTTGGTTTTTACTTCTTACTGCGAATAACAATAATGAGTGCTGCTTTGCTTTTGGATGCGTTGAGAAGACATGATTTGGAAGAGGTAACATGGACATATGGATTGTAATCAAAACTGTGTATTAATTATTCATTAGTATTATCCAAAGTAAAATATATATATATATATATTCTTACAGTATAATAAGCGTTTTTGCGAGACTAAACCACCTTTTTCTTTTAATCGTAGCTTATCTGCACAAGGCATCTCGAAACTGGACAATCTACTAGAGGTAAATTTGTGTTTTGACTAGATATCTTACTCGCTACAAAATGTTCCTAATTCAATCCTATAGTTATCCGAAGCAGATTACTCGAGATTAGGCATTCGCTCTCCAGAAGACAAATCAAGGTTTTTGGCGTTGACTCGAGATATCAGCATGCCCCGCAACAACAACACAACGATTAAACCTAGTAACCAGAGTAGCGATAGATCAAAGCTCAAGACAACCACTGAATGGATAACACGAAAGAGGCCCTTACCTACAGCTGGATACTCGCCAGAACGAAAGACTCGACGCATGACAATCGCCCCACAGACGCTCATTTCACGTACACCACCCAAGACGTCTGCTCGAGATCGCCGTCTTTCGTACCTACCAACAGCTTCCGTGCAGCGAGACATAGCTCATAAATCGCCTACCAAAAGCCCTATCAAACCTAGACCAATACCAAGACCCAAGATCATGAATGAGGAACATATAATTACCGAGCCGCCTAAACAACCCATTGTTGAAAAAGCTTCAACACGATATTTGGATGCGTACGGTATCCCTATGAATCAAAGAGCTAGACTTGCGCCAACATCCGATAGCCCCACACATCAGCAAGGCTCTCTTGAGGCATTCTTGCAGTCAAAGGCAACAAAACCCACCCATCAAAGCACAACAAAGGCTTCAGCAGCTCTATCATTGAATACGGCAAATGACTTGAATCAGCGTATCCGCGTATGTGTACGAAAAAGACCGTTGAATAAGAAGGAGACCAGCAACCAGGAAGTGGATATAGCTCCTCTAAGAGGCAGTCGAACTATTGAATTGAATGCACCAAAGTAAGGCATATACAGGCAGAGGGGAAGAACAGACATCTAGACGCTCAATTCTGTTATTTAGGACTCGGATTGACCTCACTCGATACACAGAGACCCACACATTCACATTTGATGATACATTTGATGGCAGCTCTTCACACACTCAGGTACCATGTCATGTGAAACACTCTGCTGGATTTGCAACTCACATCATTGACAGATCTATGCTCGAACAGCACAGCCATTAGTGGACTACATTTTCAGGGGCGGAAAGGCGACATGTTTTGCACAGTAAGTGGATATCCTTGAAGTGTGGATGTATTGTCTAATAGCAATTGGATAGTGGACAAACAGGCTCTGGAAAGACATACACAATGCTGGATCCCAACCACGGCCTCTATGTGCTTGCTGCGCAGGATATTTTTCGACTTTTGTCATCAGAATATTATGCTCACCTTTCCGCCAGTGTTGGATTCTACGAGATTTATCAGGGCCAATTATTTGATTTGCTCAACCTAAAGACCAAGTTGGTTGCAAGAGAAGATGGTAATGGAAATGTGGTGATTGCAGGTCTTCGTGAGTATCCTATTGGCAGCGTGGAGGATCTCATGTCGGTATTCGAGTACGGAAATCAAGGCAGAACCACTGGCAAGACTGGCGCCAACAACAAGTCTTCTCGCTCACATGCTGTGCTTCAGATCCTGTTAAAAACAAAGACGACTCCTCCCAAGGTGCATGGCAAACTGAGTTTTATTGACTTGGCAGGCAGTGAAAGAGGCGCGGATAGAGGCGATGCGAACGATAAAACAAGGTATGAAAGAGGGACGAACATGGGCTTTGTTCCCATCATGTATACTCACATCCTTGACCAAACAGACAAGAAGGTGCAGAAATCAACAAGAGTCTTTTGGCGCTAAAAGAATGCATTCGTGCCCTGGATCAAAACAAAAACCACACTCCCTTCAGAGGAAGTAAACTCACTCAAGTGTTGAGAGACTCCTTTACAGGCGATTCTCGGACATGTATGATTGCTACCATATCCCCTAATAACTCGAATAGTGAGCATACATTAAATACCCTCCGTTACGCTGATAGGTACAGTATTGAAGTCGATGTGGAGAGTACGTATGACTAATAAACGATTGTAGAGTTAAGCAGTTGAGAGGAGAAAACGATCCTCGTTTGATGGGTGATTACGGCCGAAATGCAGACAGTAAAGAAGGAGGGGGCCTTGTTACAGCAGATGCAGAAGTCGAAGTGAGAGATACAGACAGTCAAAGTGTGTCCAATTCAGATGCGATTTACGAGAACGATGCCTCAGAAAACTTGTTGGAGGTGGATTTCCCATCAAGCGAAGTAGCTGCGAACGCCTTGACAACGCCTACCAATGAACGCTACTACCACGCCATCAGTGCCCCTGAATTGACTACAGACCGCCAGGAAAAGTATCTCCAACGTCTTGAATCACCACCAGCCGAGGTATTTGATCAAAGCATGGATGATCCGTTTGGATCAGTGCCACTTGTGAAGGACGGCGCGGCAAGTCAATCCATGCGCATCGATGTCAGTGAATCCGACATGTCATATTCTACAGTAACCGCCACAACAGCTACAACATGCAATGAAGCCAGGCTTCGCAAGTTTGTGCGAATGCATCGAGCCCAGATCAGCCGCATGGAGGACTGCATAAAGAAAGAAAAGATGATACTTGGCAAAATATCAATGACCATCCTTACTGAATCAAGCGGTGCAGACGATATGGAGGATGACTTGATGGATCATCAGCAACTCAAGCAGGATTATGAAGACTATTTGAATGACTTGGACGATATTCTGGATACACAGTTTGATTTGGTCAATGACCTCAAGAGTAGAATTAAGGATGAGCTGGAGGAATAAGAGTAATAAAAAGAAATTCATTTATTTTTATCGACATTGATCTGTTTAATTACGAGTCCATCAGAGGTTGAATAGGAAGTCGTGCTAGAGTGGAGGCTGGAAGGGGAGGCTGCTGCTGCTAATGACTCCCTTCTGGCTGCTTCGTGTAAATTGTCCAAACACACATTCATATCTATGAGATACTGTCGCAGTGATCGCTGCTCATTTCTGCCAAACACAAAACCTACAATGAGGGAGACGATGGCCACTACAGAAAAGACAATGATGAACAGTCCACACACGATGCTCGATGCCAACACTGTCAGCTGAGACTCTGCAAAATAGAATGGAACAGCAATTTGACAGCTGTACAAGCAAAATACAATCAATACAGATAGACCAAAGAGAAACAAGAGCCCATTTGCTGTTGATGTTGCTTTTAAAAGATCTCTCTCCAAGATACGGACGATGGGGTATAAGCTATCTGGTAAAATATGCGTGAAATCAGGTCGTGCAATCTCCTTTGATAGAGGTGCATAGCCATCATCAAAGACGCTGTTGGTTTTTGCAGCAATCAGAAATATTGAATGCACTGCAAAATGGTCAGAGTAGCTCATCTGTGTGTTTGGCATGTATTCTTCGAATGCGACTCGAGACTGTTGGCATGTAATTTCTGGTGTACGTCTGTAAAAGATGTAGTCAAGTCTATCGCCAATGTCTTTGGCATACGGCTGCTGTTTCAAGAGATGCTTGGTCCAGGTATTCAGTGGTGAATCGCAGGTAATTCCAAATAACTGGATGCATTCAGACGCTGTTAGTTGATCTCGCTCCAGTCTGCCAAGGCTGTCTGCCATGGTGTCTTTGTGCATTTCTAGCCATGAATCTGTCATGAATGCATGGTTCTTTAGGATCTGATAACAGTGGCTAGTTGGAATGCTGTTGAAATCGCCTGCCTAAAAAAAACAGCTTGCAATGTCAGTGTTCTGTCTGTCTGTCTGTCTGTCTCTCAGCCCGGATATCCAGCACGGCCATTACCAAAATGACATGCCTGCCTTGTGCAGCTGATACTCTTACACTGTTGGCTATTTGCCAGCACTCAGTGATCCTCTGTGCTTGATAGTCATCATGGTTCCCATAGCCAGCCTGTAACTGCAATCAGATGTGAGTGGCACAATGCCTACATGAACCAGCTGAATGGGAACTTACATGAGTGGTATAGACATCAATGAGCCCAACTTCTGGATGATCAATGCATACAGACCCACAGCCTTTGCCCACGTAAAAATCGCCTTGAAACACTTTAAGAGGTTTTCCAGCAAGCGTAAATTTAAGATAGGATGATGACAGTATCGGAAAGCGAGATAAGATGGCTAATCCACTGCCCAATGTCCCACTAGAATTCACATTAATTAAGCAACCATAGTGAGTGCTATCGCTTCCTTTACCTGTGAAAGTATTTTGTATATGGCAAAACATCTCTTGCTCGCTCTTTGATATAATCAAAATCTTCCCACATCCAGACTTCTTGCAATGCTACAAGGTCATACTGCTCTTGGCCCACGCGATTGGCAATGGCTCTCAATCGAAGCTTTCGCTTCTTGGCAACCATGTTGAGACCCCTTTTTACAATTTGGGTCAGATAGCTGGAGTGAGAATGCTGTTTGTTGGCATATTACCAGCAATTGAGTGATAAAACAGATAGTGTGCTTGGTTGCGCCGCCGCATTGAACATGTCTATGAACGAGCAGTTGAAGAAGAAGAGCAATAAATTCCCGAATTCATATTTCGAGAGTATTTCTGGTGTTCAAATGGCCTTGAAATGAGGACGGGAAGGACAGATTGTATGCAATCGACTCAAGACACAAGGAGCACGATTACCACATCAAAAACCGAGCATTCAACTGAAAGTTCAAGCATCCAAAAACATCGCAGACGTTTGTAGATGTACATCTTGACGGTTCTTTTATGAACAACTCTCATCTAGTACGGTGTGGTGTGTAGTACATGTCTTTGCATGGCACTCCAATGATTTGTAGGTAATTTGCTTTGATAGGCTGTAGAAGCAAGATGAAAGAACGTGTGATAAAGAGCTCATGTAGCCATATTGAGGAGTATTTGAGTGCGTGTTGACATATCACAAGACCAATACAAAGAATAGCATTACAAAATGAATATATGAATAGTATGTAAGGTTTGTCTACGATTTTTATAATCATCAACGAATATGTGATATACAAAAGTGCAAATGATCAAAGAGAGAGAGAGAGAGAGAGAGATGGAAGGGGAATCTCGATTATTAGAAAAAGTATAGTGCGAATGTTTGCCTGCTTCTTTTTGTTTTACTAGTAAATTTTATCAAAAGTAATGGAAAAAAAAGAGACAAAAGGAAAGGTGTATATAAGGTGAAAGGATGCGGTTAGTGATTTATATAAAAACATGTGTATCAGTACAAGAAGTTTTGGTTGCTTTAGTTCTTCTTGGGACCCATCTTGGGAGAGATGTTCTTGGGGCAAGAGACAGTCTTCCAAGAGATATCAACAACACCATCATTGAGAGTAGCAAGCTTTTGGAAGGCGGCAGGAGTCAAATCGATAGCCTTACCGACCTTACAACCAGCACACTTGTCAACAATCTTGACAACAACAGTCTTCTTCTTGTTCTTGTTGTTGGTGATCTTCATACACTTGTAGCAGTTTTCAAACTTGTTCATGGCCTTTGTTTGCTTTGTTAGCTTTTTTTTTTTTTTTGCTCATATATTGCATCAAATGGGTATCTCTTACCATAGCACCGATCATACTGTGGATGGTAGCAGAGTAGGCAGGAAGGCCATTACGGTCGTAACAAGCGGCGTTCTTTAAATCGTTGCCGCTGTACCTAAGGAAATCAAGAAATGCTGTCAGTAAAGATGAATGTAGATGCGCATTGAGTCTTACCAGGTACCACGACCACCACGCTTCTCCAAGAGATCAGTGGTAGTAGAGTTATCAAACTTCATGATGGTGGCGATACCGCGGCCACGAAGCTCGGTTGCCTTGGCAACATTGATGAGGGATGCAATGACAAGTGCACAAAGGGAGATACAAACAAGGAGCTTCATTTGTAAATTGAAATAAGGAAAGTTTCAGGTAAAGGAAGGGGTTGATTGAATATCAAGAATGAAAATTAGGAAAACAAGAAAGAAGAAGAAGAAAACAAGAGAGACAGAGCGAGAGATGTAGCTTTAAACACCAAAAACCGGACCCGCCATCATATTGAGATTGTGCTCTTCATGACCTTTTGTAAAGTGATGTTCATTGCTACACAAATATAATTAAGTGAAATGTTCAGTAGGAGTTGGATGTCGCTTTTTTGGAATCTCGTGTAAGTCAAGCTCTTTTCTTTATACCCTTTTGAGTAGAGATCTGCTTTTAACCTCTGGTCAGATATTAAAATTGCTGTGCCTTTTGAAGGCTTCGGTCTAGATTGCACCGCATACTTAATATGAGATAAAAATAGTGTGAAATAACTGTATAAATGTATGAAATTAAACCACGTTTCGAAGGGTTTCTAGCGTTTCTCTTTATTTCATCTTGTCTCTTGTCCCGTCCATTGAAAAAGAAAAAGGGGGGTGGCTATCCTTGTGAAATTCTCTGTATATTTTTGATTCATTTGGGTGTGGTTCCGGTTAGTGTTCCACTTCAAATGTCCATAACTCTTGGAATAAAAGGAGACAACCTGCTTTAGAGACCCGAAGAGCAAATGATACGTTGCACACAAGTGCTTTTCATGCTTTATAAAGAAAGACACCCTGCTCACCATTTCTAATTTCAAAGGAATAATGTACACAACAGATATTGCTTGACCCAATGACATTGATTTCTCTTTTGTCTGTTTGCCATGAACACAAAGATGACCTTGAAACAGTTTTATTAGTCTTTTTTAGGCCATTTTTTACATTCATTCTTTTGAATAGAAACGAGAACCTTTTTCTATCGTTTTCTGATCGACGTATACTACATTGACGCATTATACGATCTAGTGCTCACGCCTAGCTCATCGTCAGAGACACTCATTAATGAAGCAATAAAATGCTAGGTCTTACTGCTTTCAAACACTGGATGACCCCGAACTGCTCATCAAAATGATCCAGAAAACACTCGGTTCATGTCAATACATGGATATAATGAAAGGCTGAGAAGTAATTGGTTGCAGCAATATATATATATATATATATATACAAAAAGGCAAAGATCCAAGCTATTTTTAAATGTCATGTTGCTCTATAAAGTAAAGTTTGGTTCATGTCTGTTCTTTGATTTTTAATACAGAAAACCCAATGATTGTACCTGGGTTGGTACATTCAAGCAGCAGAAGGTTCAAGCGTTTCAGGGATGAACTTTAAAAAGGCATACTAGTATACCTGGTCAGTGCTAAAAAAAAAATACAGCATTGGAGACTCTTTATTGAAGAATGCGGGATGTGCTGATTCGCATGTATGATTTTCTTGCAATACAAAAGGCTCGCTACGTACATTTTGCAATTGTGTGAGTGTTTTGCCATGATATTAAACAATGTATCACTTTTGTGTGCTCAATTTGTTTGTGAAACTGCACAAACAGGTTGCAAATATTTCTCGTATCACCAAAGCAATAGCATCAAGCCCAAGTAAAGCCTTTGAATTCGCAGCATTTGTTGCCAACTCATCCAGTCAGTCATTCATGGTAGAGTGGTATACATACCACGACACAATGCCAAGCCGTGTAGGAGCAAACCATTTTGAGCACAATTTCCATGTGTCAATCTACCTTTTTCCGTTTAAAAACGAAAGCTAATCTATCGAATATTCCACATCTTGCCACTCGAGGCCTCTTGAATTATGAAGATTGCCACAACTTGGATGCCTCCTAAATCAGATAGCACGCCAAAAGCTGTGGTGCTCATAGATACAATTAAAAGGGCTAAGAAACGTGAATTCCTCTCGTTACAAGCAACATTGCACCTATTTGTTGTATTAGGCTAGACCATTTAGATGAACGAGTCTATGTTGTCAATATGGCTTTCAAGGGCAAGGAAGTATTTGGATGGGGGTCGTGCTATTGTTGTCTATTGCTCCTACATAGACGTTCCGCGAGCTCATGTATGCCGGTGGTGAAAGGATACAAATCCGGATTTTGTCTGATAGACCTTAGCACAGCAGAATCCCAAAGACTGGATACCCTCAGATACATCGGCTACACTCCTCATGCGCTAGCGAAATTTGAAGTGATTTATTCGATTTCACTTTCAAAAGTGTTACCCTGTATGATATAGTTTATTAATTATCTCATTCTCAGCCATGTATAGACAGTCAGCACGTCAACCCAGAGATCTATCTGATTAAACAATGATAGCGAGCCTATTTTGTATATATGACAAAACTATTATGCAACAGTTTCGCTACGCTTTCATTACGTATGGATTAGAAGTTTCAAATAATCGCGCTAGTAGCTTTTGAAGCCTACTTTGGGGTTTCGGAGCCGCGTTGATTTTGCATTAATATAAAACGAGCTGGTTTGCTAGAAGATTTTGCATTTCATCTGTATACTACATAAAAACAAAATGACCAACGTTGAACAATTTGTCGAAGACGCCATCAAGAATAACAAGGTTGTAATCTTTACCAAGAGCACCTGTCGTAAGTAGCATGCATAGTGAACATGACACGTTGATTTTGCTGACACGGTGGATTTAGCCTACTGTAAAAAGGCAAAAGCTCTTTTGGATGGATACAATATCAAGTATGAAAATATTGAATTGGACAAGCATCGTAAGTAAAAAAAAAAAAAGACATCAGGTATCTTGGAGAGGTTAGTAACCTATAATACAATAGCCAACGGTGAAGCTATTCAGGAGTATTTGGCCAAGAAAACTGGTCAAAAGACTGTCCCCAATATCTTCATTGATCAAAAGCATATTGGTGGTTCTGATGAACTGACAAAGCTTGAAGGTGGAGGTGAACTCCAAGGACTCATTGCTTAAATCAAGCTAGTTCTATGTATATTTGTGTAAATAAAATACTCTTTTATGAAAATATCGATATTATCACGCAGTGTTTATGAAGGACACTTTCCAGTATGCCTTTGCGTGTATGCTCCCAAGTATGAGGTTAGAGTAATCTGAAACTGGTTCAATTATAAGCTGTCTCGATATATTGCGTAACAGACACATACCAGCCGCCGCCCTTGCATTCGATTGGATCATTGGACTGGTCGCTTATTCTCAAAGTAATAGATGGTAGTTTTATTAGGTTAATCCATTGGATAGTTGTGTGTTGACATCGCTAATAGGTGCTCAATATGGGCATTCTCTTTCTTCCATTTGTTGAAGATCCCTTGATTTCTTTACTATCAATGTGAGGAACACCAATCTCATCACACTTGCTCAGGGACAAACTCAATCTGACAGCCATGCGATACTCAAAATCATATTTTGTGCATGACATGGCCAACTGCCACAGTTTGCGACTCTTTTTGTAGTTTCCTAGGCCCCAACTAGTGACGCCAGATTCTAGTACGAGGTTAGACATGTTGTATGTAAACGACATCTCGCAAGACCTACCCCAGTATGTGAATGGTATAACCCAGTTCTCCTCCTTGACGCACTCTTTATGATCCAGGATCCAGTTCAAATGAGCAATCGTTTCGTCGTGTCTGCCGAGTGAGTTTAACACGGAAGCCTTGACTAATAGTAGAACAGCTCTTTGGTCGTAATAATCGGGTGGTGTTGTGATAGGCACCAATTCCCGAAGTCTAATGTTGTACTCCATCTTTTCTCTCTCGTAAATCAACTCTAGAGTGTGTTGCACCAGATCCAGGCACTTTTCAAGGCTCTCCTTTTCCATGTGCTCAAAAGCATTCATGACCAACAAGATTTCCAGGGCGGGCAAGCTGAAATCCATGTCTTGATATCCACTCTTCTGGAAGAAGGCTACCTTTTTGAGAACGTAGGTGTCAATGTACGTTTTCTTACCGTTGACGAGTTCTTCGGCAAGTGCTGGGACCTCGGCAAATGCTAAAATGGCCTCCGTACGCTGACCCATCATTTCGTGGCATGTGCCCACAAAAAATTTGGAGAATGCGGGCGACCAGTAGTTTTCACGGCTCAGCTGTTCAAAGTAGCTTGCAGCACCTGCCCAATCGAGCTCCAGTGCAAGATTGAATCCAATCTCGTAGTCTGACATTTGTTTCATGGCTACTTCCGCCCATTCACCTCGGCTTGACTCAGCAGCAAATGTAAAAGACTGAGTTGAAAGAGGTAGGTTTCGTGCTACTCGAGCAATACGAGCTGCAAAGAACAAAAAGAAGCAGGAGTTGGGATGGTTGCTCTGTGCATCTAGCAAACACTCGATAGCAGGGCTCATCATGTCTTTGGAGTACAGTTGAGGGGCAAATGATGTCAACACGGAATAATAGGCCAACAATCTATGATGGCATGTCAAAAAGTAGATCTTGTCTCTGGGTTGATGCAATGACTTACGTGAGCGATGCCAAGGGAGCACGGATACCTCTTCCTTCCAGACATAACTTGAGCAATGCAAATCCCAGCTGTTTATCGCTCTTCCACCCAAGGGCAGAAAAGATCTTGAGGATCTTGGGAGGCATGGATGATAGAATCAGATGCACTGCACCAATACCAAACTGGATAGCTGACACAGTATCACGATCCATATATTTTGTGTACTCTTGCCCCATTCTCTTGTACTCTTGCCACACAACGCCGTAGCTATTGTAAGCTACCAGACACCCATTTAGTAGCAATAGCCTCCATGCCGTATCTTTACGTACCTCTTCTGATATTCAAACCACACTTGAGATACCCCACAACGCTCTCCTGAGTCATTTGAAGAATACCCATCAACAAGCAGCATTCTGCTTTCACGACATGCGCTCTCAAAACACCATTTGGAATGAATGCGCTGGGATCGGAAATACCGCCACTGCTGTTGGGCATAGACATGGCTGGTGGATTGGTAGGCAAGCCTGTGTTGTTGGAAGAAAGCAGTGATGTGAAATATTGGCTGACGGTATCTTTGAATGGTTTCTTGAACGAAGTATTATCGATTTGGGTTTTTGCAATGGTATAAGCAGTTGCAAGCGCGCTCATTGCTATCTCGATGTCTGAGTCATGGTAAGTCTGTGGAAATTGTCAGTAACCGCTTTATGTGTGAGTTGCAAATTCCATACCATGATTGCTAGATGTAGTGTTGGTCAGTATACGTGATGAAAACTTTCATACCTGACATCTTACCTTTGATGAATGCCATTGCACCAAGCCCCAACGCATACAAAGGATCACTACATGTTTGTATGGTCAGCCTTTAAACATCTAGATTGTGTATCATCTGCACCTACATGCTTGCTTTGGTCTGAAATACAGACTTGGCCTTCATAAACTTGTTATCAAACAAGTACTTCATGCCCTCTCTTACAGGCTCATCTGTAGCATATATTTTCAGTCTCCCTTTTTGAAGCCCAATCCACTTTGAACGACTTGCCTGCTTTTTCCTGTTCATAAGGCTTCATGTTGTTGGCTGGAATATCCTTGGGATCAATCGCTTGGATGGAAATAACATTGTCCTTGAACATGTCCAAATCAATGGGATCTTCGATGGGGTATTCAAACTCTCTGCTGTACTTTGCACGAGCATGGTCCTCTGGCAGAATATGCGCATCATTGTCTACAGAAACCTTTGGCTTCTCAGTTGTCACATTCTTCACTGATTCCTCCACAGCAGGTAAGATGGCAGCCAAATGGTTGAATGTAGGCTTCTCAGGCACAGCTTCCTCTTGATGTAGAGTTGCCACTGATTCATCGCTTGAACCGCTTGGAGTTGCATCTGAAGCGCCATGCGTTGATCTAACGGCAGTTTGTTGAGTGAATTTACTACTGTCTGCGTGTTCCACTGTTGTAGACTCTTCCATTTCTTGCTGTACTGTATCTTTAGCTGTTGCTGTGTCCAGCTGGGTGTCTTTAGTAGCAATATCAGTGGGAATTACAGCTGGTATCTCATCCGTAGAAGCTGCTACCGCTGTTGGTGTAGCCTTGCTTTCTTCCTTGTGTTCTGATACTTCCTTTACCGTGTGAACTTCATCAGGAATTGATTGTTTGTCGGCTTCCAATGGTGCTTCCTCTTTGGATTCAGGGACATCAGCAAAGGGCGTGGGAGGAACATAAGGTCTCTCTACTGGAATTGGTTCATAGGTTGCTGGCTTTTCAGATATTACTGCTTTTTCAATGACTGGACTCTCAGCGGCAACTGTAGGCTGGGATGTAGTAGCAGTAATGGGTGTTGATGCCACTTCCAATGCTTCAATCTCAGCAATGAGATCTGATGAAGATGAAGACGATCCCACTGCAAGCTTCTCTTGATCTTCCTTTTTGTTCTTCCCCTCCACTTCCTCTCTTGTGTCATCTTGAATGGCCTTCTCGTTGGGATCCTTCAGCGAAACATCATCATCGTCGTCCTCATCAGAAAATCCATGATTTTGTAAAGCTGGCAAAATAAATGACATTCTGGATGGGTTCTTCTTGGCTGGTTCCTCTTCAGCAACAGCCATTTGTGGCTCCTCTTTCTTGACCTCTTCGTTCTTTGCAGATGTACTTCGTTTTTTGTCTTGAGCAATAGCCATCTCTTTCATCTTTTCAACCTCCTTTTTCTTCTTTTCCTCCTCAGGATCCTCATCTTGAAAGTAATCATCGTCTTCGTCTTCTTCCTCATCTTCTTCTTCACTGAGAGCGTCTTCGAAATTGTCGCTGGTCAAAGAAGATGATCTGGATCGAGTAACAGCTTCCTTTGATCTCTTCGCAGTATGTTAGCAATTTCGATCAGCAGCCTCTTCCATTGCGTAAATTACCTTTGAATCATCCTTTGACTCGGCTGTTTTGCGCGAATCTTGAGATGCAATGGAAGCAGGTCTATCTGCGTCGCTTGCTTTCTTTTGAATACCTTTCCAGGCGGTCTTTTTGTTTGCCCCTTTTGCCATTTGTTGTATGATTTTCTACTGTGGTGTTTACTGTTTGTGTTATTCAAGCGCTTGTATACAATGCTGTAGAAAGTGAGAAGGAAACAAAGAGAGAAAAAAGTGGAAAAAAAAAGGTACAATATTTATTGAGTGTGTGTGTACATGAAAATTAATTGCCTTGTGTTGCACTGTAAATTAAGCGGAACCATAATGAGGCCTATTCCTCTTATACCATGTACTAACAAATGAGAGCTTTCTATGAGAAGAGGATATAAGTCTCCTGTTCTAGTATGTAAAGAATAGCCTCTTCTCCGGGGAAAGGGAGAATCCACATAGATTAGTTATCTCCTTAATTTTGTTTCGCATAAATATGATGGCATAAATCATCATGAGATATGTGCATAGCGGCAGTTCAAGTCCTGAAACGCCACCCAGCACCCATTGCTCTATCCTCTTCTATAAAAAAACTACACATCATGCATTCAACACTGGTTTCTTTCTTCTTCTGAAATACAAAGACTGAAAAAAATGCCACAAACAAATCACACAAAGCTCATTATCCTGGGGGGAGGCGCTGCAGGAATCCTGATTGCCATGCAACTTGCGAAGACGAAATATCTCGAGATTACATTAATTGATAACAAAGTAAGTTGCCATCATCTATAACACAAACAGAAACTCACATGTGCGTAGTCCTTTTATGAATATACTCCAGCGCTCTGTTCCGTCTTGTTTGAGGCTTCAGACAAGGCATTTGAGCAGCATTTCAATAGCATCACTTTTGAATATGCGCCCTATCTCGCGAACCTCAATGTCAAATTCATTCTCGGAAAAATTGCATCAATCAAGGATGGAAAAGGTACAATGTTGATGTCATGTTTGTTTATATAATTTTATCAACGAATCGAAATATCTAGTTCATTTGGTCGATCAATCGCAAGCAATCGACTACGACTATGCTGTCATATGTACAGGATCAAGCTACGCCGATCCATGGAAAACTGCTGCACCAGATGATGGCAGTATTTTGGACCTAACAACTCGATTCAATTTCTTACGTCAACAGAGACAAAAGTACCAAGCATCGCAAGACATTTTATGCATTGGTGGTGGCCCAGTGGGCGTCGAAACTGCTACGGAAATAGCGTGTAGATCGCCTACAAAGAGAATTACACTTGTCGATGCGAATGAGAATGTGCTTGCAAGCGCTCCCTCTAATATCGGTCGATATGCTCAAACCATTATCGATGCCAAACCCTCCATCCGAAGTATTCACAAGGAGAAGGCGACTGAAAAGGAGAAGAGAGGCAACAAGTCAATCTTTGAAACAGATAAATCACATACAATCATCGAAGCAGATCTCGTATATAACTGCATCGGTGTCACTCCTAATTCTGGATTTCTCGATAAAGAATGGCTGGACGACAAGAAGCAAGTTGTGGTGGATGATACACTCAAGGTGCGCGGCACTACCAACATTTTTGCTGTGGGCGATGTCAATTCCATGCAAGAGCCTAAAATGTTCTACACTGCACACATGCAAGCTGTCCATTTTGTAAAAAATATGCGTCGTATTCTGAAGAACGTATCTCGAGATGAGTTGTTAGTTCCATATCAAGGCGCCAAGATTAATATGGTGGTCTCTATGGGTCCTTCGTACGCTGTAGGACATGTATCTGGCATAAACCTTACAGGCTGGCCTCTTGGCACCAAGAATGGTAGTCGAATTGCTGCAGTGACCAAATACTTTATTGAACGTATAACGATGAATGATCTTGGATTGAAGATTCCAGTCAATAATTTGTTATATTATACTCAAGAAAAGGGATATGGCGGTCTTCATCCACACTCATCATAATTAAATCTATTCTTTTTGAAATAAAATTCTTTGTTCACTGTAATTGATCAATTTTTGCAGATAAATTAGTACTCCAAAGAAAATTAAAAGCATATGGTTTATTTTCGTGAGACTTTCACAATTCAACCGACTGCCAAAAAATATGATTTCTGCCAGACTTGAACTGGCGGCCTTCTGCGTGTTAAGCAGATGTGATAACCGACTACACCAAGAAACCACTTTCTTTTGTCAGATGCGAATACGTAGAGATAGTATATGCAATCTGAGATCTGATCGAGATAGATATAGATATAGATGTAGGGATTATGCAGGAATGTATATAGCCTTTTAGTTGAATGGATAAAAAGGTACTTTATTAATATTAGATTTGAACATTGATTTTATCCAATATAGTTTGTGTAATGTTGTGCGCTATCCAGGTTAATCGCTGTTTAATGTTCCTGGTAGCTGGCGCTCTAGGTTTAAACCTGCGCTTCTTATTCTTGTTTGTGTTTAGTCTGTCAATGATATCCTGCAGATCTAAATCACTGTCAGAATACCCTTCAAACCTGACACTTTCGCTTCTCCATCACTTTTATTAGGGCAAATCTTTTTTCCGCGAGGATAAACGTTCTCCCGAGATACACGTGACAGTTACAGAAGACCTTTACAAGTACACACATACAAACAATAGCACCAACAATTAGCAAACCCATAGCAAACAAAGCGAACAGCTCAACAGCACCTACCTTTGAATTTCTCCCTCAAACAGAAGTCTTCAAGTCCACAACTCTTGCAGCAAAGTCGCACGACGAATTAGACCATCCAGTCTCAACTGAACCGTCCACCGACACCACCTCGCTCGATCCATTCACTCAGGACACCCTAACTGACAACCCAGTTACCAAATCCTGCAAGCGTAAACACAGCCTAACCACTACGGATAGCTTACCATCGAAAGTTATCAAAATGAGAAACCCAAAGGACAAAATCCCTGAAAAGGACATCTTGAAAAAGCGAATCACAACCACAACAACCACCCCCAGCTCGGTTAAGAAATCAGCAAGTGGTACGTCACTGTTGCCCAAACCAACTGCACGTAACACAGCAACCGACAAGCTGCAACGCACGGTCGAGGAAGCAAACAACAATGCAGATCAACCAATGCAGGAAGATCAGCATAGCACTCCTTCAGTCAATGATGATCCAGCACCATCTGCGGCAGCACTCGACAATACTGGTGCACCTTTGGTCAGCCAAATGTCTTTCTCCCCTTCTGCCAACACGCCAGAGTGGGTGTTTCATTTCCAGAGGGAATTCAGAGCTCACGAGCAACGCATTGCCTCCTTGGAGTACGCTATGGCCGAAATAGACAGACTCAAGTCTGAACTGGATGCCACGAAAACTGAATTAGCTTCAGCAAATGCTCAGGTTGCCTCTCTCCAAAAGTAACTCTTGGTGCGCACTGACTCTGGCAGCAATGCCTCTCAGTATGCGTCGCTCCCTCCAACAATCCAGGCTACTAATGGTCGTGCTCCATCTCTTTCACCAGCAGAGTTTCCAGCTTTGCCTGCTAGTAACACCAAGTCTGCCTCTTCTTCCCCAAAGAACGCTACCTCATATCAACCTGTCAAAAAACGTAAGAAGGAGTCAATCAAATCTATCTTGCGCATGTTTGAAGCATCCTGATGAATTCGTAATAATAAGTCGATGATAATAATCAGTTGTCAACTGTATCTAAAACGAAAGCAAAGAGCTTCTTTATTACAGGGCATCTAGCTTGCTCAAATATGGTAGATCCCTGGTCAATGACTACTACGTTGAGATGGTATATAAATAGCAGGCCACTGGGGCCTTATGGATTGTTGGTATAGCTTGTTGAGAGGCCACCTAAGTCGGTATGTTTCATGTAGTGTAGGTGGATCTCGATATTTTGACATTGGGGAGATTGAATGTATTGTAGTTCCTGAGGCACCTGTGCACACACAATTGACTGGACTTGTAAACATAGATGTGATGTGATACGATAAACATCATCTATGCTGCTACACTGTAAAAGGTGGCTTGAGGAGAAAGTGAATGTAGCCTAAGATGCATGCTTGTATGCAACACATCCCGTGTTGTAGATCCTTCCATCTTGGAGGATCCTCAATACCGTTACTTCCACTTCGCTTGTAAGTATCGCAAGAAGCTCGCCAAGTATCGTAGTCAGCTACGTCGTCTCGGTCTTGACACTGGACGCATCTTGGATATCCACTACCCTGCCAAGGGTATTGTTGCTCTCTTGATCCACCAGGAATACTCAACTGACTTCCTTGCAACGCTGGCCAAGCACAAACTTGAGCCTATCACCGACTTCGATCAATTTGCTGCTGCAAATCTGAACGATCCTGCTCTCCTCACTCTGGATGATGCTGCTCGTGCTGCTAAAGCCAGAGAGCTTTGTTTAGAATAACAAAATATAGACAGAGTAAATACAATTAGAACTGAATATATTTATTATGTTATTCCAAGATTGAATAGGGATCAAAACTAGTGTAGATATCAAAGGTATTTATAGTTATTTGACAGTGCCGCAGCAATAGGACCTTGATCTTGAATGCGGGATAATTGTATAAGCCTTGAACCAGTAACGAGGATGTGCTGCATCAGAACTCATGAACCACTAGTCAAGGATAAACAACAAAGATGATCCAGGATAGAATGTTCTTCCTAATAGCTTTGACGGAAGAACATTTGTCGGAATTGAAACCCACTTCCAGGGACGAAAGACCATAGGCTACCACTCTCTAGGAACCAGGATATAGATTAGCCATTTGATGGCACCACTCATGTTCCTTCGTGCTGCTTGAATAAAGACCTCTCACTTCTACTATGCATCTCAGCTCATTCTCAGATCCTCTTATGTAATAAACGACGCTTAATACACTTGCCTCTCAGAGATGATCTATATCCTCAACAAGCTTCAACAAGCCCGTCTCGCTCGTGGTATTCAACATGCCCGCCAGTACTTGCGTTCTGCCATTGCTCGTGATTTTCAAAGACAAGGCTTCCTATCTAGTGAACAAGTGGAGACCATCCTCCGTGGTGGATCCATCTCTACCTCTGTGAATACTGACATGGACACCCAAGGTTTTGAATCCTCTGCTGCCTCTTCTTCTTCCTCCCCAGTGTTTGCCACTGGTGCTGCTGCTTCCTCCCTCGCTGGTGCTGGTGAACCAGCCAACTCCCAATGAGTGTAGAGGCCATCTATGATGACCTCCCCACTCCCCATTCCGCTCCTTTAGTCTTTGAATCCGCCTCCCTCTCTTCTTCTTTACCGCCATCCTCACCTGCTCCTCCTGCTCTCACCCTAACCACTTGGAATGCCAATGGCCTTGTCCGTCAAACCGTCAATACTGTTACTGACTATCTAAGTGATTTTTCTCTCATTTTCATCACTGAAACATGGTTACTCCCTCCGTTACGCTTCCCCACAACATGGCAGCAGTTCCATACCTATGGTAAACGAGTCTCTGGTGATCCTCATCACACACATCGTGGCCAACAAGGTATCACACTTTTTGTGAACCCCACTTGTCCCTACCCAGTCATGCCTCTGCCTTCCCGCTCTCCCTATGTCTTTTCTTGCCGTGTCTCCAAATACCTTATACATTGCCTGTATTTGCCACCATCCTTGTCGGATCAAGAAGTAGCTACTCTCTTTGAGGGCCCTGATGCTTTGGAACAAGATGCCAACACCATCCTTTGTGGTGATTTCAATGCTCGAAGTCAAGCCCTGCTTGGTGACACTGCTACCTACACTCGTGGTTCGTGGCTGCATGAATTCATCCTGTCCAATGGATTGCACTGCTGGAATGCGCTTTTGGCGTATGGTATCCCTACCCTCTCTTCACCAAGTCGGTTGGACAATGCTCAAGTTGGACATACATCGTGGAATAGTATTGTTGATCTGATCATCAGCTACTCCCCCCTTCTTGAACCTACCATGACCATCCATGATGCCAATCTTGGCTCTGACCGTGTGCCTGTGTCTCTCTCCTTTGTTCCCACTACTGCTCCACCTCCTGCTGCTCCTCATCCTCGTCTTCTCTGGAAATTGTCATTATTGGATGATCACAAGAGTGTAGAGCACTACCGGGCTTTGTTTAGGGTAGAAATATCCCCTATCAAAACTGCACTATTGGCAGAAGTTAAGTACACACTAGACATGCTCAATCACAACCACAGTACCTCTACTCACGCCAACTCTTCAAATATCTCTAGACCCCATCCACCGGATGTAGATATGTTGGCTGATAGCCTCACGCGGGCTATCCATACCAGTTTGGACAAATCAGTTGGTCGCCAAAAGCCTCCTGGTCCTCGTGGTAATGCTCGGTTCTGGACTGATTCACTCCAACACTTGGTTGAATTACGTGAGGACGCTCGAAGGGCTTGGAAACGAGCTCCTGAGGGCGTAGGTAAAGCTCTGCACAACTGCCTATAAAGATTAAGGTATTCTTGATGGGTAGATATGTCTGTGTTGTGCAACAACATGGACAAGCTATGATAAGTGAAGTGCATCTCAGCTATCTAAATACTGAGGTTCACCAGATGTGATAAGCGTTGTACAAGATAAATTGCTACTTTGGCATTCAGAACTTAGTATAAATAGAATAACTCTTGTCTTCATCAATAAATCTTTAGTTTTTGTGTCTGATCTTATTCAAATAAGTCTTTTCTTGTTTTTATAATATCGAACATTTTTTATAAGCTACAAATAATAATCCTTTTATTCTTTGTGCTTAACACAATGGCTCCCGTTATTCGTCCGTTACATATTTATCTTATTTTATTATAATTCAATCTTAGAATAACTTAATAGATATATACAGTTCTAATTGTATTTACTCTGTCTATATTTCGTTATTCTAAACAAAATGTTTTGATGACAGATACTGATTAATCTTTTAAAAACAGTGAAAAAGTCGCAAAAGTTATCTCATCAAAAATCAGTCGAGCAATGTACAACACCAGACACCTGATATGTATACCATTGCATTCTCCTTTAAATTCTTCACAAGTTTCATATAAGCTTGAAGGGATGGTTACTATCAAGAAACGCGTAATTTTAAGGTCAATAGATTTCGGAATCCCATGGATGATCATCATTCAGAACAATAGAAATTGAAGCTCCGTTGACCTTCCGCATGTGTACACCTCACAAGAATGAATTTGACCGAGCATTTTAAAAATCGAAGCGTACGAAAAGGGTCATATTAACTTGCTGGTTTTAAGTTATCAATAGATACTTGACATGATGGAGAATCTTGCTTTTAGAATTAGACAGTTGTAGCTTGCTTTGTTTGATAATAATAAGATTTGCAATTTAAGGTATGCATATTCCCCCGCCTAAAAATAGCATCTCTGATGTTGATTAACTCATGAAGCAGACATTTCCAATGTAATGTTCCCACTTAAAAGTTGCCCCAATATCATCATTCTACAACATATTTCAGTTTTATATGATTCTAAATTTTTCACCTATGAGGACCTGGATATACAAAATGTTTTTTGATTTTGAGGTTTTCAACTTTTGGACGATCGAACATCGATTTTTGAAAAATTCGAGCTAGAGCCTTGAGACTAGGATATTCCTATACCAGTTTTTTGTCCTTTAAACGATCGTGCAATTGGAATTTGCGTAGGTAGACTGGTTGTTGAGAAAAAAAGAAATTTTAAAAAATAGTTCATTTTGAATAGATGCTGCTAGTAAAACTTTTTAAATTACTATATGAATGTGAGATGTATGTGTAGTGAAAGTTGTAGAAGAAACTTTTTTTTTGACTAGGGCATGTTTGATGTGGGGTTATTGAGGGCGAAGTTCTTGAATCTACAAAATATATACTGTTGCAGGTAAGTTGGTACACATTTATTTGATGTTTGCCTTTGTAAACCCTAAAAACCCTGAAAAGCAGGCTTATTCGATTACGAGCTATAGGATTAACAAGTGTGGTACCATCTGATGCTCTTTTCAATTTTATACAAATCACTAAGAGCTAGGAAGAATATTAAGTATCGAAAATAGAACGTTTGAAAGATAGAAAGGCGAAAAAATGCATCATGGTATGGCTGTTAGGTCAATAGTTAAGCTTTATTATCTTTGGAACACTCAAACTGTGGTCAGTGGCAGTTTTAAACTACCAGCTGGCTCATCTTATATGTGAGCAAGCTGCAGTTGACTTTTAATTGGGGGCGTGGAATGATGATAAACATTTGAAATTGGATGATATAGACTTGTAACAAGATACCACAAATGCTTTGATAACGTATTTACGTAGGGAATGATAATATTTCACGTTATGATTTGGCTGTCAATCAATTTCAATACATCAAGCTCAACAATGCAGAGAGACATACTTGTATGTCTCCACGATGTCTATTCATATTGCAAATCATTTTATATCTCACTTTTCAAAATCACTCGTCAACGTGATCTACTCGTACGTTTTGCGATCAACAATTCCAATCATCAGTTGTCTGATCTACAAGAATTGTTGAGACAGCAAGTTATCACTCAACTGTAAAAAGCAGAAGAAATATAATAAATGATATTATTGAAAGAAAAGTCGCTTACCATTCGGTAATTGATGTGCGAATACAATTTCTTTGATTACAAGTAAAAAGATGTCCAAATAAGATAATGGTGGTAAATTATCGCTCTGGCTATCGATATCAATGTCAATTGCACAGCTTCCCTTGCAGCGTAAGATGAGGACTAACATAACACGCACCACTAAACACAGCTAAAATATCCCCAAGATCTTTCTAGTGTTGATCATATGTATGAATCTGCAATAGGACATGTTATGTACATTAACACTCCAGATGAGAATAGTCATTGGAGATTAGATGCCACTGTCAGTTAGAAACATTTTCATCAAGACAGTTCATCATTCACAGCGCTTGATAAATCAATGCGTTTGATATATCCCTATGATTGAGCTCCTCTTGCTTTGTTGCTATACTAGAGCAATGTTTGACACTGTCATGTCAATTGATGTAACTCAAACAATGATAGCGGAATTTCTTCAAAATCATCAGCCAAATCCCTGTCTCAATGCCATACAATGCAATATAGCCAAGCAGCCAAATGCTATGACTTTGCTAAAGATGGAAACCCGAGTAATAAAGACTGCATTACCATCCACGTATTTCTGCGCGGATACCATATCAATCGAATTGCTGAAAACTTAACAACCCCCAAAACCAACCACACAATCGCAGATCCATCATGATTCCACTAAATCTCGAGCCTAGCTATAAAAAAAGTACTGATACCGAGATACTGTACTGACTGGATATTGTATGTAACATTGCTGAAGTGTATAGCGTTTCTTTGTTTATTTTAAATCTTGAAGGACAAATAGATTTAGTTCTTCTTCTCTTCAGCCTCGGCCTTTTGGAGGAATTCGCGGATGAAAGCCTCTTCATCAGAAGAGCTAGCTTGGATAGGAGGAGTAGCAGCTTGAGGGGCCTTGGGCTTCAACATGGCAGCAGCTCCAAGAGCAGCATAACCACCGATGAAGAACATGGCAATCTATAGATGTAATCATGTAAGTATAAATGTTCAGTTTTTGTATCATCAGTCAATTAATCATATGCCGTGTAAATGTTACCTTGTGGTTAGGGATAGCTTTACCAGCGATAACGTAGTGACCTGCCATTTCTATTGAAGTTTTATGAAGTTTTAAGGATAAAAAAGGTGGGGAAGGTATGGAGCGAAATAAAAATAATATATTCAACAGGGGAAACCGAAATTTGGCTCCAAACAACTCCTGTTACAAGACGTCATCATTCTCAAATGCGTTGGGTTCCAAGAGACGTCTGTAATATAGCTCATGACTACCAATGAGATTTCAGTAGAAATACTCAATATCATCAATACGACATTTGTCGAAACAATTGTACGAAATATGGTATCATTGTTCGAGTAATTCAAATGAAAAAGCTTACGCAAACAGCATCTCAATTCATGTCCAATGTTTCAAAATGTCGATCCACGAAATGTCAACATTTTCTGGATCAGAAAACAAGGATAAAAAAAAGGTGAAAAATGAAAAGAATCCGGATTAAATTGCTCTAAAATCCAAGTGATCGAGCAGAATATAAATCTCATCCACAAATTAGGAAATATATAAAGCTTTCCATCTGAAAAATAGCTGCTTTCATGAAGGAACACAATCATTGCACTCACGAAAAGATCCGTAAAGGGAGTCACGAAGCCTTCCAAGCGTCAGTTTTGGGGTCCATTTTAACCGACTTATCCTGGGTTTTCCAGCTTTTAAAACATAAATTATTGTTTTTGCTTTCTCTTCTTTTTCTTCTCCCCCTTGTTTCTTCCACACCCTTCTCCATATACTACTTTTTACTATAGACAATGTCCGCTGCCATTAGACGTCAAGTTATGAGAGGTATTACCTCCACTGCTCGCATTACAGCTACCAGAACTACCCCTGTTCTTGTCAAGCATGTCACTGCTCGCGCTTTCACTTCATCAAGGTAAAGCTCGAGAAAAAAAAAATTGTGGGGGAGATTCCGAGCTTGGAGACAAAATTTTTCTGGGTGATCTCATTGTTGAACATGGTGAATTAACACTCTTTAAACGATCCGAATAGTGCTCCCAGATTCATTGCTCTCCGTACATTGGGTAACCAAGTCTCTGCAAAGGACTCCAGACTCTACAGCTCTTCCTGTAAGTTGATTTTTTTATTTCGAGTCATTTGGACGGAATTAGGAGAGTGTAAAAACTAAAGCGACACCGATATTTTAGCTTTCCCTACTCACAATGTCATTGCCATGCCTGCTTTGTCTCCCACGTAAGTGATTAAGTCTTGAGTATGACAGTAACAGATGTTGAACGACATTGAATAGTATGACCGCTGGTGGTATCGGTGCCTGGCAAAAGAAGGTTGGTGATGAGATCCAACCTGGTGATGTCTTGGTAGAAATTGAGACTGATAAGGCTCAAATGGATTTCGAATGTCAAGAGGAAGGTTTCCTTGCCAAGGTCTTGGTTGACACTGGTGCTAAGGACGTCGCTGTCGGTCAGGTATGTAGAGCAGCATTGGAAAATGTGTGCAGGATTTTTTGATCTGATTTAAATGTGTATTTTGTAGCCCATTGCTGTCTTTGTTGATGATGAAGCTGATATTGCTGCTTTCGAAAACTTCACTGTTGCTGATGTCCAAGGCGGTGCCCCCGCTCCTGCTGCTGAAGAGGCTCCCAAGAAGGAGACCAAGTCTGAAGAGGCTCCTGCTCCTGCTGCTGAGTCCTCCGAGAGCAAGTCTGATGCCACTCCCTCTCACGGTGGCCGTGTCTTGGCTAGCCCTCTTGCCAGAGTAAGTTGCAGTGGCTAAATTTCAGGCTTCATTTGGAGAACTAACATTTGATCCATTATGATTAGAAGCTCGCCGAAGAGCGTGGCCTTGACATCTCCAAGGTCAAGGGTTCTGGTCCTAACGGTGTCATCTCCAAGGATGATGTTGAAGGTTATAAAGGTTAGTTTGATCATTTCCAAGATGAGAATTCGATAATTGAACATATGCAAACACCTAGCTCCCGCTGCCGCTGCCGCTCCTGCTGCTGGATCTGCTGCTCCCGCTCAAATCCCTGCTGCTTATGCTCCTCAAGGTGCTTCCGGTGAGGCTTATACTGACATCCCTACCACCAGCATGAGAAAGATCATCGCTTCTCGTTTGAGCGAATCCAAGCAACAAGTTCCTCACTACTACTTGACTGTTGAAATCAACATGGATAAGACCAACAAGTTGCGTGAAGTTCTCAACAAGTCTGCTGAAGGCAAGTACAAGCTCTCTGTCAACGATTTCGTTGTCAAGGCTTCCGCTTTGGCTCTCAAGTCTGTTCCTGAGGTCAATGCTGCCTGGCAAGGAGATTTCATCAGACAATACAACTCTGCTGATATTTGTGTTGCTGTTGCCACTCCTTCTGGTCTTATTACCCCCATTGTTACAGCTGCTGAAACCAAGGGATTGTCTACCATCTCCTCTCAAGTCAAGGATTTGGCTACTCGTGCCCGTGATGGTAAGTTGGCTCCTCAAGAATACCAAGGTGGATCTTTCACCATCTCCAACTTGGGTATGTTTGGTGTCAGCAACTTTACCGCTATTATCAACCCTCCTCAATCATGCATTTTGGCTGTTGGTGGTGCTCAACAAAAGGTTGTTGCTGATGAGACCACCGAAAGCGGATTTGCTGTTCGCAATGTCATGGAAGTTACTTTGAGTGCTGACCATCGTGTTGTTGATGGTGCTGTTGGTGCCACTTGGTTGCAAGCCTTCAAGGGCTTCATGGAGAACCCTCTCAAGATGATGTTGTAAATAAAGAGATAATGCGAATGAGAAATATAATAGTTACTACCTTATCTCTCCCCCCCATCGCTTTTAAAGTGATGTATTTATCGATATTTCATATTTAACACGGACACAAACACACACACAACCACACAACTATACATTTTTACACTTCTCCATTACATGCACTCAATATACACTCTTTTTCTGTTCTACAACAACACATTTATATATAAAATTTAATTAAAATTTTTGCCTTGTAGTAGCAGTAGCCAAGTATTGCAGCTATTTGTTGATGATCAATTTGGTATTGGCGCACAATGTAATTCGCTCACACCCAAACATTTTTGCAGTGCAACTTTCCTCTTTTTCTCTCCCTCTCTCTCTCTTTTGCTCTTTTCTCAAATAGTGATTATATTCACTACAGTAAGAAGCAACGAATATGATCGATATGACTTATGACCCACAGCACATTACTGCTACTCCAAACAACAACAGCAACAAAACACTATCGGAAACTTCTCCAATAGGAGCAACTGGTGGTGGCGACGCTGTGAATATGCTATTAGCCAAGTTGGATGAAGGCACTCAAACCATCATCAACTTGCGCTCCATTCTAACACTCAAAACAGCTGAACTAAACGAGCTGCTGGCTCAACTAGAGCTCACAAATCAAGCCATCACAACCGTAGAGTCAACAACTACGCAGATAGAAGCTATGCTTAAAGAGTTTGGCTTATCAACTGATGACTCGAAAGAAAGCTTGCTCATCAACGCAGAGTCATCACTTGACTCTGCTATTAAATCGGCAGCAAGTATCTATCCACAACAATTGAAGCAATCCTTGATAAGAAGACCTTCATCTGCCAGTACAAACAGTGGAAGTGCTATGGAAAGTGTTGAGACCAAACGACTCGTACGTAACAGAAAAGACATACAAGAGCCAAATTATATAAGCACAGGGCTAATCACATCCATTTGGTAGAGTAATGCTCGATTGTTCACCACCAGAATCCGCTATAAACCAGACAACAAACACATTTTGAGAAAGCTAAACAATCTACTCAGAGATTTGGAATTAGATTCTGGCAAATTCTTTTCTAGCATTGGCACCACAGGTAAGTTCAAGACGAAAATTATGTAATAATGCATGGCCATAAGTTTAATTCCATATATAAACAAACATAGATGATTTCGAAGTACTGCAAAAGGCCTATGTCGATTTGGACATTGCGAAAACCATCTCGTTATCAGCAAAAAGTAACATGAAGAGAAGAAACATCTTGATGAGAAGTCAAAGACGACGAAACAACATGGACGAAATCCAACAACTCGGGGATAAAATCAGGGAAGGCGTATCTCTTTGGATGAACTATACCAGAAACACACCATTGTTAGTCAACGGCGAAGATATCATTGTCATCTTGGATCGCGAAGACAGTCTTTTGGCAAGAAATGTAAGTGTAAGATCAGAGGTTCAATGTAACCAAGCAGTAACCATATTGTCTCCTTGAAAAAGTTGCCTATTCCATCATCTCGAGTTACGCATGACGGTAAATTAAACACAGGCACAGGCGTTACTTTGACACCATCTACTTCCACACACAACAGAACATCTTCCATCAGAAACAGCTTGTCGAATGAGAGCACTGTCAAGAAATCAACACACAGTCGAACATCGTCCAGTGTTTCTGCTGCAGATTTTGCATCTGCCCAGATCCATGCGCCTTCTTTTGCCTCATCACAAACAACAATCCCTATAACAGCAGTAACACCTGCACCTGCAGCAGCAGCCAAAAAGCTCTATCGTCAATCAGCAGGCCCTCGTCTGACTCAAGTCAAGGCCAACATTGGCTTACCACGTGTGCGTACATCGTCAATCACACAGCAAAAAGACCAACAACAGCAGCATCAAAAGTCGTTAACATCTTCACATGCTACTACAACTCCACCATCTGTTGCATCTTTGAAAAATGGATTCTCGCCGTCTTCTAACTCGAGCAAACAATCGCACATTCCCTTACCACCAATTCACTCTACAGCAGGCTCCTCCACAACACCTACCACACCGTCGTCCGCCTCCTCCACTACAAGTAATCTTACATCTCCAGATAACTCCAAGAAATCGTTACTGAAACCTCCTGCACAACGTGGTCCTGGTTCTACTTTGAGACTGAGATCCATGCTGGCTAAAAGAGGTCAGATACCACCACCAGCAGCCGGCAAACCACCTGCTAAATAAGCGTATGTTAACCTTCCATATAAAATTATGATATCTTCTTTATGTTTCCTATTGCTGTAATAAACTATTAATCTCAAGCCAATATCTGATAACACCCCATGTTGACATGTAATAATTGAACCTGTACCAACATCGATGCTAGCAGATTTCTTCGAGCATTATAAAGGAGGCTCGAAATAAACTTGTAGTTTCATAAGAAATGTGCATGGCTCAGTATGGATAATACATGCCGTATAAGGACGACATGCATTGGCTTGCCATCACTGTATCCATCATACAAGTGTATGGAAGATGGAATTTCATTGCATTTAATCAACGTTTTTTTTTTTTTTTTGAACGACAATCCGGAGCCTCAGAGATTTAGTCGACGGCTGCGATCGAGAAAACAAAGCGAACATACTCGACCATTGAGAAAACCCCCATCGTAATAGAAATCTAGGTAGCGTATTGCTTGAAATACTAAAGAACGTGGAACTAATGTTTATTTTGTTCCAAAGTTGGTATTATAGCCAACACTCGGATTAACAAAACTGGCCATCTTTTTGAGAGAAATGTTGATTATGATCCAAATTCCCCTACTTACCGCTGCAGACATGTTATGCAGCCCATGAATCGTCAATGTCCAGACTAACGCTGTTAAATATAGAATGCAAGAAAATAGCATAATTAACGATAGTGCTATGACTTGCCACTTACTTTCCATACGCTTCAAGGGCATCTATTACTGTATTGCCTTCATGATGAAAAGGGCATTGAATTTGCCAGCCTACCCCACAAGCCAAAATTAGTTCAAACCCAGATTCATAGTTTATTTCAGATTGGCCAAATCCTAATATTTTTCGACTCGATTGAACTATTTTCGTTGATTCGACTAAGCAAAATATGATGATCATCCTATGCTTCCTTAAGCTTTTTTGGAGTGCTTTTCAAGGCGCATCCAATGGCACTAAATAAGATAGATGTTTTAAATAAACTTATTGAGTAATTTACGAAAATATGAAAAGAGGTTTCTGGCCAAAATGTCGAAATTTTGCATATCAAAGCTCCACAAAGATGATTTCAGAGGTTGCTTTGGATCGAGAGAAACATTTTGAATCAAGATATACCATAGTAAAAGTCTTCATTATCAAGGTGAAAAATGCGATCGTTTGATTTTCGATGAAAACCATGAGGGATACCTCATGCTTTTTGGTCGATTTTTGATCATGTTTTTTTGGTCCTCAAAAAGTTGAGCAATAGTGGCAATAAGCAACTGCCAGACGAGAGCAATTGTTTGGTGCTATTCTGACCATCTAAAACGGCCTTGAACGCAAGAAATCACAACTTGAATATAACCAGTTTTTGCTGTATCAAGGATACTAAGGATTAAAAAGGGGGAAATACCAGTATGTTGCTTGCCCGAATATGAAGTAGCTACGTGTATATGAATGTAGAGCGTCACATACGAATCAGATCCACAGATAATATGAAGAGGTTTCATGCGTAGGTAGAGGGTCAACATGAAAGTAGCAGTGTTTTGATAAGATATGCAAGAGCAATTGGCAGCGCGAGCTGCCGCTGTGCAGGTTGGTTCTCACCGAAGCGAAGCGAAGGTAAAGTACCATCCAAAGCATAGACTGTCATATGATTAGTGATTTTACATCAATTAGCAATGAAGGTTTTTCTAACATTTTAGCTATATCAATTTTGCGTTATTAGCCAATGGCCCGCGGCAGCGTGAGCTGTTTGAACGTAGGTTGATTTCCACCAAAGCGAAGCGCAGGTCAGGAAACCACTCAAAGTGTCGAAAGACTCGTTGGAAATAATAAATCTGATGCCTAAATTTAGCAGGGTATCATCTAGAGAAGCGACTGTACATTTCAAAACTAGGCCATGTTTTTTTTGTGTGTGCCCTCTGATTTCAGGAAATGGTATCAATAGTGTTTCAGCAATATATCGAAACTTGATGTAAGCAATTGATTACTACCCAATAACCTGTATATCTCTATAACCTGTATATCTCTATACAGCTTGATACACAAGCAAATGATGAGACGGATTACAACATCACAAAGGTCACAGTGCTATTAAGGGCTCCGGCCAAATGATGGAGATGAGTTAAAGGGGTGAAAATTTTTTTCTCATACAGTGCCAACTAACATATACAAGCAGCCTCCTTTTCTACTCATTCACTTTGCCTATTCATATTTGATTCAAAAACAAAGTTTTCAACGCAAAAACAGACTGAATTCAACTAGTATATATTAACTATGAGCTCAAATCGTCGCACTCGTGCTAAAACTAATGAGAAAAATGTCGCTCAAGAAGGAGCCAGCGCCAGTGTAGCATCAGCGGCAGCAGCAGGCGTACCCGGCAGTGCATCCACATCATCAGCTACAACATCCAGAACTTCCAGCACTATTGCCAATCCCGCATCCTCCAAAATAACAAAGAAGGTGGTCAAGAAGAAGGCACCAGCTGTCAAAGCCATGAGTAGTAGCGCAAAACGGTAAAGATTCCATAGCATGAGCATGATAGATGAATGGTACTGATGCTACTGATTAGTATTTCCAAGGAATTGGCCGAAATTTCGCTTGATCCGCCATCTAATTGCAGGTAAGCCTAACCCTTCATATGCCAACAGAGGATGGGTCAATGTAATTCATGCAATTTGTTCAATGTAGTGCTGGACCCAAAGGTGACAATCTATTTGAATGGGTATCTACAATCGCCGGTCCTGCTGATTCTCCCTATGCTGGCGGTATATTCTTCCTAGATGTTCATTTTCCCCAAGAGTATCCATTCAAACCCCCCAAGGTAACACATTGATAGTGGCAAATCAAGGGCATCTCAAATGTAACAATGTTATGTAAACATGTAGGTCGTCTTCAGAACCCGTATTTACCATTGCAACATCAATAGTCAGGGCGCCATCTGCCTCGACATTCTCAAGGACAACTGGTCGCCTGCATTGACCATCTCCAAGGTACTATTGTCAATTTGCTCTTTGTTAACAGATGCCAATCCTCGTAAGTGTGCTGTAAATGCGATGAGTGAACATGACATGTTTAATCACAAGGGAAAATCGGTAGATGATCCTCTGGTTGGCTCCATTGCCATTGAGTATCTAAACAACAGGGAAGAACACGACAGTCAGGCACGTGAATGGACTAAAAGGTAATGATGGATCTATGCTTATCGATGGTTTAATCTGTGTAAATTTCATAGATCTAATCTCATATTTCTATACAGATATGCTTGTTGAAATCCAATGTCGATGACATTGTTTCCTTTCTATCTTGAATATATACATAATACACATACATCACACACACACACACACACACACACGCGCATAATATAGCCAATCAATGCCACACACCTTACACCTCACATCTCATGAAATAAAGACACATAGCTGATATCTACCTGATAAACAATAAAGACCTAAATGCGGGATGTCAATAGGGAAAAAATTAACACAAGTGCAATCAACTATCAACATCAATCAATCTCTGTAAACGATTATAGGTGGATGGGTTGAAAAAATTTATGATACAACTCAAACATGTAACAGAGGAATAGGAAAGAATACGCCTCGCTTATATATATATATATACATACATTAAATATGAAATGAATAGAGCATGGGTTTATACGATAATTCAAATGCCATTTAGACTTATCTGCCATTACGTTTGCACAGGTATCATGTACATTGCCACATGTACGCATGGCACAACTCAAAAGCGCGATTGCACTGTACTTGAATCTGATCAACTGAGTTGATTGCTGATAACAGGGGATTCAGATTTTTTCGGTTTAATCATACGAGTTGATCTAAACAGATCGCTTCGAGGTTTTACATGAGAAAAGCTCGTATGCTCACACACTCTCTGAACTGATTTTTTGATTCGGGATATATGATGTAACACCTCTTTCTTGGATTCACATTTATTTTTTTTCGTGCATTATATAAAGACGTGATTTGATGCCATCCCTTTTGGGTTGTTTTCCTTTTCTCTTTATATTTTTTATCAAATAACAACTTATATACAAAAATGGGTCTCTTAGATATCGTTCCCGCTGGTGTCGTTACTGGTGACAATGTGAAGAAGCTTTTCGACTATGGTACGTATTTACGATGCAATTGCAATTGACTGGCTATCCACTGACATGCTTTCTCCAATATCATGTAGCTCACGAGCACAACTTTGCCATTCCCGCCATTAACTGTACCTCCACCAGGTAAATATCTCTACTCAATATCTTGAAACCCTCTGTGGAATGATGTATGCCCAGATGTCACTTGCTTACCTGTTGGGAAACTGATGGGAAATCATGGGTAAAAGCCTAATTGCGAAAAGTTTTTTGAGGTGTTGGTGAGACATTCGGAGATTCCACGCTCTGATTGTTTGCTACCATGTGTTTCTATTACATTTTGCATGTGTTGCACTAAAACAAAGGCAATCTTGGGAGGGTTTCAGATATTTTTTTGTCTTGCAATATGTCTTGAACTCTAAAATTAACGTGGTCATATTCCCATAGTACTGTCAACGCTGCTCTCGAAGCTGCCAAGAAGAACCGTTCTCCCATCATCATCCAATTCTCCAACGGTGGTGCTGCTTTCGTTGCTGGTAAGGCTATCGATAACAAGAACCAAGAAGCTTCCATCCTTGGTGCTGTCTCTGGTGCTCAATACGTTCGTTCCATTGCTAAGGCTTATGGTGTTCCCGTTCTCGTTCACTCTGATCACTGTGCCAAGAAGCTCCTTCCTTGGTTCGATGGTATGCTCGCTGCTGATGAGGAATACTTCAAGGCCCACGGTGAGCCTCTTTTCTCTTCTCACATGTTGGATCTCTCTGAAGAGCCCATGGAAGAGAACATTGAAATCTGTCTCAAGTATCTTAAGCGTATGGCACCCATGAAGTGTTTCCTCGAAATGGAGATTGGTATCACTGGTGGTGAGGAAGATGGTGTCGATAACTCTGATGTCGACAACTCTGCTCTTTACACTCAACCCGAGGATATCTGGGAAATTTACCGTCGTTTCTCTGAGGTCTCTCCTCTCTTCTCCATTGCTGCTGCTTTCGGTAACGTTCACGGTGTCTATGCTCCTGGTAACGTCAAGCTCCACCCCGAGCTTTTGGGTAAGCATCAAGCTTATGTCAAGGAACAACTCAAGGGTAAGTCTAACAAGCCCGTCTACTTTGTCTTCCACGGTGGTTCCGGTTCCACTCTCGAAGAAATCAAGACTGCTCTCAGCTTTGGTGTTGTCAAGATGAACATTGATACTGATACTCAATGGGCTTACTGGAAGGGTCTCCGTGATTTCTACGAGAAGAACAAGGGCTACCTTCAAAGCCAAGTTGGTAACCCCGAAGGTCCCGAGAAGCCAAACAAGAAGTACTATGATCCTCGTGTCTTCATTCGTGCTGCTGAAGTTACCATGACCGATCGTATCATCGAAGCCATGGACAACCTCAACAACAAGAACGTTTTGTAAATAACTTTCTCATTTTACATTTAAATAACCTTTTCATTCATACAACATTTCTCTCTTTGAAGCATTTTTCATATTGAAAAAATAAAACTTTTTTGTATAAAATATAATTAATTCTACACGTGCACTATCCAATTAGAAATGTAAATGATATAATGTTAATGTTTGTTGTGATATGAGCTTGGCTTTTTTTTCTTTTTCTTTTTTTCTCTCGCTATCTTTCTCCTTAATAGTTATCATCCTATCTCTCCTCCTTTCCCTCCTTCATTTGCTTTGCTCTTTCTCTCTTTGGCTAAAGGATGGAAAAATCGAGTAATACCATACAACGAAGGCTTTCGCTTCCCGATCTACAGAAATTGAGGCAAGAGTGGGATAAGCGAGAGGCAGTTCAGGCAACAGCTCAGTTATCTCCAGGCAAATTACAGGTACAAAACATCTGTTGCTATGGAAACATGCAGTTGTCATGTATACTCATTTCAAACCGTAGATTGATCTACTCAATGTTCGCAGCGATGTCACGGTGAAACGACCATTGATGAGACTTCGCATGGGCTCTCAGCACTATTTCAGTTCAAGATCAAAGCATGCAAACGGCAACTGGAACGAAGGATTCTTATTCACCATTTCTTATCACAATCAGTTGTTTGATACGATCGAAGTAATGTAGATTCTTGTCTCCTATTTTTCTGTCCTTACTAATCTGTTATGCTGAATAGCTCGATCTATACGACAAAAGAAACAAATGGAGATCCAAAGCGAAACACATTGGTAAAGCCAAGCTCAAGATTGCCAAACTAAAAAATAGAGATGATGTTTTTATTACATTTCTGCCAATGTATGAGTACCACGTTCGACGCTATCTGCCTGCACACATCCAATTGCCTCACACTTTTCTAAAATCACATATGCCCAACATGTCAAAATTTACACAATACCGATATCACTACAAGAAGAGTGCAGCCAGCAGCGAACATGAGCAGGAAGATGACGAGTTATATTTGGATGTACCACCAGCATACGAACCACATCCTAGCCATAGTAAACATTCCATGACACCCTTTATTGGCTCAATTCAAGTCAGAGTTCGTTATTCGTTTCAGCATCCACCACACTCTGAATCAGACACATTGTCCCCTTTTTATTTCAATCACTCAAACAGATCCATGGATACGTTTCAGTCATACATCACCACATCACACAAAAGTAGTCAACGAAGTAGTAGTTACAGTAGCCACAGCAGCTCCACTGCTTATTCCACTCGCAACAAGGACTATCATGATGCGGTAGAACCACGTCTTGTACTGGTGGATGATCTGCAGAATGTGGCAACACCCTCTACTCCTACACCAAATCATTCACAGCCCCTATTGCCCAAAAGTGAATCCAGCGTTGATCTCATGTTTCATCAAAATTTAGATAAAGGATACCGTCGACATATCAATCTAGAGCAATACAAGGTGGATTTCCCAAAGATGGATGGTGAGAACAAAAAGAAGGACGATGTGTCTGACACTGCCAGCATCAAGAGCCACAATTTTGGAGACAAGAACTTTGCGTTTCGATGGGTCAATGAGTCGTTTGAAGAAGTGGCAATTTCACATCCCAGCTTGGATCGTATGATCGGTATGGTAGTGAGCCCTCAGACTAGAATTTTACTTCGAGCTGTCGTCAAGATGTTTAACGCTTTTGTGAGTTTAAGAGTTTATTGTATCATCGCAGCATGGACTGACTCTGTAATAGGGCCAAGGATTTAAGATTACTATATTGCAACTGCTATCATCGCTCTCATTACTACAAAACTTTTATACTGATATCCCAAGGTATGTAGATATCTATTATCACTGGATCAAACTGGTTTAATTCATGTATATCCAGAGCGCCGCCTGCAGAAAAAATCACTGATCTGAAATTCTTGGACGAATCGTACTACTTTTTGGGCCATGCTATCATTGCCTATGTAAGCTTGCATTACCAGCTCATGGTGCAGCGAAATGAGATATTTACTTTACCGTATAGGGTTGGCGTGGAATTTCATATCTAGGAGATTATGCAAAGTATTTAAAAGGTAACATTGACTGGAGCTAAGGTGATCCACAATCTAATCAAGCACTCTTTTATACGCAGACGTTGTCAAGACAAAGTCGAATAAAGAAGCCATCGTTCGCTATCTCAAGATTCCTCCAGAGGATTTGCTAGGCTACGAGTATGGTTTGCGTAAAGGCGCTGTGTTCCAGCCCAGTTACTTTGTCTCTTACGATCAAGCACATGAGGCCGTGGTGATGGGCATTCGAGGCACATGGGTAACTAAGCATCAACTTTGCGAAAACAAGTTATTTACCATCTTGATAGAGTCTCTATGATTGCATCACTGATTTAGTGTGTGAATACAGGCCTTGGAAGGGCGGCCTTGTCCATTCAGGCATCCTTGCGTCTGCGCAATGGTTCTTTACTCGCATCATACCGCAGATCTATCTATACATCAGTGAACAGACGCAAAACAAGACTCGCCGCATCTCGTCCTTTATTATTACTGGTCATTCGCTCGGTGCTGGTGCAGCAGCCGTGCTGACCATGATGGTAGTGGATCACATTGAGCAGCTGAGAGAGCTATCCAATAATCCCGACTTCAAGGTCCACTGCTACAGTTACGCCCCGGTGGCCAGTGTGTCGCATGATCTCTCTGAGAAATACAAGGATCACATTGACAGCTTTGTTTGCCACGATGATCTAGTAGCTAGGCTTTCTTACGGCACTGCCTCCTGTGCAAAAGAACTAATCATGGACTCGTTGATTGCAGTTGATGGCTTAGGTGGATCCACCAAAGTGAACAACAACCCTGCCACTCGAAAGGAGTGCTTTGATATCATACAAACCCGCCGAAAAGAAATATACCACAACAAAGAACCTCGATACCCGCTTTTATACGTACCTGGTCGTGTCTTTCAATTCAGACGTGGAGGACCCAAGGGCTCCAACAAGCTACCAACCCAAGACATTAAATTGCCAGGCACCAACCCCACCTCTGCATCCGCCACTCGTCCAAGAGCTTCCTCCTCCTCCTCCTCCTCTACAACAGCATCAGGCACCCCTACTGAAAAAAAGAAACGATCGACGCCACTCTCCACAGTCGTCAATGGCCTCAGTCAATCTGAACCTGTATTACCACATCCTCCTGTATCTCTAGATTCCAAATCCACCAGTGCTCCTACACCGCTCAACCAAGTTACATTTACATTACATCGCTCATCACCTATGCTGTCTGAAGAAGTGCTGATTTCAAAGACTTGCCTGGAGGACCATATGGTAGTGACCTATTTAACAGCATTTCAAATGGTGCGTCAAGACTGTATGCGTCAAGATTCTTTTCGTCGCAAAAAGGACAATGAGGCAAACATCAAGTCCACTGCATCCTTCTCTTCATCCTCATCAACTCTTCGTCAGAGCACCACAGTCAGCCCCTCGTCCACAAAGATCAAGTTAAATGACACGGTATTGAGCTCGTTTCCTCGTTCAGAAGAAGACGAAAGCTTAGCTACTTGAATCTACAATAAAATATTTATATACACACTATACAAGCCTTCATATCTTGACATGTAGACTTTTCTGAGCCACCGGAATGACACCAAACAATTGTACTCGAGTAGTAGTAATTTTCTGACACCTTTGCTCAACTTTTTGGCCAAAAAAAAAACATGGCCAAAAATCGACCAAAAAGCATGAGGGGTACCTCATGGTTTTCATCAAAAATCAAACGATCGCGGTTTTCACTTTGAAAATGAACACTTTTACTATGGTACATATCAGATCAAAGAGTTTCTCTCGATCCAAAGCAACCTCTGAAACCACTTTTATGAGGCTTTCATATGCAAAGTATGGCTATTTCCGCTAAAAACATCATTTCAAACTTTATCAAACTGCTCAATAAGTTTAGTCAAAACATGTATTACAATTAGCACCATTGGAAGCGCCTTGAAAAGCACTTCAAGAATGTATTAGGAAGCGTAGGGTGATCATCACAGTTTATATAGTCGAACATCGCAAAGTAGATTAAAGAAGTCGAAAAAAGACGAAATCTGCCCAATCTTGAACAGAAAAAAATAAGCTGAGCTTTAATCGATTTTAGCAGGTGGCGCTCCTGCTGACTAGCCCAAATGCCTTTCTGATGATGACATTGATGATGGTAACAATGATGATTGCGATGCTAATCAAATAGGGATCATGGATTTGAAAGAAAAATTGCTTAGCTTATTAAATACTCTTTTTTTTCCCTATAAAGGTGTCTTTTGCATTGATAATCTCTCAAGATAGTCGCTGTAAATCTCATACAAGTCCTGTATTTACGCATGGCAAGTTATGTCGCCGTCTCAAGAGCAGCATCAACGAATAAATGCCTCCCCCTCCTGCCTCTGATATAGCCCTTTTTTTTGACTATTAATTGATTGTTTAAAATCTGCTTGATATGCCAAATTTTTATTATCTCTGGTTTGAACCGTCTTTGGCGAGAGCCCGCAGAGCGACACCGTCATCGAGCGTAACTAGATCGACCGGCTAGTATTTATATCTAAAATATATATCTAAAATATATATACTGGAAAACTATGAAAAAAAAATAGACAAGCCAATCATATCCTTTTAAAATTTAATAGTATTAAAAGCCAGAACAAACGAGGGCATAACCACCGGCGAAGCCGGCAATGGGGAGGGGGTTTGGGGGAGGGGGCTTAGCCCCTCCACCAAGAATATAAGGCACCAAAAAAAAAATTTGATACATTGCTTTTTGTTATTATACGTACGTAATAATATGCCTCCTACTATTCAAACAAGACACTGCACGACCTGTAGAGCTGCTCTTCCAGTAGACTATGCTTATCGGAAATGTGATTCATGTCGAGTAAGTAAAATGGCTTTTAACGCCTAATAAAACCCTGAGACGCAATGGTTTATTTTGTTTGTACTCAAATTCAGGAACGAGCGCGAAATTACGCCAGGCAAAGAAGATTGGCGAATCGAAGAACACCAAGAGCACCTGCAGCGTTTGTATCAGAACTTGGAAGAGTACAACGTTCAGATTTGGGCAGAATGGACAACCAATGTGATGGATGTGGAGCTTTGCATTGGGCCGCAGAGAGGGCTGTTCAACAGCGAGTAAACGACAACTGCTTTCATGCTTGCTGCAAAAAAGGTAGAGCTGTCTTGCCCCTTTTGCAAGAGCCTCCCGAGCCTTTAAATAGCTTGATCAACGGAAGCCATCCTCGATCCTCTCATTTTTTGCAGCACATGCGACAATACAACACTTTGTTCGCATTTACATCATTTGGCACCGATGCTACGCCTGAGCAGCTCCAAAGGGATAGAGAGAATGAGATGAGAGGCGGCATCACGCCGGTTCGTGTTCATGGGGAACTCTATCACTTGCAAGCACCACTAAATTTGAGCAATGTGCCAAAGTATAGCCAGCTGTACGTTTACGACCCAGAGTATGCCGCTGCGATTCGCTGTGCAGACCCCAGAAATCAAGGATTGGACGACACGATCATTGAGCAACTGAGTGAAATGATTGCTGATCCTGTAGTTTGTGGCAATCCATTTGTAAGCATCTACAAACATGCTCACGAAATCCTGAAAGAAGAAGAGGAGAGGCAAGCTCAAGATGGTGTTAGCGAGAATGCTCACATCAGGCTCAGTCCTCAGATGCAAATGGAATTGGTTGTTGGCCAGGACAGACGCACTCAAAATCTGCCAACTGTCAACGAGATTGCTGCCATCATTCCAAACGAGTGTTCTGACAGGAGTTTCAGAGATATTTTGATCACATATCGTAGCAATTCCTCGGCCAGGGCTCAAGGCCAGTTTAAGCGTATCAATGAGACGCATGCTGCATATATGCCTCTTCATTATGCTTTGCTTTTTCCTAGAGGTGAATATGGGTGGAATTGGGGCCAAAGACTGCAATCGTCAGCGCAAACTGCTGATGCCATGATTATTGAGAGCGAAGAAGATGAGACACCAGCAGAGCAACAACAACAACAACAAGTGTCAGATAGCCGACTTACCCAGGGCGTGTTCTACAGATTTCGATTGCATGTTAGAAACAACGAGTCAAAGATCATTTTTTTGTCAAGACGTCTATTTCAACAATATGTGATTGATGCCTGGGCAATCTGTGAGCAAACAAAACTGAACTGGATCAAAGTCAATCAGACGAATCTTCGCGCTGATGTGTATAAAGGACTTGCTGATGCTACCTCTGCTGCTGACTCAGACCTCGAACAGGTGGGAAAGACGTTCATCTTGCCCAGTAGCTTCACTGGTGGACCGCGATTCATGATGCAGCTATATCAAAATGCAATGGCTATCTCTAGATTCTTTGGTAAGCCAACGTTATTCATCACATTTACTGCCAACCCAAACTGGAGGGAGATCCAAGATGAATTGTTGCCAGGCCAAACAGCCGCTGATCGCCCCGACTTGGTTGCTCGAGTATTCAACCTTAAGCACCGAGAGCTGCTTAAAGACTTGAAAGACAGAAAGGTCTTTGGCTGTTATAAAGGCATTGTAAGGACTATTGAGTATCAAAAGCGTGGTCTCCCTCACGGTCATATGCTATTGTTTTTGGATGCAGAAACAGATAGATTTGATACGCCAGAGAGGATTGATCAGATCATTTGCGCTGAGATCCCAAATGTTGAAGAAGAACCTGAATTGCATGCAATCATCACTCGCAATATGATGCATGGCCCATGTGGCGAGCTAAACTCAAAGTCTCCGTGTATGGTACAAGATGCTTTTGGCAATGATGTATGCTCAAAAAAATTTCCCAAAAACTACCAGACAGTAACGGTGACCAGTGCTGATGGTTATCCTACTTATAGAAGAAGAAGAGATGGTCGTTCTCATCAGGTGCGCGTCAAGGACAAGTTGGGTGTCTACCGCGATTTCCACATGACGAATGAGTGGGTGGTGCCATACAACCCTTATTTGTCAAAAAAATACAATGCCCATGTAAATGTCGAAGTATGTGGTAGCGTCCAGGCAATTAAGTACATCAACAAGTATATTTACAAAGGCTCTGATCAGACAACGCTCAAAACTACAACCACCACCACAGCCACTGAAACAGCAAATGCCACTACCACAGCAACAACTCAGAATAACGAAGTGGCCAAGTATCTAAATGGCCGTTATATTAGTCCTGTTGAAGCTGCATGGAGGTTGTTTGAATTCCCAATGCATGAGGAAAGCCCATCTGTTACTCCACTTGCTGTGCATCTTGAAAACGAGCAACCTGTTTATTTTGATCCCCAATGGCCACAGGAGAAAATTGACAAAGTATTGAGAGAGAGTCGCTCTACTTTGATGGCTTACTTTCATTACAACCATGCAAATCACGGCAAACCCGGTTTTCGACCGTTGCTTTATCAAGAGTTCCCTGAACATATGACTTGGCAGCAGAATGCAAAAAAGTGGAAGCCTAGGTCTTCGAGTAGAATGTCAATTGGGCGCATGTATTACTGCAATCCTGCTGCCGGTGAGAGGTATTATCTGCGTCTGCTGCTCACAGTTGTCAGAGGAGCCATGTCGTTTTCTCATCTGAGAACTGTCAATAATCACGAGTACGCCACCTTTCGCGAGGCCTGTATGATGCTGCATTTGATCGAAGATGATGGAGAATGGACCAGAGCCTTTGAAGAAGCTGCTACCTTTGCCTCTGGCTACGCAATGCGTTCAATGTTTGTCTCTGCGCTCATGTTCAACTCATTGGTATCGCCTGTTCAGATTTGGGATCAATTCTGTGAAAGTTTCTGTGATGATCTTGAGCATGCAATCGTGCAAAAAGGGTATTCGCTGCTGCTCAGCGTGCAACCTGACGCTGAATTTTACCATGGAACGCGAAGTCTTGATTACGGCTTATATCTGTTGCAAACATCTCTTGGTGCACAAGACAGATCTCTAGGTCAGTTCAATTTGCCTTTGCCTCTCTTCAACTGGAATGGCTTGATAAGCAGAATGACTGGCATACAGCGCAATTCATTGATACTCAATGAAATGTCATATCTCCAAGATCAAGAAGCCTTTTCGTACCAGCAAAAGTACGCTCAAATGAACGCTACCCAGAAGCACGTATTTGATACCATCACCTCCTCCATCAACAGCAACACCAATAGCTCACATTTCTTTTTGCAAGGTCCAGCTGGCACTGGCAAAACCTTCATTTACAATACTCTTTGTCACTTTTATAGAAGCCAAGGAAAAATTGTTCTCTGTGTTGCCTCCTCTGGCATTGCTGCTTTGCTACTTCCTGGTGGGCGTACGTCGCACTCTCGCTTTGCCATTCCACTCAACATCCACGAGCAGTCTGTGTGTGCAATCAAGAAAAACGATGATCTTGCTGATCTCATTCGAGAGACATCATTGATAATTTGGGATGAAGTGCCAATGCAGCATCGATATTGCTTTGAAGCTTTTGATCGAACACTTCGTGATATTTGTAGTCGTGGTGATGAAGTTACCTTTGGTGGTATTCCTGTTGTTCTTGGCGGTGATTTTGCTCAAATTCCACCTGTTGTTAGGCAAGGTGGCCGTCCTGAAATCGTCAATGCCTCACTGAAATCGTCAAGATTATGGCCCAAATTACAAAAGCTGAGCCTGACTGAGAATATGAGACTTGCCAACTCCAATGACACAGATAGGCAATTTGCAGATTGGATAGGAAAAATGTCGTATGAACCATCCATGATTGGCAGCATTGCTTTGCCCTCTTTTTTGAGGCAGATGACTGATCTTGATCAGTTCATTGAAGATATCTATCCTCAGCATGTTCTGCAGTGTCCTCTGCAAAATAGTGATTTCTTCAAGGAAAGAGCTATTCTCTGTTCAAAGAACGTCAACGTTGATGCTATTAACAGCAAGGTGATGGAGAACGTGATTGGGGAAAAGGTCACTCTGTACTCTGCTGACACAGCTCAGTCTGATCTGACCAACACGGAGACCCAAGCCTATCCCTCAGAGTATTTGCAAACCCTTTCGCCTTCAGGGCTGCCGCCAGCAGTTTTGGAGTTGAAAGTAGGTCTTCCTGTAATGCTCTTGAGAAACCTCAACCCTGAAAGAGGTTTGTGCAATGGTACAAGGCTGATCATTCAGCAAATTGGACAGTATGTCCTCAAGGTGAAAATCCTCGGAGGGTCAGGTGCAGTAGAGTTGATTCCTCGCTTTACATTATCAACATTGCCTGGTACATTACCATTTATTTTGACTAGGAAACAGTTCCCTGTAAAAGTGTCTTTTGCGATGACAATCAACAAGTCTCAGGGGCAATCCCTTAGAAAAGTCGCTGTAGACCTCAGGAGTCCTGTTTTCACACATGGCCAACTCTATGTTGCCATCTCGAGAGCAACATCTGCAAATGGTATGACAATTCTACTGCCAGAAAATGCGACTCGGACAGAGAATGTTGTCTACCCAGAAGTATTATATAATATAAATGCTGTATAAAAAAAGTTGGTCTGTAACTCCCAACTCCTGTCGTCTCAATCAAGTTTCAAGTCTATTTTTTGTTTTAAAATCTTCGAATCGAATATAATCATTGTTTAAAACCTACTTGATATACCAAATTTTTATTATCTCTGATTTGAAATGTCTTCGGCCAGAGCCCGCAGGGCGACGCCGTCATCGAGCGTAGCGAGATAGATCGGCTAGTGCACACCATACTCGACACTTGTAGTAGACAGGCTCTCCGTGTTATGTGTAACTGCTCGAATTGATGTGGTCTTAATTAGCCTGAAACAGCAAAGCTTATGACACTGAAAAAGCGACCTCATATGGCCAAAACAAAGTTTTTGCATCAGTGAGCCCATTGAGACAAATGTGGAAACTGCAGAAACACATTTATCTCTCTTTCTCTTGCACACTACGCAATGCAACTAATTTCCATTGCGCTCATTACACTCTGCTTGATCCAATGTGTGCAAACAGAAAATGACTTTATCAACCTGGATCTCTTTATGAACAACAAGGGTGCCAAAGGTCCTGGATCAGACTTTGACGGTGCTGGCACATACTTCAGGTGCCCGCTTTTGTCCTCTTCATCCATTCAAGTCGGGAGCATTGAGTATCAACTAAACCAGAACAGCTCGCATGACAATATGATGAGTCTAGGCCAGATTATCACACTGGCCAACAGACCTTATAGTGCCCTTTACTTGCTGGCTTCAGTCAACCATGGCCCCATCACAGCAGAAATCACACTGGTCTATCAAGATGGATCCAAATCAACTACGAATTTAAACCTACCGGACTGGCAAGTGAGGTATACCGATCAAATACATCGCATTGATCACATCCCGTGCATGTTGAATACTGGCGCTTCTGCCATCTTGATGAGCGTCCCTTTACTGGCAGATCCATCAAGGAATGCGTCTCATATCCTGTTTCCATACAACAATCCATTAGGGTCTTTTGGTGCAGCATTGCATGTGTTTGCCATGACAGGGATAACTCCTGACGCAAAAAACGGGCTTCAGGTGATATCAGCCAAGGGCAGTCGACGGTGGTGGGAAAATACACAGCATGAATATCCCATCGTGACAGTAAGAGTACAAAATATGGGTCTGAATTGGATTAAAGACGCTAGTGTGTTTGTGAAAGGCCCTCTGTTCAGAACACAGTATCATGGACATATCAAACGACTGGCGCCAGGACACATCATGAATGTCGATGTAGGAATTCACACTGTGAGAAAAGGCCGTGTATCTACCAAAGTGATCATTCAGCTATTGGATGCATCCGGAAACGAGCTAGCTGAGCCCACCACCTTGGATGATGTAGCGATTGGCATTGAAGAGTATCAGCAAGACGAAAGGTACGGGGTAGGGATAAAAAGGGCGGAGAGGAGCAGTATACCTTGAACAGCGCATGAATTCTTAGATCGTTGCATGGCCATTCAGTGCCTCATTGGTACGAAACAGCGAAATTTGGTGTATTTATACATTGGGGGCTCTACTCTGTTCCGTCATGGGCTCCTGTGGGTGCGGATTACGCAGAATGGTATTGGTGGAACTACAATCGAAAGGGCAGTGCCACTTACAATTACCATCGGTCATTCTATGGGCCTGACATTGAGTACGATGACTTCATTCCAGCGTGGCATCCTGATCAATTTGACCCAGAAAAATGGCTAGATATCATTGATTCAAGCGGGGCCAAATATTTCGTGTTCACCACAAAACATCATGATGGGTTCGCATTGTTTGATACACAGGTGACGAACAGATCCAGTGTCAAGATGAACCCCTACAAAGACTTTACCAGAGAATTACTGTCTTTGGCTAAAGAAGAGTATCCTCACTTGAAGCGAGGCGTTTACTGTAAGTGACATGAGAGTGGTATTAGTGCCATTGATCTAATCTCGAGACAGTTTCCATGCCAGAATGGTACCATCCAAGTTACCATGATCGATGGTTAAACTGGGATGGACCTCCCGTCAATCCTTACACAGGAAAGCAAGTGCCTTACACGGGCTCTCCAACAGTAAGCGACTTTGTCAATGAGGTACAGGTACCTCAAGTGCTGGAATTGATTGATCAATATGAGCCAGACATCATGTGGTGCGATATTGGTGGCATCAACAACTCCACCAGTTGGCAGGCTTACTTTTTGAATAAAGCGAGAGAACAGGGAAGACAGGTGACCATGAATGATCGCTGTGGAAATTCAGTGTCTGATTTTACGACTGTAGAATACAAAGGCATAAGCCATGTGCCTTCAAGGTATTAGCTTATTATCTGCTATGTTTTACTTGCTTGTTGGTGCTGACATGTATCTAATAGATTTTGGGAGTCAACACGCGGCATAGATCCACATTCATTTGGGTATAGAGTTACGGAATGAAATGGAAGGCCGTGGATTGACATTATGTATGTTTTGTAGTTTCAATCATCAAACAAGGCCTGATCAATATGCAACCACCGAATCTTTGTTACAAGAGCTTGTGTCTGTTGTGGCAAAAGGCGGCAATTTTCTACTGAACATTGGCCCAGAAGCATCAGGCCATGTACCACATGTCATGAGAAAGACATTATACGAAATAGGTCAATGGATCGACCGTGTGGATGAAAGCATTTTCGACAGCGTGCCTTACTGGGTGACAAGTCAGGATTTGCAGGAGCCTGGACAGCCCTTGTATTTCACACAGTCAAGAAATGGCAGATCGTTTTATATATTCAGTTTTAAACCACCTCTCAGTCGTTGCATTGTGGTAAAAACCAAGGTGCCTCTGCATCCACAGGGTACCATATCGCTACTATCGTCTGCATACAAAGAAGAACCGCTCAAGTGGAGTATGACGAGCAACGATAGGTTGATTATCAATGTACCTAATCATATAATGGACCAAGAGCATTTGCTGTGGGTGTTTAAGATTGAAGCACCTTAATAAATCGCTGTATACTATGAGGCACTGTTGTTCGATCCATTTTGACTTTACTGGGAACATGGCTGTCTGATGTGTAATTTTGATACATGTAAACGACGAGAAGTTGATCGACAGACAGCTGAACCATCGCTGTATACTGTGACAGACAAGTTGAACCGATATATCTGACGTCCTACTGATATATACTAAAATTTCACTTTCCAATCTTCTATCCTTATCTCAAGGTCATTCACAGACAAGTTGTAACTGTCAATCTGGCTCTTTTGGATTGCTCTATGTCTGTATTAACGGAGGAGAATGCATATACAGTCGACGAAAAAAGGTTGGCCCAATAAAAAAAATAATTGGCCAGTTTGAAATGAAAATGGATCACCGATTTTGAAAATGGGTCAACCAATGAAAATGGGTCATAATTTGAAAATGGGTCACCAATACTCTTTTATTTAATCTTAAGATAAAACAGATACACGATGGCAACCAACAGCGGATAATCGACACCACAAAATGCAAAGCGGTATTTCCTGGTAGCAATACAATATGACCAATATAGTATGATCTTGTCTTCCAAATCATCTAGGCCTAATCTCAATTATGTTATGAAACCTAGATTGAGTCGTTTATCTACAGATACCAAGAGAAAAAGTGAGAAACAAGAGTTACCCGTTAACTGAAAAGGTTAATCGGAAATTTGTTACCAAAGCAATCATTTTTCAGTTCGCACCGTGCAACCTTACTAGCCTAAGCATCTTGGACACATAAAAGAACCTGTTACTAAGTTTCCCGCCTTCCAACTCATACTAAAGGCCGTCCTGCAAAGTACAGTCGCAATGGCGTTCTGTTGGTGAGTAACCAATATACTAGCCCAAAGCATCTTTTACACGTAAAAGAACCTGTTACTAAGTTTCCCGCCTTCGAACTCATACTAAAGGCCGTCCTGCAAAGTACAGTCGCAATGGCGTTCTGTTGGTGAGCAGCCAACATACTAGTCCAAAGCATCCTTTACGCTTGCCCAAGATGATAAAAAGAAGTGATCCTGTGATTTTAACCAAGGCATTTGAAAAAGGAAGATGAAAGGCATTATTAGGAATATATAAAAGCATAATAATTAAGTAGTTATCTTACATTAGTATTGTCTTCGCTAGCGCTAATCATATAAATAGCCTTATTCATATCGACTTTCAGTCCATGTGCTTATCAATAACCGATTCCATCTACCATTTTCATCTACTAAAGATTCAAGATTAAATAGATCATGGTTTACGTATTTCCAGTTATAAACAACTTCATCCTCTCCGTTTGAAAGTATTTTTTGTTAAAATACATAGTGCATCAAACCTGGATTGAAACAACAGTTTTTTTTTTTTATGACGACAGGTGTCCTGATCATACTAGTAGCTAATTATAAAATACGCGTTTAATACAGAATAAAAAGCATCTAATACAACTATTACCTTTCTTTTTTACAGAATGAGGAAACCCGCTGTGGTCAAAAACTATTCTTGTATTTCTTCATCTTTGTTTGCAACATTCTTTTGCTTAAATAACCATATGAGCAAAAAATTTTCAGTTTAAAAAAATTAAAAAAAAAAAAATTCAGTGTACGTCACAAATATATTTAAGGCTGCGATTGAGTTTGCGGAAGTATTAGTAATAACGCGCATCTAAGTTTTTTTATTTTTTCTTTCTGTTGTTGATGGGCTATGTCTTCCAAGAGAAAACGACAACGAACTATTGCTGCTGATGCACAGTGGTGCATGGACAACAGAAATATTCTTACCTGCAAGGTTTTTGTGAATAAACACAAATTACTAGATTCTCAATAATCTGTCGCCAGATACAAATCCATTATTTCTAAATATTTACCTCAAGAAAAAGATCGACTGATTCAGGACTATGGTCATTGGAAACGTAGCAGTGACTACAAATTGTATTGGTTAGAAAAATCACGTACCTCTGTACAGCTGGACACTCGTGTGGAGTGTTCCTCCTTTGCAGGAGACGTGTTACGCCAGGAAACCGCAGCCATTACCACAAGCATCAACGATGATTATGCAAACATTGACTCAAACAACAACATGGGCATGGCTGCCTCTTCCTCTTTCTCTTCTTCAACAGCCATTCAGGATAGCGAGAGCATTCCATCAAGTTCTATACCCACAACTTCCTCAGCAACAACCCCACTTGATACTATTGCCACCATCACCACAGAAGGACCTCCTTGTTTTCCTTGGTTGATTGGTGACTTTGACGTGGCTGATGCATTTTACCGATACAGATGTCATGTGATACAACAAGCAAACGATAGGCTTCTTCAAATTGAAAAATCTGTGCACGAATTGTTGTCTCTGTCTCATATCCTCTTGCTATGCCCCAATCAACACAGTGATACTATGCTGCATTTTTTCGATTTAGCCCAACTCCAGAAACTACATTATTCCCTCCTGACAGAATCATTGAATGATAGCATCACATTGCCAGATGACATTTACTTGAAATTGGTCTATGCCGTCACTGATGTTGATGCCAAGGTCAAGACAAGAGGTCAAGTAGAATTGCTTTTGCTTACTATGGCTCAAGACTTGGATATTCGCCAGCAATCAGTAGTTTGGGGGGGATTACAGCTGCGTAAGTTGTGTGATTGAGATTTATGACAACATAGGATTAGATACTAATGGTAGATATTACATTTCTCACAAGTATAGTTTGAAGAAACTGCCATTCACTGCCATCAAAGATAAAACAACTATTGGAGAAGGAGAACTTCTGACTACATACTTTGATCCCATCCTTGCTAACATTTTGGCCAACCCAGATGAAAATGTACTTCTACGTTGGGCAAACGTCACTTGTGATGCAACCGGAGATAAGAGACCAGATGCAACCATCAGCAAGCTTACGCAAATGTCTTTTGGACCAAGCCTTGGATTTGGCGAGGCAAAAGTGGCTCAACCAACATGCGATAAATACATGCTTTGCCTCGACTTGACACGTTTGGCCACTTTTTCAAAAGATACGATTGACGAAAACAAGTTGAACGCATCTTTATCATTCCAAATACATGGTAAGCAAAGGAAAATGGAAGAAAGAATAAATATGTAAAGAACCGCTTTATTTTCTTGTAATAGGCTTTAGCGTTACTTTTTTTTATCACCCGTTTACGACACGATGGCATCTATATCATGCAAGAAATAGCCCATATGACGTTTCCGCGATCGATTGAAGAATTAGCCACTTTCATCAGCATGAAAAATTTGAAGATGCTGCTCAAAGTCACTGATGTATTTTGGCGATTATGTAAACCATGCGACAACGAAGAGCTGATTAAAGCAAATGGTCGTGCCACACATCCTTCGTTGCACTCATTGATTGATATATCCAAAGATCGACGTCGTTTATGTTCATTACGATTTGGATCATAATATCTTTTGGCTTCTTTTCCTTCATTATCCTCTCTATGTACTATCTCTCCCTCCCTTCCTTTTCCCTAAACTATGCATTATACTTGATAATTTGGATGAAATAAAGAAGAAATATTTACCATGTATTTGGAGTAGGCTAGGGTTATACAATGGCTCAAAAGTTAAAGAAGAAGAACGTGCCAAGTGACAAGTGCTTTTCGCACCGTCAAAAAATATTTTTGGGGTGCAACACACACTACACTTATTTTGTCATACCATTTATTATGTTATGATATATGAGCCAGGTCTGATAGATGCCTTGAAACTCAGGTTCCATATTAGGATTGTAAAGTGCAAAAGGACTGAACATTTATTATGTTATGATGATATTGAATCAAAACGTTTCTACCGTTCCAAAGTAGCCCCTGAAATCATCTTTATGGAACTTTGATATGTAAAATTTCGACATTTTGGCCAGAAACCTCTTTTCATATTTTCGTAAATTATTCAACAAGTTTATTCAAAACATCTATTTTATTTGGTACCATTGGGTGCGCCTTGAAAAGCACTCCAAGAAAGCTTAAAGAAACATAGGACGGTTATCATTTTTTTTACTTAGTCGAATCTACTAAAATATTTCAACCGAGTCGAAAATTATCAAAATTTGACCAATCTGGAACAGTTGCTGAACGGGAAACAAAATTGATTTTCGACAGCTGCTGATGGTTGGCAGAAACCTTTCTCATGGAGGCATGGTTGTAAAGCTAATACGATAGAGAGTGCGAGTCAAAAGATACGATTCATCCTGGTCAATTATTTCTGCTTTTGCTACTGACGACGAATCTTATATTTGAAGGACTTAATTGTAATAAACTGTTTTTTCAACAGCGAATTTTAAGTAGAAATGCAAAATTGTCGTTCTGTCTAGAGCTGCAAATGACGCATTTATTTAACTTGAATACTAGTACTCCCATTCACAGCATTATTATTGAAGACTTTCATATAATGAACATGTACAATTGGCTAAATAAATTATATTTCTTTTTTAAAATTGTAGTAGGTAAATCACGATTAATTGTAAGTTTCCATGAGTGGGACATCGGGCCTGGCTTCAGCTGCTTCTCTTGCTATATCATCCACACTGATTGTACGAAGCCCTCTTGCTCTACTCAATCTATTGAACTCTGTTTGCAAATCACGACCCATCTGTGTCACAACATCATCAGGTAAATTAAACAGGTAGCAATTGTAAAACACCAACTTGACATCACGTAAAAGCTGGTTTGCATTATCGTAGCCGCCACTCATGTAGCGATGACGAATGGTACCAAAATCCATGGGCCGTCTGACAATTTCATGATACGTGGGGATACCAAGTAGTTCAGCATCCACAGGAGCACCAAAAGCATAGTAGGATGGATGTGTTTGTATCTTGTCCAAGACGGATTGGTACTTGCGAAGCTCAGCTTCTGTAGGCGACACGCTTCTAGGAATGTCTGCTGATGATGATGACGATGATTTATGACCATGGCCATGTGTATGATGAGATGAAGGCGAACCAGATGCTGCGTTTCTCAACTGCTCTTCTTTTCTTCTCAAGTTGGGTCCTTCTTTGTTGAGAATTTGCTCCAAGATTTTCGCATTTTGAGACAAAACGTGATCGAAGCCGTTGAATGTATAGCAGTTGGTAAAGATGAGACGCATGTCGCTTTCGAACTCTTTTACTGTCTTGTATTGGCCCTGTTGGAGTTTTGTAAGCATGGTGCCAAAGTCCATGGGATGTTTGATGAGCCTGGGATAGTGGGGAATATTAAATGCAACAGGATCCACCTAGTGTCATCGGGTTAGTACTGGCTATAGAGAAACGACTCAAATCTATACTTACAGGAGTATGGAAACCATACGATTCTTTGCGATTCATGAGTTTATGTACAAGAGATTCCATCTTGGCTTGTAAAGATGGGTGTAATTTTACAGGAGCATCATTTGCTGGTGATCGAGCAGCGACTGAAGGAGACGCGTTAGACACTGCATGCGATGATGACGTTGGTTTGGATGGTTTAGGCACAGGCGACGATTTGCTGACTGAGGGCGATCTGACAACAGAAGGCGACTTTACAACAGCAGGCGAAGCAGAATCCACGTCCATGTAGTCGTATTGAGATGGCACAGTGGGAGAAAAATGGGTAGCATCCACAATTGGCTTTGCGTGAACAACCTTGACCTTTTTGGGAGCAGGAGCAGCGTCTGTGGAGAGTGTAGAGGTTGAAGCCGCCATCTTGGGAGGTGCAGGCGATGAGGAATGTGGGCGTTTGGGAGATGCACTGACAGCAGATCCAGTCGAGGCACTACTGCCGCTGCTAGCCGTCGCAATACGATTTCTCATTTCTCGACTGATATTGTGGTAATACTTTTCCAGTTTCTTTCCTGCATCACTAGCATAGGTACCAGGGGCATTGTAAGTGAAACAATTTTTGAAGACCAATCGCACATCTTGATCTACGGCCTTGAGGCTAGTATATTTGCCACTTTCTAATTTTTCCCAGATGGTACGCAGATCCATGGGCTGTTTGATCTTGAGAGCATAGTCGGGCAAGGACTCCAGATCCACAGGCACGTTGAACAGGGCAGCTTGATCATGCAATGTCAGCTTGTTAATCACCTTTTGGGCCAATTTCAATTCTTCGCCCTTGAGTGCGTTGGGAAGAGCAAATTCAGCAGACCAAATCTGATTAAAGAAGGCCTCTAAAGCAACACATTGCTTGGCCACCCAGGACTCATTGTCATTAAAGGCGTTGCAGTTCCAGAAGATTTGACGAACATCCAATTCAAACTCCCAGATTGTCTGGTATTGACCTTGATCCAGCTTCTTGCGAATGGTAGACATGTCCATGGGACGCTTGATGACAGTGTAGTAGAGAGGAATGTTGAGTGCAACGGCGTCAACAGGCTCATAGAAAGGCTGGCATGCCTGATGCGAGTACAGTTTCTTGTAAATACGCTCGCAGCGCTTTTGATTGCTCTCGGTCATGGCAGGATTGAAGATTGCCTTGGGCTTAGAGGGCTTTTCGATAGTAGGATGGCTACTGCTGACAGAAGGAGAAGGTGCTTTGTAATCACTGTGAGCTTCGTGCGATGCAGTTATGGATACAGCGTCCGAGGAGCCTGTAGGATGAGATTTGGGCGCTTTGGGTGCCTTTGGAGATTTGACAGCAGACGAGGAACTCGAAGTGGACGCCTTGATCTTAATCGCAGGCACAGTGCTGCTACTGGAAGAGACAGCCACAGGCGATGCCACAGGTGGTGTCGCGTGCTTTTCCTTTGGCTTCTTGTCTGTCGTCGTTGTAGATCCACGACGCACAGAGCCAAAGTAAGTCTTCCACACTTTGTTGTAGTCTTCCTCCAGTAGTTTTGACTTGTCGTAGACATACGTGTTGGGCGGATTGAATGTGTAACAGTTTCTAAACATTAGACGCATGTCGCTATCCATGGCTTGCGCATTAGGATACTGATGGTTGACCAGGCGCGACTTGATAGTACCCAGATCCATAGGGTGCTTGATGATCTTGGTGTACTGAGGAATTCCTTGCTTGATGGGATCCACAGGTCGCAAAAACTCGTAAGCATGATCACTGCTCATGGTCTTGTTGAGAACAGCAGACATCTTTTCCTTCTCTGTCATACGATCGTAGTTGGATTTGGGCTCAACGGAAGATGTCTTTGCCTTGTGGCTGGAGTTGTGGACGTCGACTACAGGTGTCATTGACTTTTTTCTTTCGACAGGAGACTGGGCTGGGCCAGGAGATGACATGGAAGGAGACATAGAGAAATAGTCCGGCTGTTGTGGCTGTACAGGTGGTGCAGAAGATACCACCGTGCTAAAGGATTTCGCTTTAGCAGGCTTGGGAGGTTTAATGACAATGGAAGAGGGCGTAGGGGCAGTACTGAGAGTGCTGCTGGTTGGTGCAGCGACAGATGTAGACAAGGAAGAAGGGGGCAACGAGGGATGCCCAGTGCGAGGTGTAGTTACAGGACTTTCGACAATCGTCATATTCTGTGTCTCCTCATCTGCCTTGCCACGCAAATTGGAAAGTTCCTTTTCAAACGTAGCCTCCAGTTCCATACCAGCATTGTATACAAATGTACCAGGCCCATTGTACTTGAAGCAGTTACTCAACATCAAGCGCACATCGTCCTCAAACTGACTGAATAGCTTGTATTCCTTGTTTTCCACTTTGCTCTTGATTTGGCCCAAGTCCATGGGGTGTGTGATCATCTGGTAGTAGCCAGGAGCACCGTCCAATTCTTCATCCACAGGCACAGTGAAGGGTAAAGCAGCACTTGACTTGTTTAGTTTGTTGATAACGCGTCTGCATTTCTTGAGCTCCTCAGCTGTGGCACTGTCCACCTTTTTGTGCTTGATCTTTGGTGGTGGAGGAGGTGGCGGTGGTGATGGCGTGTGTTCCATGGGCTGGAAGGGAGGATAGTCAAGCGTGGGCTCAACATGCTCAATGTCCATGTGCTCACTCGAGTCGATGGAGACGGGAGAGGTAGCCGCTTTGGATGCAGCAGCAGCAGCAGCAGCAGCAGCATTAGGAGTAGAGGGTGCTGATGATGTGGCTGCAGTGGCTGCTTCTGGTACTTGTTGAGATATTGATTCTGTCTTGATGACAATGCTGTTGGCCTTTTTATGTGATTTGGAGGCTTCTAATGCAGTATCTTGGTTAAGTTATCTTGTTTTCGTTCAAATGGCTAGTACTTACTCTCTTCGGGCTTCTGCTTGGGCTTGCTGAAACGGATTACTGGATTTGACGTAGGTGTAGAAGGTTCTGATGTATCTTCGCCCATATCATGCGTCTTTTTGAATCATTAGCAAATGTATACATACACAGTTTTTACTTAGCAACAAAGACTTACAGATGGCAATGTGGGTACACGGATAGTCACCTTGAGACCCACATCGATTGGCTTGAACATGTACTCACAGAACTGAAGCAAATACTTTCGTATGCAATGATCCAGCTTGGTGTTTTCCGAAGAGCTACAAAACAGCAAATTGGTATCTGTATGGGAGCGTGTTAGAGGTGCGTACTTACTTGAGTAGATTCCACAAGTTCTCTTGCAACACAGTGTCATTTTCAAAGCGCTTTCTCAAACTCTCAATGGACGCTTGGAACTGCTGTTGTGGTGTCTTTTCTACAGGCCCACGCTCATCATCAATCACGACGCGACCCTCCTCTTCAGCGAATTCCTCTACAAATCGATTGGTGACTACAGGTGTATCCGAGCTCTCTCTCATGGCAAGGCCCAACCAAGCCAACATGGCACGAGCAACGTAATGCGACACATAGACACACGGATCCTCCTTGACGACATCCAGCAAATAATGGTTCAATGTATGATCAGAGAGACCGCAAAGAATAAACAGACTGTCAATAGCCGCTAAACGCACCTCGAGATAGTTGCCGTAGCGTGTGTACTGCATGAACAAAGGTATGTTGACAGGCAGCAGGTTTTTGAGCATTAATTTGGTCATGGTACGTAAGCATGTCACGGTAATGATGTTGTGGTATGTAGGGATCACATAGTCCAGTGTTCTAAAACGCTCAATTTCAGCCTTCGCAGCAGCCGTTACTTGTTCACCTTCGAAATCGTCCATTTCAATGGCATTGGGCTTGTCGGATGCGGGTATCAGGGAATCGCCCAAAGAAGAGACCAGAGTAGCGACATAGTAGCAATCAGAGAACTCGTTTCCAATATTGTCATTATACTTGAGGAGGTCCAGCAAGAACTGACGGATGCGCACAGGCGTCAAACCACGTTCATCACGGATTTGAGAGAAGGCTACCACTGTTGCTTTTTGGATAAAGTAGTCTGGCAGGTTGGAGAAGTTGTTGGGCTTGGGAATCGAGTTGGTGATGGGCAAATCATCTTGCTCCATTTGCTGTTGAGCAAAGCTACTGACAGGGAAACAGTATCTCTTTTGGAACATTTTGTTCAGTTGATGCAAGCCTACCCAGTTCAAACTCGCCTTGGCACACGAAGCTAAACCGTAAGCAGCCTCCATACGAATCTTGTAAAAGCACTTTGGATCCAGTACAGCACGTAATAAACTGGTGGAAGTAGGCAGCGAAGGCATGTGCTTTAAAGCGTCAATGGCTTCATGCTGAGCAACCACATCACGGTCCTTGGTCAGTTGAGCAGCCCACATGTAATCAGGTTGCTTGAATTCACAAATACACAACCACTCGAATTCAGCATCCAGACGAATCCAATCAAACATGGCACTGGCAGCACCACTGGTATCCTCTTCATCTTGACCCCATTCAATGATCTTCCACTCCTTCTTCTGTGCGGCGTCTTCAAAGATGGGCATACCCAGACCCAGGCTAGGAATAATACCCAGCACAGTGGTACCGTCTCCACCCTCTTCGTTTTCCTGCTCTTCTTCAGCTACAGCAGCAGCAGCCGCTGCTTGTTTCGCCAGGAAACGCTTGGTGTTTCTACGGATACGCTTGTATTTGGTGTTGAATTGCACTTCAAACTTGTGTTCTGTGGACTGAATGTCGAGAATGTGCTCGTACGGTGTACCGTCTGCTTCGTGAATACGCACAGTTAGATTGCCAGTAAAGAGAGGCGCCATCAGTTCTTGGTAGTTGGCTGTACTGCCATCGATGCCGCCGCCTGATTGCTCCTGACTCAATGCCAAGGGGGTATTGGTGTTTTCTTGTCGCATAAAAATCTCTACTACCATCTTTTTGCGGTTAAATAAGAACGAAAAGGAGAATTTGGGACAGCCGCTGCGATAGATCCACTGTTCTGCAAAGACCTTGGTGTCAAAACCACTGACTTTTCGACATAATCTGAGAAAATAGTGTGTGCTGATGGCATTCTGGGCCAATTCACCACTCATAGCAGACACCAGAATCTTGGGTAACACTCGAGATAGGCCAAGCGTGCCACCGCCTTTGCACATTCTCTTGTCCAGCATGTAAATCACCAGAGGAGCCTTCAGTTCAATGAAATCAAGATCTTCAGGATCAAGAGGGTAAGGTAGTGCTGGGTTATAGACAGGTGGTCGGTTCACATCTAGCATACAGCATAATTCCATGTCCTTCTTCAAACGCAGGCGATACTCGTTGTTGCCTAAATGTCGCTTAATGAACAGGGAGCCCATGAGGTTGGCTAAACCACGCACCAGCCAAGTATCGGGCCATGACTTTTGCACTATGTAGATGCCAAACCACTGTCTCGCTAGTGCTTGACTCAGTTCTCGTCTGGTGCTGTATATTTGGTCAATGATTTCGACTGGATGCAGTAATCGCGAGCTGCAAATAGCCAAAGAAGCACTTGACGCTGTGTCTGCCCACGTATCTTCCACAAAGACAAGCTTGTAGTCTGAAAATGGGTAGGATCCATATTCTTGTGTATAGAAATGCATGGCCTAAAGAGTGGTGATGATGAGCATCTCTCTTTCTCTGAATGTCGCATCCCACACTTACATGCATCAGAAAACTGCAGCTCACGCTTAATTCCTCTTCCAAACCTGGCAAGGCAAAAGCATAGATATTTGACATCATGTTGATTTCAGCCATCAGACTCTGTTGTTGATTTTCATCCAAATCAGCCGCTGTCATGACTTCCTCTTGCAACTGTGATGGCGATAATTTGATCATTTCAAAGGGTCCAATCGCAAATCCAATGAATGGTGCAGGCGTGGGTACGGATAAGTTGTAGTGCACAATCTTTTTTGAGTTGTCGGTAGGATGGATCACTTGCTCAATGATATCGCCACTGCACACCACCATGATGCCGTTTGCTTCGTCAAAAGATCCCTCCCCGTCATATTCTGGCACTGCCGCTCCATCGTCTTTTCGAGGCACAATGAATTCCATGTCCCAAGTACAACGCTCTGAGATTCTGTCAATGCATGGCAACCAAGATCGAGTGGCTCCAGGCAATGGTTGATTAACAGTATATACGTGGTTGGACCGATAGGGCGCAATCTCGTCGTCTTTCTGCACATAAACAACACCGTTGCGTGGATCTTCCAGTGTGTATTCAATGCGAATGACAATGGTGTTGTATGTTGGTTCGACTTCTTCCGGCTGAGGAGGGGCTGTCGTTGCTGTTGCTGTTGCTGCTGCTGCTGATGTAGACCCCTCTGCTGGTGTAGGTAGTTGTGGTGTTTGTGGTTTGGATTCTATTGATTCAAAGTAAGTGAAATGTCCATTGGTAACAACTGACAAATTGACATTTACCTGGCTGTGAGTTTAAGAATGTTGTGGTTTTATTGATGGATTGAGCTTCTGATTCAGAGACCTATGCTTGAATGTGAATACCCATAAATTGCTACAATGTAACATATCCACCTACCTGATTGATGCAATTAGCAGGTAATTTCACAATCAATTCGCCCTCGTCTGCATCTCGAAGCGCATTCATATAGCGGCTTTTGTAGACTTGGTGATGTGAGATGGATGTGTTGGCACCCAATGTGAGATCTGATACCGCATCGTTGTATTCGAATTCAACTGGCATATCATTGACAAACGCTTTCTCAATTTCTAACATGGCATTGTTGAGTAAACTAACAGCGTATGATATGGGATGGACTTACTGCATTGTCTACAGTTGATGCGGATATTGGTGAGTTTGTTGTTGAGTGGCTGCACTGTCAGTTCTGCTAAACCCTATATCAAATCAATCACCCAGCGCGCGTTGGTTCATCGTGATCGTATAGCATTCCATTACGCCTTACCTTCATATAACGTTGACTAGGGTCTACTTCAAGTACAAATCGTTCATGACTTGTATAAAAAGAGATACATGTCAGTAAAAAACGCGAGCTTTTAAAGCATGGAAATACTTATAATGTGAACGCCTTCTTATAAACGTCTCTTTGCATGATGCTAGATGTTGTATTAAAGTGTGTGTAAATGTGCTATGGACCCAGAGATGAATGGAAAAGAGGCAGGGAATCAAGGCAGCTTTATATATCTTTTTCGATAGAGTTGAAGAAAAAAAGAAAGAGAAGGTGCAAAGTCTGAATTTCGCAGTAGTATATTGAGATGTATCTCAAGAGTCACATTGAGCAGGGCAATCTCAGTAGGGAAATTAGCAATTTAAATAGTCTTTTCACAGCAATAGCTTACCTTGCAGAAGCTGCTTCATGTAAAAGGCGCATGGAGTCGAATCAAATGATAGTAGACATTCATTTAAAGGTGGAATATTTCTTGAGCGACGGATGGAAACTGTCTTTTAGAGGGGTTTAGTTCATTTACTTTCGGCAGAGATGGCAAACAGACATTTCGGCCTTTGCTGCTTCTGCTGATGCTTGCTAATACATGCCAGCGCCTCCACGTCTTTTCAATCATTGCAGTATGATTAGTATACCATAACAAACGAGTGATGCTACGTCTCATACACACATCTACCATTATCTATTCGCGCTATACAAATGACACTCGCAAATCAAGTCTTCTTAAGCTCCTTCAGTCTTTTGCTTCTTATCTTGCTTTTGGCTACTGTTAAATCTGAAAGGCATTGAACAAAACTTGCTCTGTTGCTGCCTTGTAACTTTACTTTGATTGAGCCCTCCGCCGTCGAACGCATTAACGCCTGTTTAACTGTAATAAACTACACATTTTACTTGCAATGTTCGAGCATAGCCGTCATCATGCATATAGCAGTAAAAGAAATCGAGATGCAAATCTAGTCGTAATTGGAGATGAATACTTCAGCTCTTGAGCTGAACTGTTATAATGACATTTGAGGATTAATATGAATACAAAGGTTATAATCTGTGGGTAGCCTATCATCAACGTTTATGAGGGGTGGGAGAGGGAGGCATTGCTTTATGGTGTGAGTCGGAAGTTGCATCACATTTGAGCAACTAATCTTGCTTTCTCGTCAAGACTAAGACAAATCAACAAAATGATTATACTTGCATGAACACAATAAAAGTTAGCTCTTATTATTATTTGTTTAGAGGTCTTTGATTCACGGTGAAGACAAGACCACCATTGTTGTATCTTCATAAGAGGGAGGGGGGGGGGGTTCTAAATAGGACACTTGTCCGTAATATATGGTGCTCTAGAACAGCGCGACAAAATCGGTGGTATTGCTGGTATTTGGACTTCAACTTAGAAGGGTTATTGTTGAGAAACGGATGACGTTCAAAATAAGACCGTATTGAGCCATAATCTTCATACGAAAACCTATTAATAACAAGAGGTTGCGAGTCTTAGTTGGATGGACAAAGAATTAGGAAACGTTTTAGTGAAGGTCTCTTGGTTAAATCATCTTTTTTGTTGTGGTTTGGCAAAATTAACGGTCAAACGTGTGCTACGCATCTTGCCAAAGGAGAGGAACGGCTTTTTTACACCCTACGGCAATGCTATAAACTTTATATTAAAACGATTGTGTAAAGTTTGAGTGGTTGCTAAACACATAAAAAGATTTTCACATCAGTTGTCAGATAATAATCAAGGGAGCAAAATATAAAGTAACCTATATTATTATGAGAGAACCAGTGTTTCGACACTATTATCTGTACAAATGATGCCAACTCAACCAGGCTTCTTTTTTATCAATTAAACTTTGCTCCCCTGTTTTTGCTTTACAATGAGACCGCGTTTGGGTACTTACGATAATGCTTCCTTTCAGAATCGCGTTTTCAATCTCTACATTGAAGTCTACTTTGGTGAAAAAACGTTTTTATCTAGTGACGCTAAAGAAATGTCCAACGGTGCTCAGGTCTATAAAATAAATCTAAGGCATGCATTGACTAACGTTGGCCCACCACGAAAAACTTATATGCGCCATTATAGGAAAGAACAGCGTTTGGGCGATTGATTTTGGCTAATTATTTGCCTTTTCAGCAGCGTAGCTCTGTGAAACTATTCAAGACCGGTTTTAATACAGTCTGTGAATATCGTCTCTGGTATCACGGGATTTGTGGGTACTATGAATCTCTGCTCGCTCAAATTTGATACAGGTTTTCGTTGTTTGATCCTTCTAATCGTGCTGACACCGATTCAGCCTATCAGCTTTCAGCCGTTTCTCCTAAAATACGAGTGTTTAGCATAATGAATAGACTTTAAGCTTAGTTTTATGACTGAACATAATATCCCTGTTGTTGACGACCATCAAAAGTGCTCTGCTGACCTGACAGGCATCTTGGTCAATTCGAGCAAGTCGTGAGATTCAAATTTGCAACATATCATTGACGCTCAAGCTTTAAAATTACTACTGGAATCGCGCATTTCAAAAAGACAGATCAGAGCCTCAGAATTAGAATAAAAACATCCATCACTTAGAAACTAAGTTCCGTACAATGCAGAACATCCGGGTCATCAAACGGAACTGTAACTTACTTATCTGTTTAGCAACACAGCCTACTACACCTTATTTTTAGGCCAAATTCTGTCTAAATTTGGCTATTTTGAAGCTAGAATAACACATGCTACAAAGCGTCGTGGACGCTCGGAATAGCACCAAAAGATTCCTCTTGGCCACGCTTTACTTACTGATACTTTATCTCAAAATTTCTTGGATCATTGCAAATTCATGAGAATCTTCGTTTTTTTCATGTGTATTAGTAAGGGAAAATTCTTGAAAATCAAACGATCGCGTTTTTCACCCAAAAAACGAAAACTTTTTCTATAATACATATTATATCAAATTGATCGTAAGGATGAAATGCAACATCGGAAACTACTGCTTTGAAACTTTTATATGCTAAATGTTGACATATTCACAGAAATGTTGTTTTCATATTTTTGCAAATTGCTCATTATTTTCGGTCTGAAAGTTGAATGTAATCAGCATCATTTGATGCGCTTTTAATGACTCTCTTTAAATGCATTGGTAAGTAAAGTATAACAACGACAATTTCATAGTCAAATTTAGGAAAAACGTTTAAAAAATGTAAGATCAAGTCAAATTTGAATACGAAAATACCCACTGCACAATCTCAAATTAAAGTGCAGCATTTACGGCTGCCACCACGGCAGAAGGCTGAGGCCGAATCTACTGGTCGTGACGTCGGATACGGCGTCCTCTCATTATTCCATACCTCCGTTTTTTTTCCCTTTTTGCAAAGCGCGTTTAGTATCAAACCATATCGGTTTTGGAACCCTTTTGATTGAAAATAACACTCTAGCTTTTGATGACACGGCCTTGCACTGTTACAAGTGCTTTATACTGCTTCTTTAAAGTGAAATATAGTAGGTACCATTCAATAACTAGCACTGGAAGATGTAGAATCAGCACTAATCAAATTTGTTTATTAGGTTTCGACAATTTTTTTTTGCCTGTTTGACGTGGGTGCTGCTGCCATTACTTCTCTTCTGCTATCTCTACTGCTTGCTTCATTGGTTTATCGTGTCTAGTGGTTGCTTTTTTTAGTCATTGTCTGGTCTCTGCTGGTGGCGTTCGTTCTTTGGTTCTTTTATGGTGCCTGTGTTGCTGTTGCTGCTGCTGCTGCTGCTGCTGCTGCTGCTAATATGGTCCTTTCTGGTCTATCTGTGGTGGTGACAAGTGGTAACTTCTTTGGTCTTTGCCTGCTCACTACTGATGTCGTTCGTTCTTTAGTTTTTCTATGGTGCCGGTGTTGCTGGTGTTGCTGCTGCTAATCTGGTCTTTTCTGGTCTACTGTATTTGGTGCATGCTCGTTCTGTGGTCTGTTTCCGGTGATTGCCTATACTATTCTGGTGTATGTATGGCTGTGGTAAGTGGTAAGTATCTTATTTCTTCCGGTCGCAATGATACAAAGCTTCTTTGAACGCTTATACGTTTGCTTCCTTTCTCGTGATAATGCATTCATGATGTTTGCCTTGTTGCGCTTTTATTCTTTTTCTTTTCTTTTGTTGGTAGTGTTTCCTCTGTAGTTTTACTTGAAACAACATTAGTCATTACGTTGTATCGCAAACTTATAATACCACTGTTGCTTTCGCAGTTGTGCGTATTTGTGCCATGTTGCTTTACATCCGACTATTACTACCATGCGCGTTGCTCATGTATGCATTTTTTTTGCAACAGCAACGAGCTTTTTTAAACATCTTTGATGTTGTGTTTGTTGTGCTTTTTCTTTGATTCGCTTCGTGTGAGTGTCTCTTTTTTGCTTACATACTACTATACTCCTATAGTATTGTAGCGTGTTCTTTTCTTCATTCTTTTATTATTATTATGTTTCTTTGAATGAAGCATACCTTTTTTTTTACGTTGTGTGGATGTGCCTATCCCTGAAGCTCAACAAGACTTTATCCGAGGCTAGGAGGCAGATAGGCTGCCTCCACTTGGCTATCGCTACTTACTTTAGTGATGATTGAGAGTCTCAACGCCAGAATCTAAAAGCTAGGTGGTGTAAGTAAGGCATGCTCTAGCACCTGGGGGAAGTTTGATGATAGCAGCGACTATATTGCTATTATAGCGGAGCTTAAAATTTTGCCTCACATCAAAACAGGGGGAAACCCTCGCAAATTTTTTTTAAGGTCAGCGGAGTTTTCAAGCGATTTGATTGGCTGAGGGGTTCAAACGACGAAAGGTTTCAACTAGTAGATTTCATATTGATCTGACACTTAGTATAATATAGTGTTTGTAATAATAAAAGCGTAACTAAATGTATACAATCTTAAACCTTCCTTGTTCAAAAGTAATATAAGGTGCAATCATTGGATTTATCATCCATTAAACAATTTTATTTGAACAATGTTTCATTAAATCTATATGTTGGGAGGAGGATATAAGAGGTACCACAGCAGTTCACTGAGTACAGGGCTCTCCCAGTACCAAATGCCCCGCCAAACATGCATTGCTGACCATTGATTTCCAACATGCTTCAATTTCATGGGTTGCTATCTTCTACCTCGTATCCAATTCTAAGTATAAAAACGCATTAACAATTTCAATGTTAGGCAAATCCAGAATCAAGTTTCAAAATATCGGTGTTACAGCTCTGAAAGTACCACATTCCTAGAGCCAATTTAGCGAGGAGAAAGACGATGGTGGAATTGGACTTTAGAGTGAATGAGTTGTTATTGTTGTTGAGAAGCGATTGAAATTCGAATAAAACTAATTTTGAGCAAAGATCTACGCATAAAGCCTATTGAAAGCAGTTAATTACAAGTGATTACGAGTCATATATAAATCAATGAAGTGGGTGTTGAGAAAGGTTATAGTAAAAACAGCTAGGTGATACTTTGCTTCCCTGTGGTTTGGCAAAGGTTTGAAGCTAAAGGGGAGATTATCTTTCTACGCCTCGTGTTTATACTAGAGACTTCATATCAAAACGATTCTATGCCCATTTTGAGGGATCGTAAAGGATATAAACAAACTTTTAGTCGCTGCATTGGTTGTCAAATGATTAAGCGAGTAAAGTGTAAAGTAATAACCAATAATACAAAAAACCAGTGATTTGACGTTTCGACACTAGTATCTGTACAACTGCCCAATTCAACCAGGCTTCTTTCTGTTAGTTATATCTTGCTTCCATGTTTTACTCTATAAAATGTAACCTCGTTTAGATGCCTACTGCAATGCTTTCTTTCAAAAACAGAGCTTGCCATGACAAATATACGTCTTTCTTTAATATTAACTGCACGGAAACGTCCATACGGTGCTTAAGTCTGAAAAATAACTTTAGGTCGTGCATTGGCTAATGTTGGCTCACAAAGGAAGACTTATATACGCCACTGTAGCAAAAGTTTGTCTTGAGAGATCGATTTTTGGACGATTTTGGTTGGAGTTGATCTTTTTGGCAGCGTGTCTTCATGAGAATTAATGTTATAACTTTGAGTAATCCTTAAATGATAGTTAATTATTATGTATACATATTCAACAGTGTCATAGATACGTTGGTACAGATCTCACACCTACTTGTCTCAAAAGCCTTCAAGAGCATGAAAAACAGGCTTGTCGGTATACCAGGCATAGAACTATTAACAAGAGTATTACCATTTAATCCTTATTCTAGTCCTATACGAACTTAATATGAACTAGAAGTAATGACTAGCATAGACCCTAAGTACAATTCACCCATTGAAAGGTAATTTTATATATAAATTGCCGATTACAGGAAATCACACGTGCCAGATTTATAGATAAAGTGCTGGAAGGTATTGCAAAATATTGTTGTCTTGGTGCAATATCTAATTTTTAAAGTCTTTCGTGCAAGTAATAAACAACAACTGCCTATTATAGAGATTCTGTAAGTGCCACACTCTACAGTGAGCGCTTTTCCAGGCGCTATTTGCACTATGAAGATCTGCTATCCTTTCTCTTCATGATGCACAATATCAATGCAAGGCTAATTTTTGCGATAGTATATAAAGCTCTCATTGTGCTTGCTTTGTTTAGATTTTGATTACACACTTGTTTATAACTATCAAATGTTGACTAAACTCTGCCCTTGTCTTTCGCTCCTTCTTTCTCTCTCTCTCTCTTTGGTGCTGCACAGGCTGCTCCACTAAACCATGGTCTTATCAATTCTACCAATTATAACAGAGTATTTAATGCTCTTTTAAATACTTCGCCTCTACTTGAAGCTGTCGAGCCTATTTATGTTATGGCTGGCGACGATCCGGTTGTTTACTGGCCACCTTCCTTGAAATGTAGCTATCAATGTAAAATTACCTCGGTAATGATCTAAAGCAACACTTGATTTTATATAATAAACGGAAAGTGTATACTCATCCACTTTAGTTTAGGCCTCGCCAAGCAGTACTGTGTTTTGTGAGATGCGTTGTTATCAAGCTTGAGGAACCAGCTGATCGCCTTTACCAAACATAAACTGATCCAGCAACTGTGAATGCAATGTTCTTTTTATTATCATCAATGGCCTTCATTATGGACGTCAATCTAAAGTATACTATGAAGCAATAAAGTGTGCGTCAAGAAGAATTTATTTATTGTTGATTCGCCTTTAATAGAGGTTCGGATGCCTTTCCTTGACTCAGACACAAGATATGCTCACCGATAGTCAATGGAAATGATAGGTCCATGCTGCCATCATCCATTTATACCTCTAATGAGCCCAATCATTAGCAAATTGCAGGCTATTTTTTATGCATCTATAGTAGGATCATTCATCAAATTAATGATCCATACTGGCCTGTTTGCTTTTGTCATGTATTCTGTGCCATGAACAGCATTAGATACAGATAGAGAAAGAGAGAGAGAGAGAGAGACAGGACCACGGAGACCCAATCTACTCTGTGACATCACTGGCAACGATGGAATGGACGGAGCCCAGGCTTCACATTTTATTTATTTTGTCACCTTTAAAACCAAAGACTCTATTTTCTTGTTCTTCAGGTTCCTACACTAGCACACACTCATACACAAAAGAATCATGCTTCGACAATCGATTCAGCGCATCAACACCAACCGTGTCTGTCAAACTTCTTTAAAGAGCTTCACTGCTGCTTACACAACTAGCATTCAACCTTCCGCCAAGCCCATTGCACCTCAAGCTCAACAAGCCGAGAATCGTGCCACTACTTGGTCAAAGACTCAACGTGCAAAGGCTGAAGCCCTTGTTGGCCCTCGTTTTGAACAGATGGATCTCAGCACTCAGGTAAAGCATCAGAAGACTCGGCAAATGTGTAATGTTGAAGAGACATGTCAAACAGATGCTAAATATGTTGTATCTATATAGCCCAACCCTATGGCTGCTATCGAACTCATTGCCGAAGAGCCTATTCGATTTGTAAAGGAGCGTATCACTCATTGTGATGGTGGTAAGTGGTGAATGGGACGATGAGATGAGATGTTGTGTATTGACAGCGATCGCTGTTTAGGTGGCGGACCATTGGGTCATCCCAAGGTCTATATCAACTTGGACAAGCCTGGACCTCATGCTTGTGGTTATTGTAAGTGATAGTGATAGTAATTGACATGTTGTATACTGATGCTATTTGTGACATTAGGTGGTATTCGTTTCCAAAAGCCCGAGGGACATCATCACTAGATATTTCAACACACATATACTATAAATCCAAGCAATTATTTAATAAAACAATATAAAACAACGCAATCCAATGCAGATTCTTTACGAAGAAATCGATATGTATATGCTGTCAAAAATACTGTGGTAGTCAATGTGATGGTTCTTTGCTTGAATGTATACATGTGGTGCTGTGACGCATTATATCTATTCGCATGCCGCGAGAAATGCACATATTTCTGTAGTTTTCCATTCAACAAACGAGAGTGCACATTCTTTTCTCTCTTTTTCTCTCCAAAAAAAAGAAGCATAGACAGTATGGACGACTTACTAGACTTGAGTTGGTCTGCTCCTTCTTCATCTACTGTAAAGCAGCAACCTCCTCAAAAACCAGAAAAACCAAAAGATGCATTTGCCGACCTGTTATCCTCTTCCACAGCATCTAAACCTGTAGATATCTCTAAGCTTTCCTTGGTAGAGCGACAAAAACTGCAGCAACAGCAACAACAGCCGAGCAATACAAGCTCTCCGTGGCTCACACCAACTCAAGGTACAACACCCCTCTCGCCATCGAACCATACCTCTGGATATATACCTCCATCATCGTCGACATTGGAAGCCAAGCAAACGCCCTCTGCCAACAATACCAACGCATCTTCGTTTGAAAATTTGTTGGATCCTTTTGGAAGCAGTAAGAGACAGACCGACGATAGAAGCACGCCTTTAAACCAACTGTAAGTATACGCTTTTTGGATGCTGGTTTGACTAGCGTGGACTCAAAGCATCTTTGCAGGCGCACGCAAACCTCGACACCGGTCTCTAACAACAATGAATGGGATTTTGACCTTTTGGATACCAAATTGAATGGCAATGCGACCACCAACAGCACTTCCACACCTACTTCAGTCATAGATCCATTTGATGTAGACTCACTGGTGCAACAGCAGCAAACCAGATCGCCTCAGGTAGCAACCACTCACGTTGCAGAACAGGAGGATGAAGACGATAATCCTCTTGGCATCTTGGCTCGACCAGCCATTAAATCGCCTCCATTCACCGCTGCATCACCAGAACCAGCATCGCCTACACAGTCTCATAGTTCTGTCAATCAAGGGAGAATCATGTTGGATGAGGATCAGGAGGACGCAATGCTGGCTCAACTCATCGAAATGGGATTCAGCTTACAGGAGTCTAAATTCGCCATTGAAGCAACTGGTGGTCAAGGTTTGCAATCAGCCGTCGATTTGCTAGTCCAGAATTCAGAAACTGCTCAAAGACAACAGCCTACCACAGCAGCTGTTCCTGCTCGTCCCAGTCAGCCCATGTCACAAAACGAGCGTGCTCGCAATACCCTGTTTGCTGATGAGAATGACAGCACTGCACCTGCGTCTCGTCGATCACAACCATCACAGCAACCCCGACCAAAGCACAGACAGCAAGAGTCTCATGATGATTCACTGCAGGAAACCACTGAGAAAATCGTAACTCAGGCTCAAGAATTAGGCGGCTTTCTCTATAAGAATGCAACTTCCTACTTTAAAGCAGGCAGAGAAAAGGTGACAAAGGCAGTGGGCGATTGGCAGGAACAACAAAGAGCACAGCGTTTGCAGCAAATGCATGACGAGCAAAGTGGCTCTGTGCGACCCAAGTGGATGCATGCTGGCGATGACACGCTAGACATGTCAAGCAAGTCGGTAGAGAAGTTTGCGGATGACGATGATAGTGAGGATGAGGCACAACAAAGCATGGAGACAGAGAGAAGAAGACTACAAAAAATGAGAAGAATCCAGGAAACGAAACAACGCGAACAAGCGGCCGCTGCTCACAAGCAAAGACAACAGCAAAAGCTCAGAAAGGATGCATTAATTGACGATGAGCAAGAAACATATGTTTCTCCTTCGCGTCGCAGAGGCGGCAGTGGAAGATCGACGCCCAGATCCAATGCCTCTCCTCAATTGGAGCAACAAAAGTCATCTACACCTTCCACGCCAAAAAATATTCGCTCACGTCCCATTGTTAACGCGTCTCCTGATGTCATGGCCAGAGCAAATGAGGCTAGAAACCAGGGCAACGAAAAGTTCAAGTTGGGTCAATTTGGTGAATCTGAGGAAGCTTATACGCGTGCCATTGATATTCTTCCCGACGAGCATGACCATCAAGTGCTTCTTTACAACAACCGAGCCATGGCTCGCTTGAAGATTGGACATTACAAGAAGTGTGTTGAAGATTGCGATTTTGCACTTGGTTTAGCAAAACGCAGTGGTGAGGGCAGCACAATCTCAGAAGGCGTTGTCATTCAATGGCGTGATCAGATCATAAAATCACTTTCCCGCAAGGCAGAAGCATTAGAGAACATTGAAAAATACAAGGAAGCGCTTGCTACATACGATGAGCTACTAAAACACGAAGGCGGTGGCAATCCCAAGGTGAATCAAGGCATGTCTCGATGTAGACTAGCATTAAACCCCAAGAAGAAAGCATCCTCGACAGTCAAGAAGCCCGCGACACCTGTTGCTGAAGCCAAGAAAGATAATTTCATGGCCATGTTTGACCCTAATGCACCTTCCACTAGCAGTACACCCACTACATCAGAAGCAGAACTGAGTAAGAGTAAGGCTGTCGCTGCCATGAGAGCCAAGGCTGCAGAACAAGAAGCAGAGGATGCAGAGAAGCTGGAAAAAACAGACGATGTCAATGCTCGCCTGATTGCCTGGAAGGCTGGCAAGGAACAAAACTTGAGAGCCTTGTTGGCTACCTTGGACACGTTACTATGGCCCGGTGCTCAATGGAAGGGTGCTCAAATGAGTGAACTCATTAACCCCAAGAAATGTAAAATCACCTACATGAAGGCTATCAGCAAAGTGCATCCTGACAAGGTATGAAGATGTATGTGAGGATGTTGTTATGTGAGAGACTAACTTGAATTTAAATAGCTTCCATCTGATGTTACTGTGGAGCAACGCATGCTAGCGAGCGGCATCTTTGCCAGCTTGAATGAAGCTTGGGATTCTTTCAAGAACCAAAATCAACTGTAGAATTTTTTTGACATTTTAATATCTTTAATGATCTCTTGTATTTGCATCTACGAATAAAGAAAATTAATGCTATATACGATAAAGTATGCGTTCTTTATGATTTGGGAGAAAGCTACATTTTTGAAAGAACCTGCCTTTCTGAGTACGTAATGCTTCTAGATGTCTGGATCAACATTGTTGATTGGCATGTTCTGTGCCTGATTTAAGCTTTTTTTTAATGCAGGGAAAAATGGTCACTATTTAGGCTTTTTATATCAATTTTTTTATGGGACAGATCAATTTACCTCTCTTTTTCTTCACTCTATTGTGAATTATTAAAATGGTACGTACCTGGATCAAGTATACAAACCAAACCATGAGCTAATGCAGTCTCTTGTAGCCTCAAAACGAGCATATTGAAGAGCACATCAAGCGTCATGGCCGTCGTCTTGATTATGAGGAGCGCAAGTAAGTTTACACAATTGTAGTCACCCACCTGAATAATGAACCTATGGATGGAAAAAAAACAGGCGTAAGAGAGAAGCCCGTCAAGCTCACAAGGCATCACAATATGCACAAAAGGTTCATGGTCTTAAGGCCAAGATGCTGAACAAGAAGCGCCATGCCGAAAAGATTCAAATGAAGAAAACCATCAAGCAACACGAAGAGAAGAATGCAAAGCAAAAATCAGCAGACGCTATTCCCGAAGGTGCTGTTCCCACTTATCTGTTGGATCGTGAGGGCGAGGACCGTGCAAAGATTTTGAGTAACATGGTCAAGCAGAAGCGTAAAGAGAAGGCTGGTAAATGGTCAGTGCCTTTACCTACTGTGCGTGGTATGGCAGAAGATGAAATGTTCAAGGTCGTCAAGACGGGTAAACACAAGACAAAGCAATGGAAGCGTTTGGTGACAAAAGCTACTTTTGTGGGCGAAGGATTTACTCGTAAACCACCAAAGTATGAACGTTTCGTTCGTCCTATGGGTTTGCGATACAAAAAGGCACATGTGACACATCCTGAATTGAAGGCTACCTTCTGTCTGCCCATCATCGGTGTCAAGAAAAACCCTCAATCACCATTGTATACTCAACTTGGTGTGATTACAAAGGGTACTGTGCTTGAAGTCAACGTATCAGAATTGGGTTTAGTGACAACAGGCGGTAAGGTGGTGTGGGGTAAATATGCTCAAGTGACCAACAACCCTGAAAACGATGGCTGCATCAATGCCGTTTTGCTTGTTTAACTACTCTGTGTATCTCCCTCTCATTCAATCTATCAGCATATTTTTATTCCATTTATTTCACTGTACTCTTTATTAAACATTAGACATATTTTTTTCGATAATAAATCTACCGTATTCGATCATCCTTCATTACATCTGGCATTATGTTGCGGCTTGAAATACTCTTCTGATTCAAACTTGGCATAAGCTTTCAAGCATATGGTTTCAACGAATTGTCTAGATCAGCCAAATGGATACAAGTGTCAGATCAAGAAAGGATGGATCAGAGGCATCTTTGGTCAAGGCTCGATTTTCGATGAAATCATTGGGCATTGGATTGATTTGTGCAAGACTTGATCCGTATTTACATGAATGACAATTGACAATCCAGAGTCTAAATCAATGTGGCATTATCTCACAAAGACGTCAATGTAATTTGATCCCTTGTGAGAGATTTCCTGGAATTAGCCTAGTATTTGATTGGTCACGTTGATTCTGATGATCGAGATTTAAATAAAATGAACCCCCATCCCAAAGATTCTTTATCAGATTTTCTTCTTTTCATCAACACATGTCTAATACAACCTACTCAACAACTTCTACAGAGAAGCTATTGTCAGCCTGCGGAGGTGCCCTTGTTACTTCGCTCATGGTGACACCCATGGATGTTGTCAAGATGCGAATGCAGACGCAGAATGTGTATTCTGCAACCACCAACACACTATCCAAAGCAGCCATGTGTTGTATGACATTTAATAATTGCACACAATCCATCAAACATGGACTCCAAAACAACAGAATCACCCGAGGCGGCCAGCTTGCCAACATCTATCAATGCACGGCCTATTCAGAGGCTACAGCTATATCCGTAGCAGCAGCCAACTCTGTCAACTCGCCTGTTTTCAAAGGCACATTTGTAAGGGGACCCCCAACTGAAATATTTTTTTTTTTCGAGTCCAACACATTAAGACTTTTTTCTTGTTATAGGATGGACTGTACAAGATTATCAAATATGAAGGCATTGCAGCATTATGGAAAGGATTGTCGCCAGCACTACTCATGTCAGTACCAGCAAATGTCATTTACTTTGTTGGCTACGATTATTTGAGAGATCTAATCCAGCCCTATACTTCCATCGACTCGAACAAAGACTACTCACCACTAGTGGCAGGCGCTGTTGCTCGTACTATTGCAGTAACCATCATCTCACCTATTGAATTGTTTCGTACGAGATTGCAGGCCACTACGGGTGTTCATGATTTCAAGCGTGAGTCACTGTTAGTAGCATTCCCTGACTAGCTGTACTGATTTTCGTATATTAGATGTTCTGGATGGTGTAAAGCAAATGGTTGTGCAAGACGGATCAAAAGCATTATGGAGAGGTCTACCGCCTACGTTGTGGAGAGATGTACCATTTTCTGCTATTTACTGGATGGGATATGAAGAATGCAAAAAAGCCATCGAACTCAATAGCAAGTACGATATGAATGAATTGCAAGTTTCTTTCGTAGCTGGCGCTTTATCTGGCATGGTATGTCTGGTGTCAAGTGCTTTTTCGTTCGAATATTATTGACATTGTTTGTATCATAGTTTGCAGCAGCAGTGACAACACCATTTGATGTAGCTAAAACCAGAAGACAAGTAGATGCTGGTAGAGGTATGACATTGAATGCATGCCAAATGCTTGTGGTTACTTAACCTCGATATAGAAAAACCATCCTTAGTTGACTCTCGAGTGCCTGCCATTTTAAAGCAAATATACCAGCAGAATGGTGTGAGAGGCTTGTTTCGAGGTAAATTTGATAGTTCTACTTTATGCAACATCAGTTGTTAATGTTGATTTTAATGTAGGATTAACTCCCAGAGTGGCAAAAATTGGTCCTTCCTGTGCGATCATGATTAGTTCTTATGAAATGGGAAAGATTTTTTTCTCTAAACATCATACTGAAGATCTTGTCTAAATGATGCACTATACTTGAATTCAATTTCCTAAACCGCCATTCACCTCATCAAACAAATTCCATTATATCACATTTTTTCATCTTGAAAATACTTCCTCTTTGCTTCTTTCAATTGCATATTGCATTGTATATATATATCATAACATAATAAATTTATGGTTCCTAGACAATTTTAAAGCTAGTTTAACGATAGTGCTGTTATGTAATTCTTCGCCATCTACTACTAGCATCTATTATTATTGCCTCTCATGATTAGAAGAAGGAGGGCCTAGAGTTTGCCAGCCGGCTCTACCAGTCAAAATTAATTCCAACTCAAACACTTGGTGTACTCTAGATTGGTCAGATTTTGATGGCTTTTCGACTTGATGGAACTATTTTGCAAGATTCGACTATATCAAGTGTGATGATCATCCCATGCTTCCTAATACATTCTTGAAGTACTTTTCAAGGCGCATCCAATGGTACCAAGTAAGATAGATGCTTGAAATAAACGTATTGAGTAATTTACAAAAATATGAAAAGAGGTTTCTGGCCAAAAAGTCAAAATTTTGCATATGAAAACCTCACAAAGATGATTTCAGCGGTTACGTTAGATCGATAGAAACGTTTTGATTCAATATATGCCCTAGTAAAAGTCTTCATTTTCAAGGTGAAAAATGCGATCGTTTGATTTTCAATGAAAACCATGAGGGGTACCTCATGCTTTTTGGTCGAATTTCGTCCATGTTTTTTTTGGTCCCCAAAAAGTTGAGCAAAGGTGTCAGCAAGTAACGGCTGGATGAGAGCAATTGTTTGGTGCTATTCTGACAATCTAAAACGGCTTCTAACGCGAGAAATCACGACCTAAACGCACTCATATTTTGCTGTATTAAGGATACTAAGGACTAAAAAAAGGAAATATTAGTATGCTACTTGCCCGGGCGTGAAGTAGCTACGTTTATATAGATGTAGGGCATCGCATGAGGCAGATTCGCAGATAATAGGAAGGGCCCTCATGTGTAAGTAGAGAGTTAACATGAAAATAGCAGTATTTTAGGGAGATAAGCAACCGCAGTCGGTAGCGCGAGCTGCTGCTGCACAGGTTGGTTCTCACCGAAGCAAAGCGAACGTAGAGAGCCATCCGAAGCATAATAAAGACACTCTTTACAACGTAATAAATCTAAATGTCTGTAATTTGGAAATGTACCTGAAAGTACATATTGCAATTTTGATGTTGTCTATATGAAACGAAACGTTGACTGTAAATCACAAAACTAGTATTATATTTCTCATTCAGATCATTACCGTATACTATTCACAAAGTTTACTTATGCATTATATTAGCAGGTTCGCAGCCTGAACAACAACGAAATCTATCCATGCTGTGCTCATTAACAAGATACCCCATTGATTGGTTGATTAATTATGAAATACAAGTTGTGTCCTTGTGTCTCTTTTCACCCCCTCTTTTGCTTTCTTATTTTTTTTTTTTTTTTTTAAAAAAAAAGAAAGAAATAGTATACCCCCTTTTCCACTCTGTTGGTCTTGTTATTAGCGACATTGACAGAACATGAAGCGTTTCTCGACTTTGGTCAGCCGAACAAACAAAGTGGACCAACTAAAAGCTGCAGATAAACAGCAGGAAGAAGGTTTGGGAATAATTTGACTCTTATTTATCCGGTAAACCTTATAATAATTCAATTCTTAGTGATCAAGACCATCATACTGGGTCCTCGTGGATCTGGTAAAACATCGTTTTTGTACAGAACTTATTTCAAATACAATGAATATCAACCAGAAGCCCATTTTGATGTGATACCTACTCCAACACACAATGTGGAGGTGATACCCTACCAGTCCTACCAATTCGAATTATGGGATTTTGCAGGTAAGGCGGCATTACAGCATGATTGGCGTTGATCTAATGTCTTCCTTAGAGATAAGCTCATGCCTAAGCTACCTGGATGATCAAACTCGAGCCATTATTTACATGATCGACTCGACAGCATACGAAAAAGAAGCAGTAGCATCAAAGTCAAAAGAAAACATGATCTGGTTACTGGAGACATACCAAAAAATGCTAAAAAATACCATCATTATCACTGTAGCAACAAAGCAAGACACACAACCACCGATGGATATCCAAGATATCGGCAACTCTTGGGTCAATGACAAAATGCTCATGAATCTACTCAAGGGCCATGATTGGAGAGTATTCTCGTGCAACAATTTGACAGGTGATGGTCTAGATAGCATTTTTGACTACGTGGCATTGAAAGTGAATCAAGTGCGAACAAGTCAACAAAGCTTGAATCGACCTATTTCGCTGCTATCACCCACACCATCCTTCAACCAGCAAATTGATACGATCACACCATGGGATCAACTGCCTAATCCACACCACTTTAACGATCAGGAATTTCACATTTGGTTTCAGCAAGGAAAAGCATTCTTATTTTTCGACTACATTTGCCTGATTCGGATTATTTACCTGAGTATGGCCCAGCATGAATCAATGCAGCCCTTGTTTGAGCAGCTTGAATACAACCTCTCGCTTATACCCGACATTGCCACCTTTAAATCGATATCCTACTCGGAAACACAAACGTTATTCTGGATCCAAATGGTATCATTTGCATTATTGAAATCACCGCTCTTGGAAGGAGAGACGAACGATTTTGAATCCTTTCTGGCCAAAAGTCAATTGGATCAAGAATGCTGGAGGACATACTACAGCCACAAGCTGTTTCATTCAGACAAAGCCACCAGGGAATTCATGCCACCAGATAAGAAACCATTGCCCAATGCGTTTAGATCGTCTTCATTGAATCTTAAAGGAAGTCAGTTGAACATTAATTACCAAGTATTGTGACCTTTGAGTCATATAGGAAAAAGCTGCATTAAATAAAAAATTTTCGTTTCGATTTTTCTCTTTCTTTCTTCTTTGTCTCTCTCTCTCTCTCTCTCTCTCTCTTTTCAAAATGCCCATTCCTGTAGATCAATATCACTACGATACAACAACGACAAACCATGTATTCTCAAAGATAATCAGCATTATTCTGCGCTCAAGATTGCAGCATCAAGGGAAATCAAGCTGCTTGAACAATGAGCGACATGAGCAATGTATAGACACATCCATCGACGAGGAGATGGAAACAGCCAGCATTGTCATCAACATTCTCCAGAAAGAATCAGATGATCTGCTGGAGCGTTGGATCATGTCGTTTGATGTTGCAGAAGAAGCAAGCTCCAATGATAAGAATGATTTCATCCAAAGTGTCAATGATTTCATCCACCAAATGCCTGCCAACGAATTCAAATCATTGTATACCATATCCTGCTTCAACAACTCGTCAAATTCACAGTGCTACTCTCATATATCGAGTCAGGACAGAATTGAATTCAGGCAAGATGCTCAATTGAAAGCTCAGCGGTTCCATCTACCAAGTCTAAGCTTGGAAATCGTCTATGATGAGAAGCCTAGAAAGAAGCCAACCATCTCGCTACAGTCACTATCAAGCCCTTCATTCATACCTTGGTCTAAAATGCAGCAATCGCAATCGACTCAGCATGAGGCAATCCATCCTCTCGCCAATATTCCCACAAGGACCGCCACCACTGCTCCTCCTGCTCATCTTGTATCACCAGCAATTGTTGTCAATCATACCCCAATCATTGCTGTTCGAAGACTCTCTCGCTTATCGCTATCTGCCATTGACGATGAAGATGACGACGATCAAGTGGAAGATGTAGGCAACTCACCTTTAGCTATACCCATTCCATCACCTAGAATGCAATATACCCATCACGGTGGACATCATACCGGAGTTCGCACGGCATTTGCCTACTCCACATCGCCCATCAACAACCTGTTATCGCCCACCAGCCCTTCAGCGGCGTTGATGGACCATCCTCAGATGATGGAGCGTCGGAACTCATTAACAGATCAGCAGCAACACCACGGCTGCTTTGTTGGAAGTTTTGAAGAATCGTTGTTTTCGGGAAGAATGTCATCCATGCCATCAAAGCCAATTACATTTCATAGTCAAATTGGCGTGTTGGGCTATGGAGATTGCAAGCCTTCGCTGAAATGCCCGCCTCATTGGTCTATTGTATTCCCAGCCACATTCTACAAATTACCTCAGGATGATATTATCACACCCTACGTAGGCACAGTGGATGTGGGAGAATATGCGGCATTGCATTTCGAAAAGAAACCTCAGCCTGGATACCGCATACCACCCAAAGGCCAGCTACAAGTGGTCATCAAGAATCCCAACAAAACAGCCGTAAAGCTATTCTTGATTCCCTATAATGTGACAGACATGCCAAAGAATACCAAAACTTTTCTACGACAAAAATCATATGTAGTAGATCAAGATGACGATAAAAAGCAGCTCTTACGATATGCAATTCATGTACAGATTTGCAGGACAGAGAAGAAACGTATCTACCTCTACAAGACCATGCGCATCGTCTTTGCCAATCGAAAAGCAGATGCTCGAGAAAAGTTCAATGTCGTCTGTGAAGGGCCCAAAGAGCCTGTCTATATACCAATGTAAAACTTTCTTCATACAAACAAAAATCCCTTGTAAATAAAATAAAATGCACATGTACACTTCAACATTAAAGTATCACTCACACGCATAACGCACACTCACCACACCCCCACACAAACAACCACACCCCCCCTGGTTGGTTAAGTGAAAACTCACATGTACAATAGTACTGCTATTTTCAAGCTCGAATGTTACAATAATAATTCAGTTTCCTGTATACCTTGAACTCCTTTTTTTGTGCTTTTTTTTTTTTTTTCCCCGCATTTTCATTAATCATAAACACCCATCCCTCCCCACTCTTTCTTTGATATTATATCATATTGTTGATTGAATATGTCTTCTATTGCTTTACAAACCATGAAAAGTTCCATCGCTAGACGTTGGATGTCTGCTGCTGCTGTTGTAAGTATTGGAAGTACATTGCAATGTGTGATATGTGGATGCTGATTGCGCGCGTTCTTTTTTTTTTCTTTCGATAGCCTTTGACTCGCTCATTGCACACCACATCTGCTTCCATGATGGCCTCTGCTGCTGATGCCAAAGAAGCCAAAATCAAGACTCTTGAGATTTATCGCTGGGTAAGAAAATCTTTATACTAATAGGGTAAATATGATAAGATAAAAATGACTAAATACAGTATCCATATTTAATAGAACCCTGATAAGCCTACCGAAAAGCCTGTCCTTCAAAGCTACAAGGTCGACTTGAATGCTTGTGGTCCTATGGTTTTGGATGCTTTGATCAAGATCAAGAATGAGCAAGATTCTACATTGACTTTCCGTCGTTCTTGCCGTGAAGGTATTTGTGGTTCATGTGCCATGAACATTGAAGGTGGTAACACTTTGGCTTGTATCTCCAAGATTGATAAGGATACCTCCAAACCTCTCAAGATCTATCCTTTACCTCACATGAACATTGTCAAGGATTTGGTCCCTGATTTGACCCACTTTTACAAGCAATACAAGAGTATTGAACCTTTCCTCAAGCAAAGAACACCTCCCGCTGACGGTAAAGAGAATTTGCAAACAATCGAAGATAGAAAGAAGTTGGATGGTTTGTATGAGTGTATTCTCTGTGCCTGTTGTTCAACCTCTTGCCCTTCCTACTGGTGGAATCAAGAGGAATACCTTGGTCCTGCTGTCTTGATGCAAGCCTATCGTTGGATGATTGACTCTCGTGATCAATTCGGTCCTCAACGTCGTGAGAAGCTCCAAAACAAGATGTCTCTCTACCGTTGTCATACCATTATGAACTGCTCAAAGACCTGTCCCAAGGGTCTTCAACCTGGTGCTGCTATTGCCAAGATTAAGCTTATGATGGCTACTGAATAAATAGCTATTAGGTTTTTATGATTCTAATAAATGTTGCCTTTTTTTCTATTTGTTATATGTACATGCTTTCAACAGAGATCCGCAATAGAAAAGGGGAGGGGGGGGGTCATTGTTTCAGGCAGAATTTCGGGTGGTTGCACATGGTCTATTTATGCTGACAAAAGGTCAAGTAAAGTGTGGGGAAGCCTATATATACACTGCTTTAACAATGCACATAAAAGCAACGCTTTGATTTTCAATTGTACAAGTAAAATGAGGAACATCAGACACAGAAATACATGCTTAACGTGTTTTAATGGTGGCTACCAGACATTGCCCCTGAATATCTGAATGTACGATCGAATTACCAGATTTGCCGCATTGGTACTAGGCAATCAAGGCATTTTTTTGCGCTTCTGGCCAAAGATATAATACTTGCACGCACAACACTAAATGAAATATACCAGCTGTATTTCAGAAAAGAACAATCAGACACTTAAATTAAACAATTCTGCTTTTACAGTTTGCTCTTCTGTTTGTGTACAGAGCAGCGCTGGAGTTGAAAGCACAATGCCCACTCGGTTGTCTTTTTACAACACTTGAATCTTCAAAAGCGTGTAGTTACTTGAATACTGCATGTAAGCGCACGCTCTTTAAACATACTAGCAATCTGCTTTTTGCATTTCTAATGACGCTAGCTTTGTATTTATACCATGCCAAATGCGTGTGTAATTTAGCTTTAACGTTTACTTTTCCTGCCAAGTCAGAAAAATGACAGATCATGATCTGATGAAGATGAAAACTGTACAAAAACTTCAAGTAAACTAAACGTACGTAGTATCAAAAGATTCCTTGAAACCCTCGCTTTTGTTTGGTAGTAAGTTTTGTTATTTTTGAAAGCAGTTTGATGTGTTTCTCCTCGAGGTTTAGTGCTTCAGGGCCAAGCGCGCTTTTCAAACGTTCTAGTAGCTGGTATTCTACAGTTACATGTGTGCCAATGCTTTTTTGCTTGAGCAGTTGACAGTACTGACATCATGTGCTGTATGTAAAACATAAGCGTTAAACTGTTAGTCATCTTTCCTCAAGTTATGCGAGTTTTGATGTTACTGAGTGAGCTATATACGCACGCAAATCTAAAACTAAAGCAATCTGCAGCTGTTTTGATCTTTCGCACCTCAGTAACTGAAACAATCATGGCACGGAATCATTCTAGTGAATACAGATGCCAACTCGGACAAACTATTCAGCAAGTAGCTTTGTACGCGCTGATTTGATCTGTATGAGGCATGATTCGTGAGTCTGTTTCGTACAGTGCCACTAATGACTTTATGGAAAATTACCTTTTCAGATCGGAAGGCCTTTCATTTCGCAAGATAATCATGACAAGATGTTTGTATCACAGCTCGTCAGATGAAAAGGGTGACCACAAATGTTTAAAAATAAACATTGGCTATGAAGTAATCAAGGAAGTTTCCGTTGTCATGGTATTCAGTTCCACGCATTGCATGTGCGTACGTAAAGGTCAACGTTTTGTACGTAACTTTACATGGTTTTTTATTGAATGATATCCCCATGTGTGTACAATCTAATCGCTACCAACAACACCTCCTTTGTTGAGTCCCACAGCTTTTTCTACGACTTCTCGCATCAAATCTATCAAAGTGCAGCATGTAATAATGATGTGTGCTTCCAAGTGATCCGGTCTTTCCACTAAATTCAAGGCATTTTTATCAATAATCAGTTCGCCCAGATGAATAAAGTATCCCATGCGATGGCTATCAAATTCTGCAATAACACGCCACTTCTTTTTGGGTTCGTCTTCGTCTTTCAAGTGTTTGTCTGGTCGTAGCTGACACACCATATCGTGCGACAACAAACTTGCTCTTTTCCATCGAATACGATACCCCTCAAATTCGGTGTCGTACGTAAATAGTAAGTGCGAGTTGGTACGGTTGTGTAGATGATTGGACTTGGTGGTGTTGAGTGTTCCCGCAGTAATCACAGTGGATTCATCATCGAAATCCTCCTCCTCTTGCAGGTAATCCTTTTCATTTAAAATCACTGGAAAGTCTCCCCATTCTACAGTGATCTCCTTCTTGAAAGCTCTCCTTCTTGCTTCTGCGACCTTGATCTTTTCTGCTGTACTGCTGCTGCTGTTAAGTGGCGTACGGTATAGTATATTCTGAAATCCCCACGAGTAGGAATGAGGCTGCACCTTTTTGTAAGCAGGGATTTTAGTCCCTTTGAAATAGACATCATGTTCATGAGGCCTTGCCAAGGAATGCTTGCGTAGGTCGTAGTTTATCATGTCTTCCATGGGTTTCTTCTTGAGTATTTGTAATAAGGCAAGTCTACTTGTTGCACTGCTCGTGTTACTACTATTACTGCTGACACTTGATGCGCTGGGGCTCACTGCAACTACAGGATTGGAGGAAGATGTACTAAGCACAGTTGTAGATGAGGGCACTCGAGATATCAAGGTAGCTGTTAAGCGAGCGCTGAGCTCGTCTTCGTCTTCGTTTGTCCGAATGGGAGGTCGTTTGCCATTCACGAATTCCGCTCTCACGATAAGATCATCAATAACCTCTTGAGGCAAATGTGTAGTACTGTTGTCATGCTGATGCTCATGGTCAGTGTCATCATCGTCGTATGTATTTGGTTTATCATAACAGATAGTTGGTGTGTCTATGGTATCTGGTTTTTGAGTGAACTCTACGGGAGCATCAATGGTATCAGGTTTCATTTGGTTATTAAGGGGTAAAGCTAATCAAGAAGAAAGAGAAGATAATTTCATTGGGCTACATGTGGGTTTAAATACCCTCACTTCTGCTGCTTGAATTTAAAGTGGCTTTTAGTGTCATTTTTTTTAGTCTTGTATCCGTAGACGTGTCTTATCATCACGCATATTCTTTTAAACATCTACCAAATGTCTTTGAGACGATCCAAACAAAGCAACATAAAAGACTTCAGCCTTCACAAATATGGCACAAAAGAACTGAAAAGATTTCATGAAGGACGCAGCAGTATACTTGACAACCCCATCTCTTTACCACCAACAACAAGGAAAGGCTTCATGGTACCTTTAGATGCCCATCAATTACGAAAGGAAGATGGCCAAGCATCAAAGAAGCGCCGTTCATCATTGTCAACAGACGAAGAAGAAGAAGAAGAAGAAGAAGAAGAAGAAGAAGAAGAAGCGGACGATGGTGACTTCAGATCTAGCAAAAAACCAGAGAATACCCTAAAGATGCCCAAGAAGAAGACAGGCTCCACTTCAAGCAATTCACTGCACATCCCCACAAAGAGAGGCACTCTGTCAAGCTCAAGCATGAAGACAGAGGACCTCTTTGAATCGGCGTCTCCTCCCGATTCTCCTCAAACAACGCTCAGGTTATCAAAGAAAGAAGTAAACCCATTTGCCAGCAATAGACAGACACTGATAGTACCAGCGAAAAAGAAGGCAAAAATGGATACTGATGAATTGGAGAGGATGCACGATTCTCTGGTCAAAGGTCAGAAGAGCAATAACCGTGAACAAGATGCGAGTGAAAGGAAATGCGATTTCTGCGGCGAACAGCTATTCCCAATTACAGAACCTATCCGCAAAGCATTGGAAGAGCTTGAAAAGAAGAATGATGCCTACGTCAAACGACAAAATCGACATTCTGAGCAGATGCATGCAGCCTCATCCTTTAGTACTCCAACTGGCTTTGTGATCTCAAGACCTGTGTCCAATGATGAGAAAGACAAGTTCTGCGGATTGCACAGGATCCAACTGGTGATTCGACCTGAAGGTATCAGAAAGGGCTATCCACGACAGATTGACTTCAGCAAGATCAAGGAAAGAATCAACTGCTTCAGAAATGAACTCGACGATGTTATTCATGGTGGCATCCCCAGTGATTACAAAGCTATCGCAGAAAAGGCGTACAGAGAGCAAGGTCAAGCCAAGGCAAGAAGTGTCATGAGTGTGCTCAATCGATTCACTGCTACCTTGCCCGGTTACTACGGCCCTATGGGCGCTGCTGTCATTCTCAAAGTTTTAACGAAAATGTACATTGATACTGGATATTTGCGTAAGCATTTGGTGTCGTCGCAACTGCCACTGGAGTATTTGCAACAAGTGCTTGTTCCAGAGGTGGGCTTTCGTTTAATCCGACAAGATCTGACTAGTAAAAGAAAGGGTACACCTATTCCAGGACTGACTGAGAAAGCAAAGACCATTATGAAGGAAAGTGCGGCGTATGGCAATGCCATGTTCCCTGCTGAAGATGCCGACATTGACGACGATCGTGTCTCTGATATCAGTAATAATCATAAGGATGAAGACGACCAAGTAGAGATCAACGAGGTGTACGCAATAGATTCAGATTAGATGTAGCCATTTGATTTGTATTTTGTATTAAACCAAAAAAGAAGTTGCATTCTTCCTTTTTATTCATATCCTTTTGATTAGATACTCTTCCATGTCAAAACTATTTATATAGAGATCGATTCCTTGTTGATGCGTTGTGGTAGTTGTGTAGATAAATACAGAAATTCAGGGATTTTTCTTTTTATTTCAAAACGTTCATTTTCATTCTAGAATAAAATAGGTGATTTAATGGTGTTCAACGTTCTTGTGGTGCTCTATTCAAGAAATGAGTACATCTCTCCCAGCATTTTCATCCTTAATCACATCTAATAACTTACTCAAGTGGAAGTGATAGTCGATAGTGTAACCAATAGCAAAGACACCGAAGATGAGGTGAATCAAAGGAGTAACAGAGGCGTTCTCACCATCAATGTAACGGGCCTTATAACGACCCCAAGGTCCAGAAGGCTTGGCAGCTTCAACGGTACCCTTGGGCAATTTCTATCCGAAACTGTTAATGTCATTACATTTCGACCAAAACATCCATGATATATCTCACCTTGTAGAAGCTGACCAATTGAGAGATTTGACCATCCTTGGCAGAACCAGAAAGTCTGGTAGCAGCAGCTACATTAGGAGGGATAAGAGTCTTGGTGGTGTAGGCACGACGGAAAATGGCACTCATATTATGAAAAGTTTTTGGTTTTAGATAAAGTGTGGGGCACAAAATAAAAAGAGACAAAAAAGAACTAGAGAAATATATAAAATGCTGTTAAAAAAACACACCAGGGGGTGAGTTTGGTGACTGGACTGAAAGGGGATTAGCAAACTGCATTTGGCCTGTTTATACGTCACCGCTTTATCCATCTATATATACACACACACACACACAGAAGATCGCTTAAAAGTCCGGAAGAAGAGCAGAAGATGCATTGACCTGCTTGATGCTGATATTGAGTAGGTAGGTGACATCTACTAGCAATAACACCAAGAGTTCTCACTCGTTTTTTTTCCATGATATGTCAAATCCATCTCCTTCAATGTTGAGAACCCCCTTCCAATGTTCAAATCCAAGATTGGTAATGTTACTTGGTAAACCAGATGCTCAGAATCAGCTATCCACATATTTAATTCATCAGCAGCTTCTAATTCTTCATCGAATAATGACCCGCTGATGTACAGCATAACTTCAATTTTGGCATTCTAGTATTATGCCTAAGCCTTACATTGATGAATTGCAACTGTGAATCCAACTTTTCAAGATGCTGTACGTATGTATCCATGAGAAAAATTCCATACATGGACATCTAACATACTGCCATTGCCTCCTACTACTCGAAAATACGCAAAATGCAGCAAAAGTTGTGTAAGTTTGAACCATAATTTTTCACGTTTGAAGCCGCTTTGAGCAACCAGGATAGCGCCATACAGTTGCTGTTATCCAGCAGCTACTTCCTGACACCTTTGCGCAACTTTTTGAGCCAAAAAAAAAAAAAATATGGCCAAAAATCGACCAAAAAGCATGAGGGGTACGGGGATGGCTAACGTACCAACAAAATATTAAAGCTCATAAATGTACAACCTGTCCGGCAGTGCTGTAGCAGCGCTTGCTTTGTCTGCTTTTTTTTTCCTTGGGCTAACGTACCAACAAATTATCTCTAGACATTGATAGACTTGCAAACTTCTCGTATTGCAAGTAATATAAATACAAGACGATGAATGACAAAAATGCAAATTTCTGGTTCCTATTAAGTATGAATTTGTCAATATAGGCTTTCAGTTTGAGTTGTGGTGTAATTTATTCATTTACATTACTGAGGAATAGTTGTAAATTTGTGCAGTCCAGAGAATGATTTTGAGCTTTACCAAAATCAATATGCCTCCTATTCAAATTAGAAGTTGCACAGACTGCAGAACTGCCCTCTTCAAGAATTTCAGCTATCCATCCACCAAGATGTGATTCACGCTGTGTAAATAAAAGCTGTAAAGCAGAAACATTACCAATTTTGACAGCTTTCAAGCCTTCATATATTGACATGTAGACCTTTTCTGAGCCACCGGAATGACACCAAATTGTTGTATTCGAGTAGTAGTAACTTCCTGACATCGTTGCTCAACTTTTTGGGACCAAAAAAAAAATATGGCCAAAATTCCACTGAAAACCATGAGGGGTACCTCATGGTTTTTTACGAAAATTAAACGATCGCCTTTTTCGCCTTGAAAATAGAGGCTTTTACTATGGTATATCTTGAATCAAAATATTTCTATTAATCTAACGTAACCGCTGAAATCATCTTTGTGGGACCTTGGTATGTAAAATCTCTGCATTTTTGCCAAACGCCTCATTTCATAATTTCAGTAATTGCTCAATAATTTTGTTCAAAATACAACTTATAATTAGGATCATTCGATGCGGCTTGAAAAGTACTTCTAAAAAGCTTAAGGAAGTGAGAGGTAATCACAGCAGTCTATATAGTCGAATCTGACAAAATACATTGAACAGATCGATTTTTGATCAGAATCAACGAATCGAGAGAGATTAACAAGCGAGCTTTACATTGATTTCTGGCTGCTGGCAATTGATGATGCTTGTGAAGCTAATAAGAATGGGGCCTCAAGCAAAAAAAAAAGACCACAGTTTAGCTTGAGTACGTCTTATTGCTAATGTATCGCGCTTTTGTATATGATAGATTCAATAAACAGAACATGTGAGGTATAATGCAAAATGCGAAATCCTTGTCCTCTTCAAAATGACATATTTTTAAACGCGAGATCCATATTTTTGTAAGAATCTCGCAATTCATTTATTAGATACAAACCAACATAGAGATCAATATTGCAAGCTATCTGTCACAGAAAGGCGTTACAATTCACCGTATCATATATACATGCTTAACTTTGTAGCAAGCTTAGGTTTACGTCTATCAGTTTTAAATCACCTAACTCACCTACTTTGCTCGTGCCTGTTGCAGTACTACCAATCTACACTGAATCCTATTTGATACCTTAAAATACCATCAACTGCACTATACTCATGGCAAATTCCGCACGGTGTGCAACCTCTAATCACACAATAATGAGTAAATGTTGGCTGTGCCTGCTGCAATACTAATACACAAATTACTGCGCAATTGATTGATCTCGCTGCAAATGCGATTACAGATGGACTCAATATGGATGATCTGCTCTGATCACATAACTGAATCATGATTTTTGCAAACATGGCAGCCGCGGGCCAATAATTGTGTGCGACAGGCACATACATATAGGAAATACAAGTGGCATAATGGGCTCTATTAACAAGTTTGATTTATAATTCTACACCTTGAGTAGTGCAATTGACTGATTTTGAGTCTGTATGACAAATTCTGATATTGCAAGCTTTTTACAGCTCCTATAAAAAGGGAAGAAATTTCCTCAAATGTCTCTCTTTTTCTTCTAATCAGAATCAAGCATATAGACTATAGAAATGACGTTGACCAAGAAGCTCTCGCAAATCACCGTTCGACCTGTCAAGGCAGAAGAATATGAAAAAATCAAGCGCACAGTGTATGACATTATCAATGTAGCCTTTAAATCAGATGATAGTTGGACCACAGACAGAGCTTTTGTCAGCATTGACCGTATTCCTACTGCTGGAGAAGCAGAATTTGATGCCAGATGCAAGGAACCCAGTGTACTTTTATGTGCATTTGGTGAGCAGGATCAGATTGTTGGTGTAGTGCATATTCAGGTGCAAGGAAGTGAAGCTCTGTTGAACTGTTTGAGTGTCAGTCCCGGTCATCAATCGCGCGGCGTTGGCAGCCTCTTAATCCGAGAATCGGTCAAACACATTCAAGCCCATATGCCAACGATCAAGGAAGCAGTTGTGCATGTCTTTGTTGCTCGCCCTGAACTGACCACCTGGTATGTGCGTATGGGATTCAAGGATGCTGGTGAAGTGATACCTTTCCCCTATGGCGATATCCTCATTGTAGATGAAGCACCATTGGCAGTTTTGAGATACCCAATCTTCTAATTGGGCCATGTGAATCAAAATTTTAAAAAATATATACTAGACTCCCTCCTCTCAATTTGTGGTGTTCCTTTTCCATCTTTTGTGTCATTTAGACATTTGTTTCGTTTTGTTTCGTCGATTATTCACTACTGCTGCCATGGTCCAACCTACAATCTCTGTTCGCACTGCTCTTCCTGCTGACGTCAGGTACAAGGAAGAAGCTGCCAAGGTTGTCAATGCTGCATACCGCTCAGAAGGTTAGTCTAAAAAGCTTCCTTGACATTTGGCCATGCCAACTGATGCATGCTTTTTAAACTAGGTGGCTGGACCACCGAAAAGGACATTGTCAGTGGAGAACGTTGTACAGTTGACATGATGGAAAGGTTCATTTTGGACAATGGCAAGCCTCATACCCTTTTGTTTGCATTCGATCAAGATCAGCTCATTGGCACTGTTCAGATTCAACATGCTCCTGAACATCCTGGAGAGGCAGAAATTGGCCTGTTCTCTGTCAGCCCAGCACATCAATCCCGAGGCATCGGTGGCAAGCTTGTGCGTCAAGCCATGTTAGAAATGCATCAACTTGGCTATCACACTGCCATGATGCATGTATTAGAAAATAGACCTGAAATTTTGGCTTGGTACAAGAAGCTCGGTTTCGCTGAAACTGGAGAGCGTATCCCCTTCATTTGGCCTGAAATGCTCAAAGTCGATAAGGATCTTCACTTTTTAACCTTGAAGAAGACAATTTAATAAATTTAGAGAGGATTAATCGGTTGTTCATTTGAGGTTTTAGCCCCTTACAGATTGGGCCTTTTTTTAATCTTGGTGTGTTCTGGCCCTCTCTTTTCTTTCTCTTCTCTTTATCTCCCACACAACCAGTATGTCTGATTTGAACAAGGTCTCATTGATTGATACAAGCGAAGAAGAGCAAGCAAGCCTTGTCCAAGCTATCCCTGCTCCCACAGCTCCTGCTCTAAAGGAACACGATAATTTGCTGGACGATGTTGTGGAAGATGTTCAGCAACACACAACTGCTTCTACCACTACTGAGCCCGAGACAAAGCAGCAGCAAGACGAAGCCATCATCCTGGCTACGTCCGCCAAAGAGGAAGGCTGGGAGGATGATAAAAAAGAGCATCCTCTTGCCTCTCTCTCCTTGGAAGAATACGAAAACAATGATCCTTGGGCTGCTCAGCCCGAAGACAATGCTTTATTGCAAGCCGATGTAGAGGAGGAGGATGAAGATCATGCAGAGGCCGCTCTGGTTCAACAGCCCGTTGCTACAACCACTGTATTTGACGCAGACAATCGACATGAGCCTGTCAATGAGGAACAACTGGATGAGGACACTTCTGCTACCAAGGTGAATTCTTCATATTCTTTGATGTACCTAAAATTGCGCCTCTCAACGTGTTTCATTCTATAGGGATTCCAAAACTTTCATGATAGTGATAAAATCGATGATTTGAATGTGAAGGGCCAACTTCCAGAATGGTTGGTTGGAGAGCACTTCACTATTGGTCCCTCCACATTTGACATCAAATACACTCGCAAGATTGAAATTGATGGAGAGCTTCAAAACGCTAGTGCATTTTACACATTTGGACATTGGTTTGATGCGTAAGTAGGCCTCTGATAGAACAAGATGAGAGCAAGAGGGGCTCATACTGCAGACATTAGACTTCCTTTGGTGAACAGATTTGATTTAAATGGCTCCAGAAATTCAGTTACATACAGACATCGATCCACCAGCCGCAGACTTGTAGAGAAGATCAGAGAACACCACGGATACGCACCTCAGCATCCCAACGCACTATACATGTCAAACACCAACCAAACCGTGCTATCCAAGTTCCTGGGTTCCTCCAAAGCAAACAAGCCTGATGCTGAACCTTGTGCTGCTCGTATCTTGGCCAATATTCCAGGTTTAGAAGGACGTCTGTTCGCTCAAAACTATGCTAACCATGTGCAAGAATTGGATCCCTTTGATTTGAAACCAACTCGTTTGCTTCAATGGAACGAAATCAATCCTAAATTCAAGGGCACAAGTTCTTGTCCCAATGGTAAATACGATGTCCGTACGGGAGAATACATCAACTTTTCAATGGAAGTGGGCTATCAGTCTGTAAAGTACAACTTCTTTTCCATCTCTGACAAGAATCCCAAGGGATCGCTTCTTGCATCTGTTACTGCACCCATGGCGTATGTGAACAACTTTTCAATGACACCCAAATACATCATCTTTGTAAGTGGAGGGCCATAGCATACACTTATTTATATTTACTGACATGATCTCAAAATAGGTAATGTGCCCTATTTTAGCCAATGCTGGTGGTGTCAAATACAACTGGAACGAAAGTATCATGGACTCGTTCTCTTTCAGACCTTCTGAACCGACCTTGTTTTATGTCATCTCTCGCGAAAAGGGTGATGTCGTAGCTACTTATCGCTCTGATCCTTGTTTTGTGTTCAACCACATCAATGCCTTTGAAGATGACCGTGATGGCGTGTACCTGGATATGATCTGCTATCCTGATGACACAATTGCTCGTCAATTGACAACGGAATACCTGCGCAATCCCTCCACAATGCAGCCATCCCGCTTAGTCGCCTCTGAAGTGAGACGCTACTTGCTTGCCAATATTGAGGAGGAGAAGATTACATACATGGCAAACAACTCATTGATACCATCCAAGACCAGCGTTACCACTCGCATCTTTGGTCTCTTTGGCAAGAAACAAACGCCTGCCAGCAATGATTTGGAGTACAACAACCAAAATCAGGACATGAACAAATGGTACTCTTGGATGCCTATCGCCTCTTATGACAAACGTGTTCAACCATCGATTGAACTACCCCAAATCAATCCCAAATTCAGCATGTACAAACACACCATCATGTACGGTCTTGGCTTTTCGGCTGCTAGTTCGCTAAAGGATGGTGCTATTTGGGATAGCATTGTAAAGACAGTAAGTGGATGTTTATTCAAAATTCGGATAGCGTGCTTAGCCCATGTATAAATAGAACATGGATACCAAGCAAATTGAGGCATCGTGGCATCAAGATTTCTGTTATCCCAGCGAAGCCGTATTCGTACCAAGACCCTCTATCGGTCCTGAAGACGAAGTTGGCGAAGACGAAGGTGTCTTGATCAGTGTCGTCATGAATTCTGCTAAATCCACTTCATTTTTACTTGTTTTGGACGCTGGATCATTGAACGTTTTAGCTACTGCTGATTTGGAAAGATTGGTACCCCTCAGTTTTGCTCATGGCTCTTATCGACTTCGAGAAAACTAGAAGAAAAAAGATCGTCATCATGCTCTCATCTATATAATATATGATCTATGTGTAACTTTTTTTAATCATTAAATGAATTTGTATAATGAATGTTCGTTCCTCAATGTATACTATGGATGCATGTACAAATTCTCTTGGATCTGCATGAGCTCGGCTGATCATCTCTTGTTTGTTATTGTTACGATAGATTGATGTCAAACAGGTGTATAAGAAGCTTGGCAGTGAATCAGAAACTGATACAATATGCAGGTGCTTTTGAACAGCTGATAATGGTGCTTGTCCAGAATAAGAGCTCTCATGCAATTAACCCTCAAAGTATATAGAGATAAAGTGCCAAGCTTGATACATACTACAACACTTGGGTTGCATCCAGTGAAAGCAAAAGAACGTCTACCTACAGATCAAACGTATTATTACTAAAACTACCATGCATCTGAGTTTTGAGATAGTCTTTTGTTGCCATGGTAATGAGCGTTGACAGGCAAAGGCAATTTCTTTGATCCATGGCATGATTTATACTATAAATACAGATCTGTGTACGCTTAGATCAAAAGAAAAGAACTCTAAACCAACCATGATTTCATATTTTGAATGCATAAAAGGAGAGTAATGATAACATCATGGATCCCATTTTACGCTGCTTCTAAATAAAGTTTCGTATCCTAAGCTCAGCAGGATGATTGGTTGACCCTTACACAAACGAGGCATAAATATAGTCAAGGAAACACAATGATATCATGTCTTGTTCGAAATTTAATATAAAAAGGGTCAGAAAACGAGTTTTTGTGTTTCTTTTCTTTATTGTAAAAACATACTAATTATTAAAAATGGCCTTCACCTCATCTGATATCTGTAAAATTATCGCTGGTAAGTTGCGTGTGGATCTGCTGTAAAATGTACCCATGTATTTATATCATTGTTACTGTTAGCCGTCATCTTGCCTCCTCTCGGTGTCTTCTTTGAGAGAGGTTGCACCTGTGATCTCGCTATCAACATTGCTTTGACCTGTCTTGGTTTCATTCCCGGAATCGGTAAGTTGAAAGTGTAAAAGAGAAAGTGAGGTGATGGTGATTTGTTAACATGTCAACTTGTAGTTCATGCTCTCTACATTATTCTCAAGTATTAAGAACAATACGCGTGTCAGCATATCTGCAAACAGACTCCATGTATAAAAACCAAGCTCAAACAATTCTATATATTTCAAATTTGCAAGAAATATGAACATTTACTTTATACCAACATACTAATATAATAAAATGAAATAATATTGTTGTAACAAAATAGCGTTTTGTGTGTTTACCATGTATAACGCAATGCTGAATGTGCCATAGCACATAATTTGCTAGCGAGAAGAAAAAACTTGTAATCAAATAGTAACATGCCATTATCCTGCGGGATGGAATGGCCTTTACGAAACATGTAGGGAGGCTGTCGAGTCTAACTGTGATACAAGAGTAATACAAACCATACAAATAGAATGTCTTTTCCGTGAAATATGAAACGTAGCACCTTTTGAAGGATAAAAGGAAATCGTTTAAATCATAGCGCATTGCAAGATCATGAAATTATGCATGTAAAATGAGGTGGAATGTCTGAAGAGAGTTTTCTTTTTATTAGTGCCAGGTATGATCTATATGGAAGCAGCATGTATATATATATATATATGTAATGTATGCGTAGTGTACACTTTTGGTTTGATATGGGCAAAAGAGGGGTATATTGTATTCAGTCATAGAAATCATCTCTATCAAATATGTCTTGATCAGCAACTACAAACGCATCGCTCAAGATGTGGTTCACCATGGTGGCTAATCCAACTGTCTTTTCTTGCTTTTGCTGCATTTCTTGCTCATCAATAGAGGTTCTTGGCGTATGCAGCTGCTCATCCACCTCATGTTGTGGCGGTAGTGAGGGCGACGAAAAGTAGAATGGAGCATGCTGAAATCCGCTATTCATACTGGTGGTCGTTAGGAAGGAGTTGATAGACGCTGAGGGGACGATAATTTCTACTTTTTCATCGTAATAACACCCTACATTTACAGGAGATGAAGCAATGACTGAATCCCGGTTTTTGCCTTTCGCAATAGGTGATGAAAACCATTCACCCGCAGGAATACTGTTGCGCTTTGTCTTTTTGCCAATGCCCAATGTTGACCACCGCTGTTTTTTGTGCGTCGTAGTGTCATCACAAGACTTCTTTTGTTTTACACTGGTGTGCTCTTGATGTTGAGCAGTGCTGCTGGTAGATGTGGATGTGGATGTGAATAAGCGAGACAGACGATTGAGCATTTGATGCTTCATTTTTAGGTTGGATGCAAGAGAAAGAGGAAAGAAAGCGACATGTAAATATTAAAAAGTGTGCTATATATTCATACCAAATGATTTGATATGCAATACGGCGTAATGATCTTTTAGTCGCAAAGTGTCTGTATTCCTTGATTAGGTTTCATTTCCCAAAATACATCATGTAATAGTGCCTACATGACAAACACTGCTTTCTAGCCATGCATGGCCAAATTTACATCCCACTGTGTATTGCCATCATCAAATGGTATCTATATATAATAGATATCCTTTTCATTTGAGCATGCAACATAGCATAAAGCAAGGCGGAAAAGGGCACATTGGAGAAGGGGGTCAAGGACAGGCCGCCAGGGGATTGCAAGTGCTTCTTTCTCCTTTGATCCATTTGCCACCATCATTCATTTGATCCAACCTCTGTGTGACTTTTGGATGCCAGATACTAAATGCACCAACAAAAATGTGTCATCACAACACCCTGCTCTCTTCCACTTCTCGCTCAAGTTCATTTTCCAACCATGCTGTATCGTATTATTCAAAAAGCAACCTTGCCTACCACCCGCCGTCTTATTTTCAACACATGCCGTATCCAGGTTCAACGTAATCTCTACCTGACTATCTCTAAAAGCAGCATCCACACAAGCGCAAAGCAAATGTTTGCTTCATCTCATGACTGGCGACAAACACCTGCGCCTCAACATCCGCTCATTGACAAGATCCAGCAACACCCTCACATCATGCAACAGCTGGTTGATTTTACCCAATTACTCCAGACCAAAGGCGTGGATGTATCTGGCAAACAGCCTAGTTTTATGCAGGTCATGAAGGTCATGAATGACCCAGACATCAAGGAAAAGGTGCAAAAGTTGGCCCAGGACATGCAAGCTGCTGGTATCCAGCTGGACATGCAAACCATTCAAGAGCTTCAATCTAATTTCTCCAACATGTCAGCAACTGCAACTCCAGAATCCACTTACACTGAAGAATCAATCAACGAAAAGCAAGAGCAACAACAGCAAAAGGAGGAAAAGGAGCATGGCAGAAAGCGCGGTGTCATGAATAGAGTCAAGGGATTGTTCAAGAAATAAATTAGCATGTATAAAATCAATCGATGATGGATTTGAAATACGGTAGTTTCTGTCGATCATCTCTTATTGAATTAATAAGGTTTAAGTTTTTAGAGGATCAGCATCATGTATAAGCTATTTATTTCGCTAGTAAGGATTGGGATTACTTATTGAGCTTGTGGTATAGTGGATTGATTGCAGATATTTGTTTGACGGTTTACTGCGCAATCAGCACCCTGGCAACGGCTTGTGATACCTGCCATCCAGTAATTGCCGCTCTCATTATGCACGGCTCTTGGATTTGTCAATTCATTTCACTGCCCTCATTGTGAATGTATTGAGGAATCAATGTAAAAATGCTTAATCGACTCGCATTCAATCGTGGTTTTGATGAGACTCATGCATCATATATGTTGTACATAATACAAGATGGGTATGGAGATTTTTTATCTTGCAGTGAGGTATATACTTTAATTTATATGGGTGTTTACGCTTTGAATGACTCTCTACCTTCGCTTCGCTTTGGTGAGAACCAACCTATACGGCGGCAGCTCGCGCTACCGATTGCTCTTGCGTATCTTATTAAAATACTGCTACTTTCATTTTGACCTTCTACTTAGACATGAAAGCCCTTCCTATTATCTGTGAATCTGATTCGTACGTGATGCTGTACATCCATACACACGTAGCTACTTTATATACGGACAAGCAGTATACTGGCATTTCCCCTTTTTAGTCCTTAGTATCCCTAATACAACAAAATATGAGTGCATTTAGGTCGTGATTTCTCGTGTTAGAAGCTGTTTTAGATTGTCAGGATAGCACCAAACAATTACTCTCATCCAGCCGTTACTTGCTGACACCTTTGCTCAACTTTTTGGGGATCAAAAAAAACATGGACGAAATTCGACCAAAAAGCATGAGGTACCCCTCATGGTTTTCATTGAAAATCAAACGATCGCATTTTTCACCTTGAAAATGAAGACTTTTACCAGGGCATATATTGAATCAAAACGTTTCTATCGATCTAACGTAACCGCTGAAATCATCTTTGTGAGGTTTTCATAAACAAAATTTTGACTTTTTGGCCAGAAACCTCTTTTCATATTTTCATAAATTATTTGATAAGTTTATTCAAAACATTTATATTACTTGGTACCATTGGATGCGTCTTGAAAAGTACTTTGAGATTGTATTAGGAAGCAATTTTTTTTTTTTGCAGGGGAGACGAGCTCCAGGTTTTATTTAAAGTCCTTTAAATGTCATACCGAGGGATAGAAAAGACTGTTGGTAGACCCAATAATGTCTGAAATGAAGGGGAATAAGATATTTTTGAACTAAGTTGGGAAAGAAATCTACTACTAATAGGGTGCGACACCTAGAGCCAGTACAGTCTTGCGGAAATCGTCAAAATATAGATCATGGATAAGAGTACAAAACACCAAACGAGGACATTAGTACTATGTCAAAAAATCAAACAACTTGCGTTCACCAGGATTTGAACCGGGGATCCTTCCGTTGGCATACGGGAGTTCTACCACTTCGCCCTACCACCAGGGGCTATATTAGGAAGCAAAGGATGATCTTCACAACTTATATAGTCGAAGAAAGACACTTTCTGTCCAATCTTGAACAGAAAAAATGTTCTGGATTTGAATCAATTTTGGCGGCTGGTGCGGCCGGCTGGCAGACTCAATGCCCTCCTTTCCATCATAAAGGCAATACAGTAATAGATACTTTTGAAGCGTATGGAAAGTAGATGGCAAATCATAGAGCATTATCGTTAGCTATGCTGTTCTTTTTGAATCTATATTTGATAACGCCAGTCTATCAAAATACTTGTTAGATCAACTTCTTTCCTTTTTGAGGCTTTGAAAGTGTTTAGGGACCATAAGTTTATCATGTTATGATATTACATACAGGCAAAATCTCTTGACGTTAAATTATATGTATATGATTAAATTATGTACAGGCTTTAAAATACATTGGTCATAGCAATCAAAGGACAGTACAAGCATTGAAACAAGATGCAATCATAAAAGAGCATAATATTGAAGCTAATGACAAGACGTGGTTGTTTTTTATTAATGTGTATTTGAGTTTATGAGATCACCATACTTGATGGATTAAGATTTTTGAGGCTATTTTGACTTGTATAGATAGAGATAGCAGAGATATAAGAACGGCTTGGCCTTGTATAGATGTCAGGCATTAATTGTCTTGATAATTGATTGAGTAAGAGGAAGCACAGATGAGAGTAGGGCTTGACCTTGTATAGATGTAGAGATGATATATTTGAACAGTCTTGTCATTTTAGGAGCTTGTAGGAAGCACAGATGAGAGTAGGGCTTGACCTTGTATAGATGTAGAGATGGTATATTTGAACAGTCTTGTCATTTTAGGAGCTTGTAGAAGGCACAGAGAACTTGGCTTGATAGCATTTGGAAAGAACAGCTTTCTTTAGATGAGATAGAACATGAGATGGCAGAGGTAACTAGATAAAGATGAGATGAGTACACAAGTACTGTGGCATGAGTGCGTAACAAACCATTTGGGCAAAGAAAATTGACCATCAATAAAAGGAACCAACACTATATAAACAGGTACCAAGGTGTAAACTTGCTTCACCCATCACAAGATCATCGACACGCTCAAGCCGCCTCCATCTCCGGATCATAGGGTTAAACCCTACTCTCGTCGGCAATAAAGCTTGTGATCATCCCGTAGCATGACCAATGGATTTGTCCTGCAGTCTACCCACGATTATGAAGCGGTGATCCTACTCAGTCCCTACAAAGTAGTTTTTCGGCACTATGTAATCAATAGGTTAGTCAACATGGCTCATACGTTCAACAAGATAATAACTTACTCGCACAGTTCACCAAGGTCTGCATGTATCAAAGATAGTGTGGCCTTTTTCTAGCATGGACCAAGAGACGTAGAGAGGACCATGGATTTGTAAGGCATTGTATGTAGCAGTAGTAGAGGCCAATAGACAGTAGAGTATTTGATTTAGATGACCATATGTAGAGAGAGAGAGCCCAAATGTCTTGTAGTGAGTTTGCTTGTATAGAGTATTTTGCTTGTTGTAGAGAGATGAGATGAAGAAGAAGAGGGAAAAGCTGTTGAAACAAATCCCTATTTATATCCTTCTCATCGACTTTTATGTGAGTCTAGTATCCTTGCCACACTCAAATTCGTTTCCTTTTACTTTTCTCCACAATATACTACTTTTAGCGCGTGAAAATAGTACCATTTTGACGTTTGACACTTGCTCTATTTGATCCGCTTCGTCCGAGGCTTTCAACTGTTTTCTGTCTCGAGTTATGTCCATTTTGCTACTTCAAAAAGCCCTTTTTCCACCTTCACATGAAACGAGTTCCCCCATCTCTCCCTAGATGTAATTAACAGACAACTTCTCACGGGCTCAGCCTCATCAGAAAGTAAACAAAAAATGTCATTTGACACTGAAACAAATGCAGCTGGTTGCTTGATTAAGTAATCTTTCTCTACCTCCCCTTAATTTCTCTCTCCAAAATCACACAGTTCCCGATCCATCTCTTCTGTTGTTTGTATTCGCCATAGACTCTCCATCTAATTGGGCAATACAGGATGATAAGGTTGGCTTACTTGTTGCTTACATCATCTTGGAGCCAGTGCAACAATTGATTCTGGATTAAGAGACAAGCGTACACCTCGGAAAGCAAGAGTATCATATGAATATTACTGCGGCTATCTCCATGGAATGGAACATAATGAATTGTTTTCGAACCAGTGCAAGTCATCTTGTTTCCAGCTATCATGGTTGCTGCCAATGATGTCAATCAAGTGTTTGCGCTACTAGATATCATCAATATGCCCACATTTACATAATGAGTTGGTCATTCTCGTGTATCATTCCTGCAACCTGTTTTTAGTTCTTATGCCAAGAGCATGCATCCCATAAAGAGTCAACACATTTCATATCATTTTTTTTAGGAATCGTCCTCTTCTAGAAGGTACTCGGATCATGCAAGATCAAAATAATTCATTTGCTAAGCAAAATTGAGCTTTAAAAAAATCACATGTAAAGTAAACAAAAGGACATGAATCGAAGAGAGATAAGCAAGTAAATGGCCAATTTGTGGTCAAAGAGAGGATATTTTATTAGAAAGTATGTACATCATTCGAAAGCAAATCGCTTGAGGAATCCAATGGTACTATTTTCAGGGTCCTAAGTAAAGTACACATCGCGAAATTCATCAAACAAGGCCGTGGGATTTCCAAAAGAAAGAGGTTTCTGAATTAAACTTCACCTGCAATATCAGTTTTATCTGTGTGCTATTCTGTTGCTTTGGATCATGTCACGCTCCTCCTACGTCACCAGCCTGTCCTTTTTGGGTCTCACGTTGGGTACGCTATCCATTTGAGAAGGAGTCTCGCTTTCTCTATAATCGTTTCTGTGGGTATCATTGCCGTTATATTATAGGGCTTTGAGCAATCAAGGAGAGTCTTCTTTTAGCCAGCCAAAACGGATTACAATCCCGCTCGACTTTCTGTCACGATTCGTTGATTTTTGATCCTTTTGCAACTCGATCGACTTATTTTACGAGATTCGACTATGAAAGTTGTAGTGATCATCCTTTACAGCCTTAAGATATCTAGAAGAACTTTTCAATGCGCATCCAACTGTGTTGGGTATAATAGATATTTTGATTGAACTTGTTGAGCAATTTCTGAAATTATGAAATGACGTTTTTGGCGAAAATGTCGAGATTTTATATATCAAGGTCTCACCAACATAGTTTCAGAAGTTGCCCTGAATCGAGAATTAATATCATCATAACATAATAAATGTTCAGTCCTTAGACACTTTACAACCCTAATATGGAACCTGAGTTTCAAGACATCTGTCAGGCCTGGCTCATATGAGAATAATGATTTTACAATCAATCAACAAAAACCACTGTTAGTTCTACCCTCTTTCCTCTGCTCAATACTGTCAATGTTTTATTTGAACAACGTCTTGGAGCCTTAGAGATTTCACTACTTACTGCAGACATCTTACGCAGCCCATGAATCGTCAATATCCAGACTAACGTTATTAAATATAGAATGCAAGACGATGCCATTATGAACGATATAGAATGCAATAAGATATCATTATAAACGATAGCTTTATGGCCTACCACCTACTTTTCATACGCTTCAAGAGCATTTAATACTGTATTGCAGTATGAAAAGGGCGTTGAGTTTGACAGCTGGCCCCACAAGCCAAAATTAATTCAAATCCAGAATCATAGTTTGTTCCAGATTGGACAAATCTTGATGATTTTGAATTCGATTAAGCTATTTTTGCAGATTCGACTAAGTAAAATATGATGATCACCCCATGCTTCCTTAAGCTTTCTTGGAGTACTTTTCAAGGTGCATCCAATGGTACTAAGTAAAATAGATGATTTGAATAAACTTAACAAATGATTTATGAAAATATGAAAAGAGGTTTCGGGCCAAAATGTCGAAATCTTACATATCAAAGTCCCACAAAGATGATTTCAGAGGTTGCTTTGGATCGATAGAAACATTTTGATTCAAGATATACCATAGTAAAAGTCTCCATTTTCAGGGTGAAAAACGCGATCGTTTGGTTTTTGATGAAAACCATGAGGGGTACCTCATGCTTTTCAGCTCTTACACACTACTCTACTCAAAAAGAGTTGCATGTGTCACTACAAAAATGAGCACTATTTGTACTCATTCAGAGTTATATATTTTTCCATTAGCACTTGGGGGATTTTTGTACCAATCACAGATGATATCGAAATTACATGTAATATCAAAATCCAATGCTGTTGGGCTTAATAGGCCCTGCTGCCTATACATGGCTGCCTATAATGCGTTCTGCCCTCTACTATACCTTGCTGCCAATTGTTTATTGATCGCAATCATTGGGGAATACCTTCTAAATATCATTTGATCCCAGTGGGCTATCATGCCTTCCACAACTCACTTGTACCCCCACGCTACTAGTTGCGCTTGGTTTAGCTTTCTCTTTCGACTGATGCAGAAGCTTCTTCCCTTAACTATATTGCCCTGCCTGCCTATCAAATCCTAGCTTCATTCTCTACGCTGCATTATTTTTGTAACAGTAGTTTCAAGCATGCTATTGGCAGTTTTTATCAGTAGTTTCTTTTGCGAAAGCATTTGATGCGCAACCTCCTCAAAACATTGCAAATAATTTTGATGAGCACGCATCAAATACAAATTTCTGATTGCAGTCAACGCAAAGTACTTTCATCTGCTGGTATGTGATTCAGCAAATTGGTGTTTAGGAAAGAGCACAAACATCTTCCCCAACTGTGTAACTGTGTACGTTGTGGAACAATCGAGTCGACTCACCAAATACTCTTTATAAGGAAGCCAGCATCACTTTTCTATTTTCGTCCGCTAATTCATCAAATGTTGAAAAACGACGCAGCTTATAAAGTTGCTAAGAGAGCCAAGAAAGCCACAGAAGAAGAGGCAAACAAGGAATCAAACAAAAAGGTCATCAAGAAAATGCCAACGAATGCAGAGGAGATAACCTTGAAGAAAAAAGGCCAAAAAGCACGCAAACAACGTAGCCGCTCTACAACAAAGTCTCAGTTGATGAAGAAGAGCTCAAAGACTTCATATGCGAAAGCCATCAAGTACATCAATGAGCTTGAGAAACAGAATAGGCAAGCTGTAACCCAGCCTAATGCTTCGTTGAACGACAACACTAGACAACTTGTCCATGCAAACGGAGCATTTCATTTTGACGATGACAGCATCGACCATGGCTTCGACTACATAGAGCCTTCTAACCAGCGTTATGGTTTCACAACCATTTTCAGACAAAAAAAACAAAGAAGAATTAGAAAAGACTTTTGGGCTCAAGAAAGTGTCTCGCTCAAGAAGTGGTATCTTAAATCTCACGGGATTCATGGCCATGCTGACCCTACCCTCAAAGTCCCAAATCAATTGAAAAGCACATATCAATGCGACTGCAGCAATAAGAAAACATTGGAGGTATATTGTTATATGCTACACAGTAAGTAAATTTAGTGAAACTCCAAATATTACACAAGCTAAACTGACACTTGATTTGCAGACCATCAAAAAATCAAAGTTGATTATTGTATGCATCAACCAATCCTAAAGAAATTGGTATTGATGCAAATGTTGCCAAGCAGCACAATTCAACCAAAAGCTGCGGTCCATTTCGCCGTCTCTGAAAAACTGATGAGCTTGAAGCTACATGGAAACATTTCAAATTATGCATTCGTGAAGACGCAGAATGTTGATAATCTCTTGTTGAGTAACTATGGTGAAAACGACTTAAGTTAGATGCTGCAGACCATTGTGCTGTTTATCTCAATATCTCGCCGTTCTCTTTTCTCTTTAGTTTAAAAATTTGAATAACGGCTTGTTCAACACACTACAAGTAATATATCGAAATTTGAAGAGCCATGCCTTGGATGATTTACGACTGGTCAACCACTCTTTGTACTGTCATGCGTGTTTTGTGAGTTGCGTTGCAAGGCATCTCGTTAGCAAAAACTGATGCAGGCTTTCTTTTAGGATGGTGATACCGTTGGAGTTGTAATGGATGGCAACTTCCAATTAAAAAGAAAGATGAACAAGCGAAACCGAGATGATGTAGATCTCTATCCTAGTATCCTTTCAACAAGCTACGACATTGCACAGTTGTGGGAAGTCGAAGGTGAAGTTGAAAAGTTTGCTAATGAAAAAGATGATGCGAAAGAAGAGCTGGTAAGCATATTGACATTATAGATGCACTAAAATGTTTGTACTTGATGGTGCATACTAACCACATTTTCATCAAGTGTGGTCTTGAAGAACTAGACAGCATCAACAACCCTACGTTCAAAGCTGGCTCAGAGAAAAATCGAAAGGTGAGTAACCGTTTTGACGAAGAAGGAGTTTTTTCTATGAACTGTGCAAGACATGGCGTGCCTATTCGATTATACGAGATTTATAATGGCGAAGGGTAAGTGGATCTTGGTAATGCTAAAAAAAAGACTAACAACTTTCTGATTCCCCTAAATGATTGTAACAGGCGTAAGTACGCACTTGCGGCTATCAGTCATCTTATGAGTTTATTGGGTAACTCTCAGAAACTACTAACTATGTATGACATTATTTGCTTGTGTAAGGGCAAATTAGAGGTAGGCATATACATATTCAGAGACTGCATACATCGATTCCAACACAAGAACGAACTATTAGTCGTGTATACCAGGGCTAAAAGAGAGGGCTCCTTTATATCTCGTGACAGTGTTCCACGCCTATGCCCGTAGCATGCATTGTCAAGTCCAACACCATCCACGAGTTGTCAATGGCAGTGGCAATACCGGTAAATAAGCATGAACAATAAAAGTGGAGAACAAAATACTGACTCAATAATCAGATGGCGAAGGTGTAGAGCGCTTCTGGAGCACAGCAAATCGCTTCATTTCCATGATCAGACAGATGAGCAAATTCAACCGCAAATCATTGTTAACAGATGTCGTATATCATTTTAGACAGAACAAAATGTTGGAAATTCGTAAGCTATACATAGCTTTCATATTGTTGTCTTACTAATCTATTTATAACAGCGGGACAAATCTTAAAAAAGTACACCAATGCAATGAAGAAGGTGAGCGAGCTCAACATTACAAATGAGAAATTTTTTGCACTGGAAGAACAGTGGAGTGAGCATGTAGAGATCGTGATGATTCCAGCAACTCCTGCCGCTGTGCAAATCCTTATAGATAAGGCAGAACAAGAAACCCATGTCAGTAGGTATTCTTACTACCTAAAATTAACCGTTGAATATTTGCTGTTGAATGACTTGAGAGATGAAAGGTAACTTTTAAACATGTGCATAGAGGAATATTACTGTTGAACCATTTTTAAAATGTAGTGGAAGAAAAATTGAAATCACTACCAAGAAAGATATCAATAGAAACAATTTTTTGGTCGATCAAATCAAGCAATTACAATCTGTGTATGGGTATGCGATGATCAACAGCCTAGATAATCCAGCCTTGCAAGAACATCGAGAACGGATCATTGAAGTTCGATACAATGTAATGAATACATTTGTAAAACACCTCTTGTTTGCAATTCTGATGAAAGAGCACAAGATATCTCAACCTGGCTTATTTGGTAATGGCTTGGCCTTTTGTGAGAACGAAAACTTCCCTTAGATTGAACTCTAACCCAAATGATAGGCACTGCAAAGGCGGCCAGAGTTATTTTGTCGCTTGAAATATTGAAGAAGAAAGCAGAGGCGATCATTTTGATGATCAACAAATTTGTAGAAACCTCATACAGTGAGTTATAATTTTGAATCGCAAGCGAGAGCAATATCTTAGTGTATAATGGTATGAAGGTACGCAGGCAGAGATCGACAGAAGAAAGAAGAAGACAGTCGGAAAAGAAGTGGAACGGATCAGACTGTATGCTGCCGAAAATGGTCTGGATTTGCCCACCCCTTGAACGACTGGCATATATTGAAAAGAAACGTCGAAGAAATTTCTATTTTGATAGTAGGCTCGAGTAAACTCAATAGCATAAGAAGCATGTATACTAATGATACTTTTCGATGAAGGATGAAGCAAAGAGGGTTCTTGGCAACTACGAAAGTGAGTTGTCATCGTTGAGGGGAAAACAGAACAATCATTTTGTCAGAATGAGAGTTCTGGACGTTGCTCGCCGTCAACGCAGTGCCAAGTCACTGTTGAAAAATGTTTCAAGATCCAAACCTCCGGTATTGCTTGCAAGCAGAGATGCCTCTGACTTGCTAAACAATATCGTTATTTTTCCTGAGGTGGATCTTAGCGATGACGAGAATGAAATTTTCGACAACATTGAGGATGGTGTGGTTGACGCCGGTGATCCAAACGATGCAGATCCTGGTGAAGGCGGTGAGCCAAACCCAGAAGACGAAATTCTAATCACATTTCAAGACATTGAGGAAGGATCATAAAGCATCAAGTGCCTATTTTTTTATTTTATACAGTGCGCGAAAAAAACGTTCCAGTGTTTTGCCAAATTGCACTTATAGCCAGTTTTCTCTGCAAATATCAAAGCTACTGGGGTTTGCTTAGTTTCATAAATAGCCTAAGTAGTTGGCTATCAGATGATATATTATGCACTTTATTCACGTAATTAGAAAAAGAATGGTAGCCTCATGAAAAGTGAAAAGTCGAATTTATTAAATCTTATAAAAAAGCTCAATATTTAGTTGGACCACCTTTACTCTTGATAACCGCTTTGATTCGGCGTGGCATGCTGCCTATGTATTTAAGACAGTCTTCTTTTGTGAATTTATAACATTCCTGTTCAATTCTGTCTTCTAACTCAGAAAGGCTGGTGGCCCTAGTAGGGTACTTGTTCAAACGACGTTTTAGTTGATACCAGACATGTTCAATGAGGTTTAGGTCTGGGCTTTGGGGAGGGCCAATCAAGGACACTTTGCACAGGGAATCCGTAATGCGTGAACCATTTTTTAATGGGACCAGAAGTATGTGGTCTTGCGTTATCTTGCTGGAATCTAAACGTTCTCTTGTCCAGCCCATAGTACTCGATAGTGTCTAGCAAAGATGAGTCCAGAATTTCAGCATAAACTTCTGAGTTAACAGTTCCTTCGGTAATGGTGGAACCATAGCTGGGATCCTCCGCTGTTATCATGCCCCAGAAAACAACGCCACCACCATCTCCCTGAACTTGAGCCTCAGTTTGATGAGGCATCAACTCAGTGGGCCTGTCAGTCCAGTAGAAAAATTCGCCGTCAGATCCCCACATGTTGACCCTGGTTTCATCGGAAAATCCCCGTTTACGTCAATCGTCCGCAGTCAAATGTCGATGTCTCTTGGCCCACACAAGACGTTTTTTCCGGTTCTCCGCAGACACGAAATTGGTCTTTACCTTTCTTTTAGCCTTGAACCCTTTGCGCTTGAGTATATACTGTATATTCCTCAAAGTCATCTGAACTCCCATATGAGCAAGGTAGCACTGCACACCCTTGGGGCCGTCTAAATTACCATTGCGGAGATTCCTCTCAATGTAGTTCATATTCTGCGTAGTGATTTTGCTGCGTCTTCCGGGTTTGGCATGTTTTGAATGACCAAGAAACTTCTTCCTATAACGAGAAAGTACACTGAAGGACAAATCTGGGAAGATTTTTTGAATGGCACGGAGGGAACAACCTTGGTTGAAAAGAGCGTTGACAGATCCTTGAACCTCCTGAGGAATGGGACGTGTCATGTTAAAAAAAGTGATGAAGTAAAGATGGTAAAATATAATGAGGGAAAAGACCAAAATCTCAGGCTTCTTTATACTTTTCTAAGCATTCCTCGGATAACTAACATTTTAAACATAACTGATATAAAAAATTACGGCTCTCAGATTATTTTCGTGGAATGTATACAAACAATAAGGTCATCAAGCGATATTTCCAATTTTACAAAATCGAAATTTTTTACTTTACGTCAGTTGCACTTGCTTAATAACTACTGTATCAATTATTTTAGTAGCTCATTTTGTGGCTAAAAATTCAAGCTTTCGTAGTCTTACTTTAGTTTTAAAACTGGAAAAAATTGACAGCGCTGTAAGTGTAAAACTACGAATTGGCAAAACACTGGAACGTTTTTTTCGCGCACTGTAGAAACAGTGATCATATTGAATTAAACTAACGATAAGCTAATAATAAACTATGAATCTTCTGAATCATCTTTAATACAGTCAGCCCAACAAAGCATCGTATTAAATTATATCAATAATACAGCAATAAAATGGTAAAAAGCTTTTAAATGGCGTATTTGTTGAACTGGATCATATAATATATTAATGTAGTGAGTACACTTTGCCACAGAAAGCTTCTATGTGGTACCTTACTGTAATGCTAAGTTTTCTTGTTTGCTTTGTGCTTTGTTTAGTTTGTAGGTACAGAATAAAATGTGCTAATGCTATAAAATCATTGAATTAATAATATTAGCTGTTTCCAACGATTCTCTTTATTTGAAATAACATTTCTAGTATTGAATACATTTGCCACTTGTGTCATTCATCGCGTTTGATTAAGAACAAGTACTGTAACGACAGCGAACGGCTGTTGTTGTTTTATGCTTCAACAGTGACTAACGCTATCTAACAAGATATATACAACATACTGTAGGGGGAAAAACTGTCCCGTTCGTTTAAAATTTTGTCTTTTTGCACAAGTTTTTGGTCATTTCTTTGTATACAAAGTCGAAATATATATCGTTTGAATGAGAGAAAGTAGTGCTATCTATACATAATTATAACTTTTTCAAAAACTAAAATCCAATGATTTT